TCAAGAAGTGCTCAGGGAAGCTGATTCGTTTTCGTTGGGGGGAGAGCGAGAAACGAAGGCAAAAGTGATGGTGTAATCTGTGTATGTTTCAGCTGGATATCCTCACTATCCAAGCTCGATATGGCCTCTGCTTGATAGCAAGAGGAAGAAAGAGAGGAGAGGAGAGGAAAGGGAGGAAGAGAAAGGATCCCAGGACTCGACGTCGGGGTAAATATTTTTTTTTTGTTTCGGCAGCCTCGAGGAGCCCCGCCAGAAACCGTCAGCCCGCCACGCTGTATCCGTAATTGGGTTGGGGACAGCCTGGGCGGGTGGGATTCAGAAAACTTTTCTGCAGATTCACGCCATTGTCCAATGCCGTGTTCGGTGACTCGTGAGAACCTGGAGGGGCAGGTCCAGCGCGGGAGTTGGCAGGACCGGCAGGGCCGCAGCGCCGCTGGACCGCGACACATCCGGCAGGCAAGCTTTTAGCGCGGGGCAACGGGGGTCCCTGGGCACTGGCCGACCGCCGTGGAGGGGTCCCCGGATGATTTAAGCTTGCACCGCCTGCCAAGTTCGTCTAGAGTCACAGTCAATAACCAATCATATTACGGATGAAAAAAGTGGGTGGGGGTCTGCTTAAGGTCCTGGACCGTGGCCTTGCATCAACACAAAAATTGGCCCCTGACCATGTCAACAAGTCTTTCACCTGTCACCAATTCAGACCCCGTCCGTCTTGTGTCGGCATTTTCAGGTGGTGCGTAAAGCGTCGACACTTTGGTACCTACTCCCTCCCCAAATAACCCTATCTCTCAAGTACCCCCTCCTCAATTAACCCTATCTTTCAAGTACCGCTTTTTTGAGAGTTTAAGTTTATCTCGAGTAATATCCACGCTATAAAAAAGGTAACGCATCCACACAATTCAGCTGGCCCAAAAGGGGGCTTTTTGCTATATTTTGCTTTATATCGGGTTGCGGAGGGTGGAATGCCAGGGTCACAAGCTTCAAAATCGACTTCGGACCTTCGTCACTTGAAAAGTGGTGATAATTGCGGGTGGCAAGGGTAGTACGTACCAAAGTGTCGACGCTTTACGCAAACCCCATTTGCACATTTTCACCGTCCCTACTTTGTCACTGCCGATCGGCCGGTCAATGAGTTCAATATGCTTGATGCTTTTGCCTCGTAAGACACCTTGCTGCCATCCTTCTTAGGGCCGATCCGATGCCGTGAGACCCGTGACGGAATGAGAGCACCGCCGGGATTTGCAGCATGTCGTCACAGTTACCATCCGATGTTCGACGTCGACGTGCTCTCTGATATGTCGGTATTGAACCATACCATCCGTCGTTGGCCGGGTTTGTTTGGTCGTCCTCGTAGGAATCGCGATTGGGCCGGAGGTGGGCTTTTGTTGATCAAAGTGAGTCTTTCCTCTTACGTATGTCAACCAGCCATCTGTGGGGTTCATGGAACAGCGGTATCGCTTGTTCCTCTCGGGCCTCGTTAGTCATCATCCACTTCGGATCCGGTGATCGGGATCTTAACACCGATCTCAGCAGTCCAAGTCCGTTCTATTCACCTGCTGCAGTTTTTTTTAGCGCTCCTCATAGCACACGCAGCATATGTTGGAGGAAAATGTTTACTGGTTGTTCAATCTATGAGCGTCACATACCTCTATATGTGGCATACAGTTAATTCACTGAGAAACAGATGGGCAACTAGGTTGATGGAGTTGGTTTTCGAGCCATGTCGATTGCGGAGTGTGCCCGTACTGCCAGAGGATGCAAGAGCGGATCGGCGTAAGAGGGTGCGGAATTTCATTGACCAAGTTCCGCTCCAATTCAGTTTATACGGGGTTTCGCCGATGCTACCATCTCGCGACATGAACTACTACCGGAGTGTCCGCCGGGGAAAGTGGGTCTTCGGCACGGAATGGGTCCTACTTCTCGCCGGGCAAAGAAGACCTGGTATGCTTACGTTGGACAATGTTAGCTCCTATGACGGCCCGGGCTAATATATCAGACGGCTGGGTTAGGGTCCTATAATTGCAGCGATACAAAACTGTAACGTCCGGCCGGTGTTTTGCCGATAAGAGCAATTGTCCACCAGGCTGTCAATTGCTGTGGTGCACTGGTGATTCCGGAACGTAACTTGAGCTGACTGTTGTACAGAACCAAACAAACACTGGTCAATGTGTTAAGTAGAACAACCGCACCGAGAAAGGTGTAATAGCCGTGACGGGAGATGACGCCGCTTCAAGGCGTTCCGCACCACCACCGTCAGCGATGTTTGCAGCCTCGAGATCGTCAGCTGGCCGCAGAGATCCGTAGAGGGTGTCACGGGTAATACACCTGTTGTGTGTTCTGTATCAAAGTACCCAGGACCGTTGATGACGGTGGTAGCCATAGCTGCCCATGTCCAACGTAAACCTTTGTCCGAATTTGCTTCGAGATGCGTAGCTGAGACGCTTGTGGACAGCTGAGGTCTGAGGAGGTGGGATACCTCTTATAAGTCTTCACAATGGCCCGATGTCCTGAAAAGCCATATCCGACTCGATAGCATGACAGGATGCCTCATTGAATGCCAACAGTGTTTTATGATTTCTGATGAGAGCAAATGGTGAAGCAAGAAGTGTTTTGGGCTTGCCGTGTCGCCTCGTCCAATGTGCATGAGTCGTTTAAAGGATGCAAGTGCCCGTCGAGGTGGATGCGGCTTGTGACCGAATCGAACGACTTGTTGCAACCCTCCATCACATCTCAACCCATCCACCATCGACGGCGGACCCACCCGGACTGGCGAGACGACCATCGACCGGTCTCCTATCGCCGTCGCATCGGGATCAATCTTTGGTCATGTGTCACCACCAGGACCCTGCGTGATGGCGACATACGTATCGACGATATACATATGTTATTGAACGTCCTCACATGCAGTCGGTCGCTAGTGTCAACCGTCAAATATCAAGAGGTCCGCGGACACGGCTTCCTGGTAATAATAGCTCAGTCTCAGTAGGCGTAGGCATGCGAACATTCCATGAGAAGAAGAGTGAGACAAAACTCGTACAGAAGGCAAGAGAGAGGGTCTGTCTGTCTCATGGCATCTGAATCATCTTGACCGCCCTCGCGGCCTTGACAGGCACTTTCTCAGCCTCCATTGAACGCAGTACGTCGGCAGGCTGTGCTTGGCAGCGACCATGTTCTGAATACGATTCGTGGAAGATGGAATGGGGGCTTGTACCAGGTGCACACGAAGGAAAGACAAAAGAGGCAAATGCAGCAATTGCTGCTGGGTGGCCTCATTCGGCCGCTTGCCCATGTGAAGTCGGCCGCGTTCCGTCGAGGTCTTTTGATGGGAAAGGGGGGCCTGGTGCCATGGTGAGGAAAGGAGAGCGAGAGCGAGAGCAAGAGGGGGACTGAAGGATGGAGATGATGGAGATGATAACCTCAAGGTTTATGAGGTATCGTTCCGCCTGGAAGGCAAAAGCAAGGCATGAGCCTCCTCTCTTTGTCGAATTTGAGGAGGGAAAGTGCAAAGTGGATGAAATGATGGGGGATTTGAAACCCAGCAACTTTGAGGTTCCATTCGTCAACCTTGGTCTGGGCGGCTTGGGGGGACCACTAAATGGTACTGTAAGATGGCCGCCAGGCGGACATGATTGGTCAGATGGGCGTGGGAAGGTGCTGATGGAGCAAGGGCCCCCGGTCCGCCCCAATGTTTCTCAGACTCTCTGTGTGCGCTCCTTGCCATCGCTGCCATGTCCGCTGTTTACCGCATTCCCAGGATTTCCTCAGTCCCAAAACTCCGCACACCTTTCTTATCATCCATTCATGGTTAGACAGAGCCCATGTTTGACACTAGGGAGTTTGGGTTCCATCATCTTCCGACACATCTCACGGTTGTTCCCCTCTTTCGAGCTCGCTGCGATGGTTACTTGTCAGTGTCAGGTGCTGTTGCGCTTCACGCGCGTCATTTGTCTTGCAGCAGCCCATGTCCCCCATGCCTCCCATGTCGAGACTCCCGTAACCCGCCGGGGCGTCGATGGTGTTGGTTTTGGGTCTCGGAGCAAAACCTAAAAGCTGGCTAAGAAAGAGGGACCACTTACATCGCGTATAATACCGTACAGTGGTCACGGCTCACGGTAATCAACCCAGCGGCACTCGAGGCGCAGCGTGGAAGTGGAAACTAAGCTCAAGACAAGACGAAAGACTGAAAGTTACAGCCGCTCCAAATACACGCTCGGTACCTGCCACTTTGCTGGATTGGGGAAACCGGACGGGCTTGGCCTCCAAGAGTTGTCTTGTCACTTGAGACGAAACGACGGGACGGCCTGAGCTAACTTGCAACTAGATTGTCAACGTGCCACTAGATGACAATTGGAAAGCCATCGAGTCGACGCCAGTGGCAGTCGCTTCAAGTTCTCCTTCTCTTTCTTCCTTCGTTTCTTTCTTCCCGTCCTCTTGTTCTTGTTCGTGGTCTTGGTGGCTTCTGGACTGTTGCCGCCGCCGTGTAACCGGCGTACAGCCATTTCTTTTCTGTGCACCACCACCTCATCTCATCTCATCATCGACCCCAAGGGCCAGCGACGTGCCTGCCCTCGAGGCCCCGACTGTCCGACTGTCTTCCCGGAGCCCCGACTTACTTATCTCGAGGTGGCCTCTACCTCCAGTCCGGCTCCCCGGATTTCCCAACTTCGCATCCTCTCCCGCTGTTATTCCACCGCGGTAGCAAGGGTGTCGACTGTCGCCTCGGCCGGCCTCAGACGTTATACCAGGAACCACGTTCGGTCCCCTGCCAGCCCTGCCTCACTGATGACCAACCCCTTGTCTCTATTCCTTGACCTTGTCTTGTTCGCCCCTCTCGCAAGTCGCAAACATTCAACCTACTGCAACCTTCTCGCCTCCGTCCCCTTACTATACCTCACCAGTGGCCCGCGGTCTTGCGAATCTGACCGCGTCCATGGCGCTTTAAAAGTCCACCAAGAACTTGAGTCGGGGGCCATAGAGACCCGTTGCGGCCAGGAGAAAGCATGCTGTCCACCTTGATGCGACCCTTCAAGGGTGCTGCGCGCAACCCAGACCACGGCGATCTACTTGAGAGAAACTCGGAACCGACACGACGTCCTGCTTCTGTCCGGAGTTATACCCAACATCGACACGCGACCGCCGACTTTACCGAGGCCGATGATGACGATGACGAGTCTGACGATGCGAGGCAACCACGCGGGAACGCTACCATCCGCGGCAATGAGGACGAAGATGGGTTGAATCAGGCAATTGGTGTCCTGCCGCTGTTCTCTGCTGGGCATCTTGGTATGATACCTTCTGTTGCTCCATATACACCAAAGACTATGTGCCAAGACTAACCTCGTGCAACCCTTTAGATTCTCTCCCCATATATAGCATGACGCATGCTATCCGCATCATTGTTCAGGCAAGAACCGATACGACCTTGACCTGGGAGCAGTTGAGGTCTCCCCAGGTATTCCAGTTCCTGGTGAAGCCAATGCAGCAACAGATTCGAACCCAGCATTTCTCAAGGGGAACTTTATATGCCCTCATGGCAAACTGTCTTCAGTTCGAAAAGGAGTCTCAGATATACCCGGCAAATACTGGCACAAGCAGCACACGAGCCAAGGTGTGCGAGTTGCTTGCCATTAAGCTACTCAAGGAATATTCGACCCGTGAACTTATCGATGCCCTCTCATACGACTTCTATCCTCTGCAAGGCGTCTCGGGAATGCATACGCCGGCCAATTCGAATAACAGAGAGAAGCCGGCCGCCATGAGAACGTCAACTCTTGAAGTGGCCATACGAGCCTCAGCAAAACATTTTCTGGCCCATCCTCTGGTCGTGCAACAACTCGAGGCCATCTGGAATGGTGCCATTAGCTTTTACTCGGCTGCAGATCAGCTCCATCGTCGCACCTCGATAGCTACCGATCTATCTTCCACCCAGTCTCGCCGCCAAAGCACGGTACGAACACCTCTATTGGGTAGTCAGCAAGGCAAGGAGGATCGTCTCAGGGGCCAATCAGGGCCGCTTGGACGGAGAACTGTCGCGCTGTACGACCCTCGTCAAGCCTCCGTTTTCAAGCTCTCGCGCTTGAGGGTCCCACGATATCGCCAGTTCCTCTCTACCTGCTCACTGGGTATTCTTCTTTGCCTGTTCTTGCTCGTTCTTAATGAGAGATCCAGCACCATCACCACCCTGGAGCTGATCTTCTGGTTTTGGAGTGCCGGGTTTATGCTCGACGAGATTGTCGGCTTCAACGAGCACGGGTTCTCCCTCTACATCATGAGCTTCTGGAATATTTTCGACTTGGGCATTTTGTTGCTTTTGATCATCTACTACTGCATGCGCATCTACGGCGTATTTCTTCTTGACCCGCACAAGTTGAACGACAATGCCTATGATGTTCTCGCTGCGATCGCCATCCTTTTGCTCCCCAGGATCTTCAGTATACTGGATCACTACCAGTATTTCTCACAGTTGCTAATAGCATTGAGACTCATGGCCGTTGACCTGGTCGCAGTTTTTGTTTTGGTCATTGTCGTCTGCTGCGGCTTCTCGGTGTTCTTCATTTCCAAGAGCACGAACGATCCGAGCGTGGTAGCATACAGCATGTTCCAGATACTCGTGGGCTATAGTCCGGCTGCTTGGGAAGTATGGCCGGATCATAACTGGGTGGGGAAGACGTTACTTGGCTTGTTTCTCATCATTTGCCACTTCGTTATTGTGTAAGTTAAGAGATGATAAAATCCTCGGAGTGCGCACCGACTGACATTTTTTCTTAGAACACTGCTTGTGACTGTGCTAACAAACTCATTCATGGCTATTGCATCAAATGCGAAGCAGGAGCATCAGTAAGCCACCTTCAGTGTTGTTGTGTTCTCACTATATCTCATGCTAATTGTTCAAGGTTCCTCTTTGCTATCAATACGATCTCGATGGTGAAAAACGATTCACTCTTTTCATACGTCGCACCAGTCAACATTCTCGCATGGGCACTGACCCCGCTGAGGTTTTTCATGCCCATGAGGCAGTTCGTCTGGCTCAATCGCACCGTCATCAAAGCGACTCACTTTCCCTTGTTGCTCATCATCTTCATTTACGAAAGGTTTATCTTGGCACCATCCATATACGAGCCAACGGACCTGGTGGAAAATCCAGGCCGAGGCCGTCACAGAGCGGTTTCCATTGTAGACCCTGCAAGCAGGACAGCACTCTTTAGCCCGAGCCTTCGTATTCGTGAAGAATCATTGGTGGGTTATCAGAAGGATCGTGCCTTGGAAGAGGTGTTCCGACGTGCTCCTGATTTTGCAACCATACGTACTCAAAGACGAAGCGAGCGGAGGAAGACCCAAAATGCCATCCGATCGTGGATGGACCAACAAGATGGGACTTTTGCGTCTCCTCACAACTACGGTACCGTTGAAAACAGACCGGCACAGGATTGGCAGAGGAGACTGAGTATGGTGAGGGAGCGACCAAAGAGGTTTTCAGGACTTTATCAGGACACGAGATCAGCAGCTAGCGATCCGGCCGATATGGTGTCTAACGCGACTTTTCCGGCGGTGCCTGACTATTTCAACAACGGCACTGTTCGACGGGATTTTGCGAACGAGGTGAAAGAGAACACCGATGCGGAAAACGGCGACGACGAGCTGGTTACAAATGATGAGTATGAGGAGGACAATGCAACTCACGACACTGAGCAGGTGCGAAACTACATGGATCGAGACCAGACGACCGAGACGGAAGAGGACTATTTCACGACTTCGGTTCCGTCACGCTTCAATTCCGGACTTACTTCGGTCCAGAGAACGCCGATCTCCCCACGTCCCGGAACCTGGCGACGGGTGCCCATGCACAACCGGACCATGTCGAACAACACAATGATCTTTGCTCCTGCGCAGGATCGGCCCCTCGAGAGTTCTTCTCCCGCAGCATCTGGGGCCATGGATCCCTCGCTGCCGTCCCGGTCTCGCCCCCATAGCACTCGGCATACCATACCCGAAGGGTCGGTAGTTAGTCCAGGCGCAGGCCTTCGCTCACCGCGTCGCTCCGTGTACTTGGCATTCTCCCGACCAACGAGCATGGTGATGTCGCCGAGAGCGTTGGCCCGAACTGCCCCGAGCCGCTCGATCCTGGCATTGGAGATCCCAGATGGCGGCAGTAGTGGAACCCGTGACAGCCCGTCGTCCCGACGACAGTTATCAGCTGAGCTGCCCACCCCCGCCGAACTTGATCCATCTGCCCTGGCAGCTAGTTCTGAAGCGGGTAGCAATGGCGTGATATCTAATTTCACCACGTTGGCCACGGTTATGCTCGAGAAGAGCTCCCAGCAAGAGCAGGACAGCAACCGGATGAACAAACTGATGCTGGCAAAGATGAAGAACCTGCAGGATAGTCTCGGCGACGTGGTGCGCGAGATGCGAATCCTGAAAAGCAACGCACCCAGCACGGCTGGGAATTCCGCAGACGAAGGGGCGAGTAGCGGTAGCTACTTAGCTAAGAAGGCGATACAACAACAGTACCAGCAGCAACAGTACGGCCTTCCAGCAAGGCGAGGCTCAGGAGAAGAAAGAAGGTCGTCCAGATTGTCTAGTTCGGCTGGCTCGGCTGGCTCAGCAAACAGGGACATGGCAAATCGGGGATTGCGAAGATCGATCAGGAGGTTGGAGACAGCCACTCGACTGCCGACTTTGAGTGGGCAAGACACAGTCAGGAGAAGAAATTCGAGAGAAGAGAACAACGAGGAGGGTACCAGCAACTTAGCAAGAAGAGAGGGGTTGAACAGTGACATGATATTCGAGCCGAGGCAGAATCAAAGTAGGTGGAGTAAAGGGAAGGGAAAAGCAGCAGCAGCTTCCATATCAGATGAGGACGAAGATCGTCGCGGTCATCAGGTTGGTGGTGGCAGTTCGCTGGATGAGCGCCACCATCGCCAAGAAGAGTTCATCAGGAGTGGAAATTTCCTCTGAAAATGCTTCGCAAAGTTCCCAAGTTGGAAGAAAGGAAGGGGGCATGACGGGTTAATGAAGAGTAGGTAGGGAGGAGCGTGATTGATATCCTTTGCATAACTTGCATATGCATGTCAGTATTGGTAGTTATTTGTTTGTGGCTCTTCACTCTCATATGGTTTTTTTTTCTATCTTTCTGTCTTCGATGGGTTGGCATTTTGAGTCATACTACCTACCTATGAGCTGGTTTAAGGTAGTCGTTGCATTGGGAAGGCGTTGAAATTGAGCTTTCTATGGCATATTTGTTCTGGTTCATGATTTGCTCGTGCTTAGCATCTTGATGAGCTTCTTGAAACCATGTCTCGTTGCTTTTATACCAGACTATACTACCTGGCTATCTTCGTGCCACGCCGTCGTGATCATTCTTGCCGTCCCATCTTTTGACAAAATCGCCGCTGATCCAAAATCAAGTCAACTTTTGTCCGTCTCATAGTACATATCATCTCTCACAAATCAGAACCCGAATTACCAGCTACGTATTGTCATCACCATCCGTCCATGCATACAAAAAGCCTACCATCACCCATATAACCAATTCATCCCTGCGATATCATTATTCATAGCTCATTAAAATATAAAACCCAACATCACACAAAATTGTCCTCGCAATCCCTTCCCCCATTTGCATTCTTCTTCACTTCCAATCAGATCGCTTTTATTCCCGACCTGGACCGGACCGGACAACTCAAATCCCTCCACCACTCCTATCGACGCTCACATAAAACTGCGAGCCAGGCGAGCTTTTCTGCGCCAGCTCGTTGTTGCGGATCGTCGTCGACACGTACTTGAAGGTGGCGCCGACGCCGGCGAGGGCGAGGGTGAAGATTGCTAGGCGGGGGTGGCGACTAGAAGAGAAAGAGTGGAATGTAAGTGGAAGTTATGTATAAATGTGTAGAGTTTATGTGGGGTTGGTGAGTGGGTATGCTGGGGTTCTTGATTTGGTAGTGTAGTCGTGATGTTTCGTGGGGTTCACGATGGGAGGAAAAGGAAAAGGGAAAGGAAACGGAGGGTTGGTTAGAAGATGGAAGATGGAAGGTTGGACTTACAAAGAAGAGGCGCCGCCGGAAGGGACGCCGCCGCCGCTGCTGAGGGCGATGCGGGAAGCGGGAGTGGGAAACATGTTTGTGTCTGGCTTTTGTGAAGGTTGTACTTGTTTCGGTGGTTTGGGGTTATAATTCAAAAAAAGGTCAAAAAGAAAAATGGTGAGAATGTATAGAACTAGAGATCCGGAGCAAAGGACGGGGACCAAAGTCTGCTTTTATAGTTCGGCTGAAAACGGTAGCTCGGTATGAAGAAACCAAGGGAGGAAAAGCAGAGAGGATTAGATCTAGGTAGCAGATAGCTAGGCCTGCTGGGTCTAGGCGGGCGGTGAGATATTCAATAGTTTGAAAATGTAAACAAATGGTTATTATCTAGACCAGAACCAGACCAGGGGTGGTCTAGTATGTCTTAGGTCTTTGGGGTTTGGGGAGTAGGGTCTTGTGTCTCTGTTCGAATAGGTGGGTGTGATAGGATGGTTCGGCTAGCAAATATCAAGATTGGATATCTATCTGTCCGAGTTAAATGTTGAAACTTGTGGTTTCGTGTGTCCGCTATGGTGGTATTATACTTTACAGGTCGAACGATCATTGTTGCCTCCCCATATCAGAGTTCAGTTGCGAGAGAAACCCAAGCATCTCGGAGATATGCGATCTCATACGATGAACCGAAAATGGATTGACGTTGCGCAGCCATGTGTGCTTTGACCGGGTCGGCAGCGGGCCGGGGTCTGTGTAATGGACCACCGCACGCGCGGGGAGGAGGCGATGGGCACGCGACACATCCATCCCATCCCGTCCGATGGCAGACATCATGCATGGGTATCGGACGGACACTTGGACCGACGTGAACCATCATCGAACTTACCTAGCTCATCGTGGTGTGTGAAAGCGGCGGCCGTGAACGGTTGACGCTGTGCCACCTCAACGTTATATCAAAATGGCAAAAAACGTTGCCGCGGAAAGACTCGATGGCCTAGATTTTAGGCCATCTCTGCAAGATCGGCTGATCACCAAGGCCCCTGGTCATTGTCGGTTTAAAGGGTCTGAAACCCAAAAGCATTTGGAGCTAGGGGAAGAGCTAAGGCCGCCGCAAAAGTGCGGGGTGTTTCTCCGGGACCTGCTTGGCCCAAATATTCGGAGGTTCGTCCTGACAGTTCGTAAGGCGGGCGGGAGAATGGCATTACCGTGGGAGCTGATGCCGATGCCGATGTGCTCTCAGGTTGAAAGCTTGGGATTATGTACAGCTGCATTCGTATATGCTTGTAGGCAGGCTCAACGTTCGGAATGGAGCTCATCAATATCGATGTTAGGGGTGGTTTGTGGGTCCTTTCCTTTCTTCACACCATGGGGTGCTTGTACTTAATGATAAAATATGCGATTAAGCACTAAGCGCTACTGTTTATCGAGCAAGAGCAGCAGCGAGACGCGACTTCCTCGAAAGACAACTTCGACATGAACCTCTGGTTACTTCTGCGCTCCAATCAGCGTCTTTGGCTTTGCACTAACCACCTCATGCACTCCGACGTGTTGGCCTGGGGTACCTCTACGACTGCCAATATCGAGTCGCTGGGAAAGTGACGGAAGGAGTCATGATGATTCGGTAGGGCGGTCGGCAGGGGTTATAAAGGATGCCTATGCCTCTGACGTGGGCAGTTCGCGATGGCCATTGTTTTGGCTTGTTTCCAGACTGCAATCCAGTACAAATGGGAACCCAGAATTTGTCTATTGGGAGGTTATGGTAGGTATCCCAACCGCATCTTCCGTTGTTTGCTGGCTCGCTGTCTGCCTTTATGCAGGCAACATCAGGCAACCAGTGAGGTTCTTCCATTCTTTGACTGAATCTGACAGGAATCATTCCCGCGACAGGCAACGGGGCCTTTTTGCGGACAACTCAGGACCGCACTCATCAATGCCAGCCAGCTTCTACGCGTCAATTGGAGGGGAGAGTTTGGCTCTCCGTGGTTTCACCAACTCACTATCCCGTCCCTCTTCTTTGATACGTACGCTCTTCGCTTGAGGCTGACATCCAGTTCATCTGTTCAAGCTGCCACTCGCTGCTGTGCCGGTCAACCCCGCAGGCAGCTGCCTACATCTTACCATTCTCATTCATCGACCTCAACTCTTGTTCAACTGACTTCTGACCAAAGCCTTGAGGTCAAAACCATGCACTCCTCTTGAATCTATTTGAAGCGATCGCGTTATCAACTCGGCCACCGGCACTTTTCCATAAACAAGTTCACCCAGCGATAAGATTTGGATCATCCATCTTGCGCATACATTTACTTGCCCTCTCTCGTTCTTTCTCGGTCGTATTTTGTTTTAACAGGTCACTCCCGATTTCGCCGTCGTTAGTCTTTCGTCAGCTTGGGATATCTTGCTCAATTCATCCTACATCCAGCTTGTTCACTGTCAATTCGCCGTCATGGAGTGGCCTTCAGAGCCCGCTGCCGCTGAACGGCCTCCATCATCCTCGCCCCTCGACCTGTCCGTCGAGAATGCTGTTAACCATCACTTTAACGAGTTGAACTTTCTTATGAGCAGAACTCCAGAGGATGGAGAGGGCAATGTTCTTGCCTACGTTACATTTCCAAAGAACTCAAACGCCATTGCTTGCAATGGGAGTGCATGGCAGACATTGTGGCTCAGAATGAGCTTCTCAACACTTGTCGGTCTCAAGTCCAGTAAGATCAACGCCATGCTCGACCCCAAACGCCAGGAACGTATGCGCCGCCGACTACCAATGGAGACAATACCTCCTGGGATTGACTACGTGCTCGACTTCACACCCCCAACTGAAGGTTCAGAGCTGGCCGACCTCACTGCTGCCCTTTGGCTTCCAAAGATGGTCAAGCTATGGTTTTTAGCCGGTCATTATTGCCCAGAGGATATTTTGGAGAGTGGACACACGATGAGCGTCTGGGATAAAAGACCCCTTGCCGACAGGTCGGTAAGTGCCATGCTTGCCCTCGGCCATGATGATGCGTGCAAGAATCTCTTGCAATTCTGTAAGTCCATGCCCCCTCAATTTTATATCTAGATCAGATACTTACAGACTATTTGGCAGGCTCCATGGACCGGTCTGAATGGAAACCAAAGAATGTCCCTGGTATCGTCGACGAATGCCCGGAGATCCTCGAGGAATATCAAAACTATTTTCCCTCGTTCCGGAAGATCCCAGACTACTGCCCAATACGACATCGGGTTGCTATCATGAGGGTGCTTCATGCTATCAACGGGAACGGTCTTCTTCTCAACTCAGCTGCACGCATGTGGACAGTCGCCCAAGTGGCAATACACCTGGAGGTCACCAATATAGTTGTGAGTAATTCTCTCATACCCAATTGCTCCGTTCTCATGGCAGTAGACCATACTGACGTATCGCCGTCTAGATTGATCCAGTAACACAGTGGCTCATCGCCCCGCCTAACACGAAATTCATTGAAATATGCCCCGAAAGATCCTTCCAGCTTGCGCTCGCCCTCAAAATCCCCAGTGTTCTCGCTACCGCCTTCAGGATCCTCGTGAGCGAACTAGCCGTCGATTATGCGGTGCCAGAACCCTCGCCGAGACGTCCACCCCTTACCTGGACCCAACGAAGAAGAGATGACTATGGCGACTTGCCGTCGGACCCCGTTGAATATGCGGCTCGTGCCTTCTTTGAACGCATAACCGGCAAGATCGACATTCTTCGCTCCAACACCGTTTTCGACCGTATCCGCACCGGTCTCAATGAATGGGATCTTCTAAAAGCGCAGGCCTCGATTGTCCACGAACATGGAAGCGAAGAGCTCAAAACTGCCCATGGAAAGCTCCTCCAAGCCCTTGTTGGCGCCTTCCACAATATGGTTCAAAGCTGTCTCCGGAAAAACGCCCCACTCGGCCGTCTCGCTACTCTCATCGCAGCCCAGCGCGACCATTACGTACACAAGCATGAGCGCGACTCACTTGGGCACCTGTACGAGAATCTTGATTACTCCCAGCGCGTCCTTACCCTTTCTTCTGGGAAAGCCTTTCCAACCTGGCCTCAGAAGGCCACTCCGGCAGCGGCACCCTCCCCCTCTCTACCTACAACGGCTATGCAATCAAAACTTATGCCGAAAAATATGCCTCTCTCTGGAAAGCCGCAGACCTTCCCCAACTTGAGTTCCAACAAAAGCCCGCCAAGGGAGAGTTCAGGTCCAACCACTTTTCCAAGCATCTGAATGAGTTCAACGTCCACCGATTTGAGGGCGAACTCTTCGTAGCCCTCACCACCTTCTGCGATGGAGTCCTGGGCAAGATGTCCAGCGAGGAATCCTTCCAGTTTTTCCTCTCGGACCACTTGCTTCTCCCCGACCCAACCTCTCCAGAAATGGATTTCCTACCTCTCTGGGCCAACGGCTGCGATGACGGGTCGGGCGGTGTGTTCCAGAACGCTGTTCCCCCGGCGGAAATGGGACCGAGTGAGCCCGGACCGGCGTATCATACTGGGTATACGATCCCGACTACGGGGACGAGGACTGCAGGGACGGGAACCCGCGTTGGTGACGGGGATGACACGACCATGATGGACGACGATGACAGGATTGGTGGTTCCATCTATGGTGTTTCAGAGCTGGGCGACAATCTCGATAGGTTCGAAATCATCAGCGCCCGCATTGCAACTACAACGCAAACGGCAACGGTGCAAAGCATGGATGCTCAACAAAGCGTAACAACAAGTACTACCGGACTTAGTGGAGTTGGACGACTGAATCTAGACTCCGGAGGACCGAATCGCCATCGGGTTGTAGCGGTACCTTCAGAGATATCATCGGAGGACTTCTCCCTTAACTCTAGGGAAGACGGTGAGTATGCGGACGCCATGTATACGCAGCCGGCGAGGCATCAGACGGCTGGGAGGGTGTTGGGTAGATACGTGAATGGTACTGATACTACTGCGACTGGGACGAGTGAGAATGGTAATGCTTCGTCGTCACGGCAAGGGCAAGACGGTGCAGCAGCAGCGGCACTAGCGAGGCAAAATGGGTACCCAGATACGGATAACTTCATGCTCGAGGATGATGATGCAGATGGAGGGTTGAAAGATCTGGACGATTCAGATGATGGGAGCTCGACGGTGGGGGCGGATTCGGATTATGATATGCTCTAGGACAGCGTGTCGGATGGCGAGGAAGTGATCGTAATTTCTCTGAGCCATCTCTTTAGGAGTTGGATGCATTTCGAGGATTACATATGAGAGATGTGGGGATATGACTGAGAGATGATTGGGAATCTGCATGACAGGGAGCAATAAATAGCTATGAAATCGATTGTAATATGAATGGTGAAGAAGTTTGAAGCTTCTTGACAGATCACTAGTAGAGGTTCGGAACCATCGATTATTTTGTTTCAGTCATTAGCATTATTGTACCTGATAATTCCTACTCTATCTTGAGAAAAGAAAGCTAAAATATATACAGCAACAGGACACCTGTGCCCGTAAAAGGGGTGTTGTCCAAACACTTCGCAGGCCATCCATCCTTCTTTTCTTCCAAGTCTTATCATATCCTTCGTTTTCCCTTATAATCTGTAACTTTCCGTCACTTCATAGCGCTTTAATAAGTGCTTCATCGGTTCATCCGCCCCCACCATCAGTTTGTTGAACGTATCCCCATTCTCCTCCTCATCCTCGTCCTCATCCCCCAAAACCCAAAAACTCAAACAGCCTCCTTCCAAATCGTCGGCAAAAACACCACACACGCCCTCCAAAGAATTAGCACCGCATCAACCAACAGCAACGGCGCCTTCCACAAGCCCCAAAAACTGCCCACCCTTTCACACCAATGCAACCAAATCGCTACAAACGCCACCGTGAAGAAGTGTCTCGCCAGCACGGTAGGTTCGTGCAAAAGCCCGCCCATCAGCGCAACCGGTTCGTCCGTCTTCGCGCCACCCATCTGGAAGTACGCGAAACAGCCCTTGCGCAGGGCATCCAGCTGCCAGTCATCCGCCGCAAAGAGGCTGTACAGCGCTTGCGCCAGCGTGTTGATGATGCTCGTCCAGGCCTTGCGGCGCCAGTGGAATTCCTTCATCGCTTGCTCTACCGCGTTTGCGTCGGCCAGGTTGGGCACGCGGTCTGGGTGTAGCAGCGAAGCCAAAAGGACGACGTCGGAGAAAGCGACCGTCATGCCGCCGCCTGTTAAGGGGTGGCGCATGTTGTAGGCGTCGCCTAGCAATAGCACCCCCGGAGTGCGGGATGTGTTGGCTTTCCCTGAGGCAGGGAGGTACGAGTTGGGCATGGAGCGGGGGATCTTGCCATCTTTGAGAGAGGCGAGGACGGAGGGCCGGACGGATTCGGGTAGGGTGGGCACGACGATGTTTTCGATGTAGCCGCGCACGCCGCCGTTGGCCGCAGACGCGGCGGTGAGGTTATGTGGGATGTCGATTAGAGCACGGGTTTCGTGCGTGCCGATTTGGTAGAGCAGGACCGGGGAGGTCTTGCCGATGACGACGTGGCCGTAGTTGGAGGGCGGGAAGGGGCAGTCGATCAGTTCGAGGGCGTAGAACTTGGAGCGCACGACGGGTGTGGTTCCGCTGGGAAGGAGCTGTTTGCGGAACTTGGAGTCGTAGCCGTCGGCGATGAGGGTGAGCTGGCCGAAGAAGAAGTCGGGCTGCTTTTCGCCGGTTTCGCGGTCCGTCGTGAGGGTTTCAACCCCCAAGACTTGTTCGGAGTGCGAGCCGCGGATAACCGAGGTCACGGTCGTTTCGAACATGGTGATGTTGGGGTGCGCCGCGCAGGCTTTGCGGAGCTGGCTGATGAAGCGGCCGTGGTGGAAAGATCGGCCTTCTGGTCGTCGTAGCTTGGGTCCATTATGTGTCTTGCCGTTCGGTGTGCTTGTTGTTGTTGTTGTTGTTGACTCTACCCGCGCCGCCGCTTCGCCAGAGTACACTTTTCCTTGATCGTCCACTACCGGGTAAGGAATGGCCACCTCTTCGCCGTGGAAGACGACGTGATATCCGTAGCAGGTAATGGCATCGATCCCCTCGACGCAGTGACCCAGACCGAAGCTCTGTAAAGCTTGTAAACCCCCGGGCTGTAGCAACTCGCCTACTATCCGGTCGGGCTCGTGCATCCATCTCTCGAGCAGGATCACGCTGCGGCCCTGGTTGGCGAGCGCATACGCGGCCGCGCAACCAAAGACGCCGGCGCCTACTATTACCACATCCGCCTCGTGGTGCTGCTCTCGCCGCTGCGCATTGCGGACCTCGGCGGAATCGGTTTCGATCGTCATCGGTAAAAACTGGGGAAGGTTGTTGTGTATTCTTCGTTTATGTGGTTGTCAAGTGTGCTTGACGTCTCGGTATAGATCGGGTCGTTAAGGTTCCCGGTGTTGTAGACGATCCGCGCTCCGTGTGGGGTCTCGAAAGTGGGAGTGTGGTGTATTCTAGTAGCTTGCGATAAGGAAGCACAGCGGGCAGCAACCAGGAAACGAAACACGTCGAGGTTGTCTTTAGAAATAAGTGTTTGTCGCGATAGGGTTCCCTGGAGCGTGGAAGGGATGAAAAGCTTGGATGGAGTGGGCAAGGGTTTCGTGTAGCTTCGTAAATTATTTGGGTAGCGAATGGGTCGAGGACGATGATCGAACGATTGTATGGGCAGATATGGGGTTGTTGGGATCGTTAACAAAGAAGCCCGAGAACCCCTATTTTTTGCTAGGTCTTGTTTGGTTGCTATGGGCACCTCGCTGGCTTCTACCCGCTACACTGGTATCTGGAACTTTTTGACCCGGCAAGTCGTGAGACCAACTGACGCGTAAGACAGATGATCTTCAGAAAAATAAACACGCGGGGCAACAAAAGTTCAGATTTTGTCATCCCCCAGAAATAAAAAAGGGGAATTCTTCGCGGTACACATCAACAAACCTCGTCAATTTCAAGAACAACAAATCGTCCCATGGCGGGAAACACCGTAAACATCTAGCCAATCAGATTAAGCCAATGCTTAGCGCACGAACCAGCATGGTGCGGATACCCCTTTCTGCCCCTGACCGCCAAATTGACATGTGAGTCGATTCATGGTTGAACGCGGCGTGATGATAACAACCTCAACAGCCAGATCCAATTGTCCAACCGGATTACGTCTTGCGAGTTGTTACACGAGAATGTAAGGACAAGAGACGTGCCTTGTCGATTGACGTTCCGCGGTGCCATCACAACTTGTCGAGAGCAGCAGTATCTGAAGGTATGCAGAGACATCCAAATGTAAACATCAACCAGGACTGTTTCATTGTCCAACTATTCCATCATGCTATATGTACGTAGGTAGTGTATGCAAAGTATGTATGTATGTGCCTCACCAAGTCTTTCCCAAGTGATCCATCCATTCCTTCACGCCGCCGGCACAGGTTGTGGCAATCCCGCGCCATTCCCAGCCATTTTACCACCCGCCGTAGAAAACGCACTATCCAAAACCAAAAGATCATCAAAGGCACCAGTCATACCCCCCTCCTCCTGCTCCTGCTGCTGCCTCCGGAACTCCTCCTCAAAATCCAGCTCCGCCCCATCATCATCTTGCCTGATCCTAGGCTTGCTTCTGTTCAGCCACGGGATCTCGGCAAAGTCCACGGGAGCAACACCAGCATCCAGCGCCGCTTGTCGCATGATCCTAACCGACTCCGCCCCCAGCTTCACGCGCTGACTCTGCAACCTTTGGCGGGACTGGACGATCTTTTCTATCCCTTCGCTCAAGATATCGTACGCGTCGTGTCTCTGCTGCGTCTTCGCATCATTGAGGCGCGCCTCCATGACCATCTCACGCGCCCGCTTGAGCGCCTTGAGGCAGCCCGTGTGCTCCTTGTAGTTGCTAGACAGGGCCCTTGCCAAAACCTGACGGATGCCGTCGATGTTGAGCAGGCCGGCAAACGAGTAGAGCATGATGCGGAAGTTGTCGAGGTTGTAGCAGGGCTCTGAGTGGTTGTTGGACTCGGCGGCCATGAGAGCGTAGTGGTGCGCGCCTTCAAAGTGGCCCGATGTCAGGCAGATCAAAGCGGCCCGGTGCAGGAAGGTGTCGGCTATTTTGAGGCCCACTTCCTTGATTCGGTCGATGGCTGTTTGGACGATGTTTCTGATTTCGCCGCCTTTTGCGGCGAGGTCGGCGAGTTGTAGGCCTAGGAGGTAGTTGAGGATGGGGTCGACGTTGTTGCCTTGGTCCTGGGCTTTCAGGACAAGATCGTAGGTCTTTTTGTAGGGCTTGTTTTCGAGCTTGAGTTGTGCATTGACTGCCAACTTGAGAGCGCACTCGGAGAAAGGCATGCCGAGGTGAAGAGCTCGCTTGTAGATGCTGAGTGCTTTGGCTGGATGCCTGTAGCTCAGTGCCTCCTTCATTGCCAGAGTGACCTCATGTTCGGTGTCAGATTTACCCTTGACAGGGCCCAAGTTGGGAGCTATGCGTAACGACAGGACTCGTCCACGGGCAAATCCTCCTTCGAGCTTGTTGTCTGATGATAACGCTGCATCCATCATGACGCGTTCCGTGTGTCTATCGACAAAGTTGGGGTTCAATGCCCTGAGCTTGCGGAACAAGGTTCGAAGGTCTCGGAATGGGACATTCCAGTTTCTTCGGCAGCTCACAAGCACAGCGTTTGTGAAGGCGGCGTCAACCTGGAATCCTGCGATACTGCAGTATTCAAGCCACTCAACGAAGGATTCAAGATCCCGAATGGAGGCATACTGCTTTGCCATGAGGGTAACAAGGAACCGGCTGAGAGGCACCTTTAGGTCAGTGATATAGGATCTCATAAAGGCATCAGTCTCGTGGACCGTATGATCTTTTGCGTAAGTTTTGACCACGGGGACGAATGCGGTGCCGCATGCGTCAAGCGCTGGCTTGGAATCCAGCTTCATCGCCGCGAATGATTCCCTGACTCCCTCCCAGTCTTGCTGCTTGGCTTTGAAACGTGCAAAGATACCAAGCAGCCGTACGTCGTGAGCTAGCTGTGGTAATTCTATTGAAGCCTGAGCGAACATCGACTCCGCCTTGAAGTCTTCTCCCGCTTCCAATGTCAACTCGATCATGACACGGTATACGCCGTCCAGATGGTAAACCACATCCTTCAAGCCTAACTCTATGAGTTGCTGGAAGAATTCCTCCAATTCTTCAAAGCTGCCATGTCGTCTCCAGTGAGCAGTCAGGAGCCTCATGATCCATTCCGTTTTGAGATGACAGTTCTTCGCGGAGGCAATGCTCAACAGGGTCTTGAGGACCTGGTTTGGTTTGTAGTTATGGGCCTTCTCAACACATTGCACTACCGGTCCTGCAATGCGAATGATGGATGGCGCGCTTGGGCTCATCTTGCAGTAGTTGGCGAGGAACAGTCGAATGGCGGCCTTGTAATCGCCAGTGTCGTGAAGCTTGGTGATAACCCATGATGTGAAGTCATACTGACTCTCCGAGACCGAGATACACCTCCAGTAGACGTCAATGGCCCTCGTGGATTTCCCCACAGCAAAGGCATGGTCGAGCAACGCCCTTCCGACCGCAAGCAATTCGGCACTTTGGACTACCGGCTTTTCGGTGAACCTTGGTAGGAAGAGACTGATGGCTGTTTCGAGTTTGGCCGGACAAATGTTTTTCCCCGTCTTGGCCTGCGTTGCCTTGGCGAGAAGTGATTCTATTAGCTGCACTGGCTGGAAGTCGAAGTATCGCGCCTCTGTGAGCGGTGCACGGGCTAACACGGTAGACAGGATCTTTGCGGCATCCTCAGCTCTTTCCATGTCCAGGTAGGTCCGGCAGAGTAATGCAGATGCCTCCATCCAGGCTTCGTCCAGGTTGTTCGGAGCTTGATTTTGATTGGTCGCTTTCACGATTAATGATGCGGCCTTTTCCATTTGTCCCAGCTCTTTGGTCCTGCAAGCTTCCTGAATCATGACGACAATATTATCGTTGCTGGGAAAGGCGAGCGAACTTCGTCCTCCTTGGCTGTCGGCCTTCCTTGAGAATTTGTGATAATGCCGAACTTGTGTGATAGGTGTTCCTTCTACCGGTGGCATAAAGTGGTGCTGCCCTGTAAGGGTTCGCTTCTTGGGTGTAAACGACCTTGGTGTTTCTCTGCTGTTATGCCCGCAAGGGTGCGGTCCCGAATCGTGCTCTTTCCGCGTTGTTTCTGACTCGCTGACACCCTCGCCCCTTCGCATTCGTTCCAATTCCGCGACCCTCGCATTGTCATATTGTCGAATGATCTCGGCGGGCAGCGCACCGTATGGCTCGGGAGCTAAGGGCAAGATGCCCGCATCCAGCAATGACTCTTCTTCCAGGGCCACAGCCAGAGCAGCGCCGCCCGTGTTGTAGTTCCTGGCTTGCCTGATGCGCTCGCCATTTTCAATTGCGGTCAGGGCGTTTCTGATTCGTCGTCGGCGGTCTTCGGCAATGAGCGCGAGGGTGCAAGAGGTTCCCACGACAAGTCCTCGGAGGGCCGTCAAGGCAGCTTTGGAGGGGACAGGAAGTGGTGATGACATGGCCGCATGTGGTTTCCGTGTTCCATCTCGCTCGTCAAATCATGGTCGGAAATAACCCTGTTCGAGTCGCGTAGGCGGTGGCCGTCGGGGAAGGGCCCTGGTGAAGAGGTAGAGAGGTAGGCGGTCGACGGCCGAAGCTTGTCGTGAGCTCCGAAGCTTGTGTGGGATGAGCTCAAAAATGTTTCCAAAAATCGATCCGCGCCGCGCCGCGGGAAACAAGCACTGAAGGTCAAGTGGAAGCGAGACCCGAACGCCTGAGCCCGGGCCGCTAGAAGTGGGCACTGTTGCACTGCAGCACCCCGCTATGTAGCCAGGTGGGTCCAGCATCTTGGTACGTCTTTTGATGCCGTAGGTGTTCCCTTGGACTTGGCGGAATTGCATCTCAATTTCAACGGTGCCCGCAGAGCCTCCATCCGAACCCCGGGAGTACGGATGAAAAGAATAAGGTACCTTAGGCATCTCATGCGACATCACTCTGTTTCAGATTGGGCAATCTGTTGATATTTCAACATGATCGGTCTTTCATATATACAGGGTAACCTTCGCAAACACCGCGCAACCTGAGTAGAGTACTTAGGTTTCCAATGTTCCCAACGTAAAAAGGCTCGGGTCTATGTCTATGTCGCTTATACTCATACAAATGCTTTGTGCTTCTCTATCCATCAATCCGTCCGTCCCATAAACGCCTCTTTGACACTTTTTCCCTTGCCGCCATCTTCATGCGCGGATAGAATACAACCAACATGTCTAGACATCGGTATACAATAACGCTTCATCTTGCACTAAAAGAGACGCAGCATTTAAGCCACCTCTGAGCGTTCCTGTTCTCCGGGCAGATGAGTCTCCAACTGACGCAGAATCGCCTGGTACAAAAACAGCATGCAGCCGCTCTGGATGCTGGTCCAGACTGCACGGGGTCCGACGCCTCTAAACCACCCGGCAATGCCTTCTGTCTGGTAAATCAACCTCAACCCCGTGAATACCGAAGACGTGTCCAAGGTAACGGCTCCCGGTCGCGGCGTGTGGGTTGATGGTGACGATGTCGATATTAATCTTTTCTGGAGCTTTTGTGTGGAGCTCTCCGTGGTGCCGGACGACTTGACGGTTCCGTCCTTCGTGGACACTTGTGTTGTCGCTGAGCCGGAGCCGATCGACGATGTTGTTGTGGGGTCCGGAACAACCTGGGTCTGAAGTCTGGTTTTGACGACATCGAGTGGGCACGTCATAGAACCAGCAAGACCTCCTGCCGCAGCACCCGTCAACAGTTCCAGCTGCCACCCAATGTCGCGGCTTCCCATATAGTTGTGCGCCCAGCTTTGAGCCTGCTCGTAGAACATGAACTGCAGGGCGGAAAAGGGCATATCGCGGTAAAGAGTCGCTTTGTATCCGTGGAAGAGGGCCGAAAATCCCTCTCTGCGAACAATGGTCCTCGCAGCGTCGGTCATGCCCTTGTAGTTGTATCCAGAGGCGAAGTAGGGGTTGTTATAGCGGCCCTGAAGTTGGAGGCGAGTCTTGAGAACTTCCGATGGTACGTAGACGATAGAGGCGGCAAAGTCGCCGAGGAACCCTAACCGCAACTCATGTCAATAGGCGTAATCCTCCCGTCTGCCAACTTTTCCCCTTCGACTTACCACTGAGCAGGTAGGCGAGATTGGACTGGACGCCATAGTCCAGCATGTGCCGCTTGCTGTATTCGTAAGTGCCGAAGAACAAGACGGTTCCGGGAAAGGATCCCAAGAGGGCCGGGAGCCAGCCGCCGTAGAGGCCCCGTCGGATGCCTTCTTGTCGGAAGATTGTGTAGTATGATGAGCCCAGCGAGGTATATCTCGGCGGAATGTGCGGATCGCCTTGTTGTCGAGTTTTTACCGTGTCGAGCGAGTGCATGAGCATGTCACCACTCGTCCCTCCTAAGCCGCCTGCAAGCATGCACTACCGTGGTGTATGGTGGTCAGCAACAGTTTAGGGTTTGGCGATCATGATGATGGCGCGCAAGAGAGTACGACATACTTGCAGAATAGGCGGGCGCCTTTCCAGATCCCCATCGTCAGGAGTCATGTTACGCGGCGAATCCTTTTCGGTGATAGTCCCAAAGCCCTGTTGATGTGTAAGTCCATGGTCGGCGACGGCCGTGGGCGACAGCGAAGACGGTGACGACGACGGCGCAATTGTGGATGTACTTGTAGGGTGCGTACTGGCTGCATCGTAGCCAAGCACCATCGCCCTTTTGGGAGGAGAAAGGGAGGGCGTGGGAGTTCCGCCGCCTTAGGTGCGGGCAGCGATGTTCAATGGCGAACCCCCAAGTCGTTTGTAGAACCGCGGCGGGCAATGGCGCGCAAGCTTCATGGGGTAGCTGAGATATGGATGCGAGAAGATCCAAGTTTCTTGATAAATTTCGAGGTCGCCTTTGCGCCTTTGGGAATGCCAAGACTGGCTTATCCGGCGAAAGCACCGCAACCTTTTTTTCGGGCGCACCGTTGCAGGGTTCTTGCAGCCGTTGATGTGGCTCGTGCGTCTCCTTAACCCGCACGTACAGTAACATTCCCGTCGGACCCCTCGCATATCTTGTACAGCAGTCAACCGGCACCCCCTGAGATAGTAAACAAACACAGGCCCTGCGATCTAGCAGTCAAACTGATCCTGTTTCCTCCGTTGCTCCTTTGCCGCCGTTGTGTTTCCCACTTTTTTTTGGTAACGACAAGCACCTTACCCCATCGTCAAATCCAGGGAAACTGCGTGTGCGGCCAAGAAAGGGGCATGTGTAAGACGGCATTCACACAAACACGGCAGACCTTCTCAAGAATGGCTCACTCTAGCACATAGCGCGCCTTCTTGATACCCGGTCGCAGGTTATGCTCCCACCACTTCACCCGTCCAAACCGATCCCACGGCGACAGGATATGTGTGACACGGCCGGTGACCAGGCACGCTGATATGGGGCCGTAGTAGTTACTGTCCTTGGTCTTGTCGCCGTCTCCCTCCACCCAGATGTGCCCTTCTGGAACCTGGACGTATTCATGCGGATAAGGTGCCTTTGTCCGGACCACGTCGCCTGCTATTCCGACTACTCTTTTTACGACCTTTCCCTTTGGGTTCAGTGGGTTTCTGGGTTACTCTAGTTAGTCTTCAGCTTCCTGCCTACTGGTGCCCGAATGCAGCGCCAGATGCTGTAGGATGAGATTTTGGGTCTCACCTAAAGGTCACAATCATGCCGCGCTTGAGGTGCCGGTCCGGGTACCATTTGGAGACCAGCACAATGTCCCGGCGTGTTGACTCATTGTAGCGAGGGTTGAAGTAAGGATACATGGACGGCCCGTTGATTTGTGTGATCTCAGCAACCCAACCGTTGAAGACCACCAATGGAGGGATCCATGTTGCGTAGCGGATGAGGTAGTGTGAGAACTGGCCAAGGAACCCATTTCGAATTCCTGCTCCCCATCGCGCCGCCATCGCTATCCGATTATGACGGTTGTCGAGCTACCGAAACTTTTCAAAATATTGCAGCTCGTCGCTGCGAATTGCAATGCTGCTGTGATATTGAGGGAGTGTGTGCGCCTCAACGGACTCAGTGAGTAGTACGGAGCCTGTGACGTTAACATGGAGACGATAATAATTGCAGCAAAAAGAGTCCCGTCCGGGCAGGCGGCGATAAGAAATGATAAGATCGCTTATCGGCCCCGGTAGCTGCATATTCTCGAGCGATTTCATCTAATACATCAAGTGCATCCAAAACATGGACAATCATTATTAAAGTCTTTGTTCATTAAACCTCATCCCTCGCTCACATTCATTAGCATGCGGTCGATGCAATCTTTCGGTTGATTCCTCTACCGCCTGAAGGACTTTTGTATCCCCTAGACGCCAGCCCTGTGTCGCAAAAACTGTATACATGCATCCCTAAACCTTTCCTCAAATAGTGTCGAGTATTCCCAATGAGCTTACAAAAATAGCTCCGTTCAGAAATGGTAACAGCAAAACAAAGAAGCGCCTTAGACGGTCTCGGGGATATTATCGTCGGACTCGCTGACGCTCTCGTCACCGCTGACCTCGGCGTTCTCACGCTCACGCTTCTCCATGAGAGCCTGGAGCTCAGCATCATCGGACTCGGTGACGGCCTTGGGCTCCATCTTGACCACAAGGTGCCCACCAGCAGCCTCGATGCTGGTCTTCATGTCTTGGATGGCCTCCTGAAGGCGGGCAATACCGGCGTTCTTGTCCAAGCAGGTGTTGGTGAGACTGTGTAGCGTTATTAGCTGCCACTCTTTCTTTAGGGTTGCAAGACCCTTTCTTGCAAAGACTTACACATAAAGAGGGGGGGACACAAGTCTGCACTTGACCTGGGTCTCCTCGGTGTTGCGAGCCTCCGCGGTGCGGAGAGCGGTCTTGATAGCATCGATACCCTCATAACCGAAGCAAGTAACCTCAACATCGGCACGGACCTTGGTGGGCTGGGGAGTCAAACGCTTGCTGATGTAGGTCTTGAGCTCCTCGGCGACAGCCTCGGTGGGGAACTGGATCTCGTTCCAGACGTCGGGGTTGCTTCACATCCAATGTCAGCATCCTGTCCAATACCACTATTTATTCCACCACTGTGTGCCTGTTCCTCGGGGCGACATACGTGATCGAAAGCTTGAAAGCATCAAGCGAGTGGCCGTATTTCTTGTTGAGGGGCCATCCTATCGTCTCGTAAAGCTGCTCGATGGGGATCAAAGTCTTCTCGGCGACGTGGCGCATAATCGAGTGGACGATCTTGCTCTTGTTGTAACGCTCCTCGCAGCGAACGATATCCTCGGGGGAGACACGGCGCTTGGACAAATCGATATAACCCTTCTCCTTGTCGACACGGAGAACGACGACGACCTCGTTGCGACCAACACGGATCAACTTCTGGATGGAACGAATACGTCTTCTGGAAAGCTCAGAGAGCAAGATCATGCCGTCGATGTTGTCGTACTCGAGAAGCTTGACGTAGGCGCCCATATCGGCGATCTAATATGGGGGTCAGCTCTGACGCATTCACATGCGCATGCGCACCACCGGGACCCCAGTGTATCGTACTTGCTTAACGTTGACCATGACGAAGGAGTCGATTTCAGGATACTTCTCCTCGTAGAAACGGCAGTTGGAGAGCGACATCTTGGCGGTTGGTGCCTTTTCCCGGGCGGGGCAAGCGGGGGAAATAAGTAGTGATATTGGTGGTGTTGAAAGGGGCAGGGTGATGTCGACGACGAGGTTCGCGACAATGGGCGAGATAGTCGAGAGGGTGGTGGTGGTCTGGAGGGGTTGATGACCAAGAAAGAAAATTGACCGAGTTCGCTGCAAGTGGCCACAGCTGGGAAAGGTCCTCTGGAAGTTCACTTCTGGTTGCGGCGGCGGGTTCTCGAAAGAGGGTCCAGAAAGGCTCAAAGGACTCAAGAAGTCAGCCAAATGCGCCGCAGTATTTTTCGGGTACCAACCAAAAATTACGTGCAGGCAGACTGCGAAAGTGGCGGGGCACCGGGGTGAACGAAAGTGGGCTGTGGCTGGTGCGTGGGATTGTGAGGGGTGACTTTCACGTTCTGACAGTGACGGCAAGACGCGGCTCCATCTTTCTTTGCCGTTCGTTCAGTTGGGAAGTTGGGATGAGGAAGCGCACAGTGGGAACAGTGGCACGGCAGGTACCTCTCAGTCACCCCACCCGCCCTTCCGAACCCCACTGTGCCGAGCGGCCAGCTCAAAAGGCAGGAGCAACGACGTCAATCGTCAACCGACAGTGGGGTCAATCACTGACAAGCCTGGAATCTTCCTTGGACATCGTCGAGCTAGGGAGCTTCGACCACTGAACCATGCTTGTTAACCAACAACGGGACTTGGAGATTTGAACTTTCACATAAGAAGTCCCGAGGGCCGATCAGCTGCCGGCATCCTACGCCCGATGTCTTTTCTGGAGAATCTCACCCATTTCCCTTTTCTCGACGGTCTCCGTCCCGGGTGACAACACTTAAAACGATATGACAAAGAACCGAGCGACGATACCGCAGACAAGGTAGTAAGAGTTGGGTATCGACAACAGGCATCGGGGACGGGACAACACACCTTGTTCAGCTTGCGAAACGTGTACCTCGGGGTTCACCTTGATCGACAACACCATCCTCCACTATTTCCACGACGACGACGCGACAACATTGCGATACCTACCACGCTTCGCGCGACGAAGACGACACAGCCGAATTCGATTCCGACCCGCCCGTTCTTCTTTCCCAAATATAACCGACACCACCGGCCCGGTAACTCTTGGCTTGCTCGATGCTTCGGGCTTCTGAAAATGGAGTCTCTTAGCAACTTGAGCATTGCCGTGAGCTCGGTGCTTTCCGACACGACCTCTATGAATGCGACCGCAATCCTCGCCGATCCTACAGAAGCCCTCTCGTCTGTTGTCGCTCTCGCCAGCGATGCGGTCATCAAGGCTAACGATGTGGTTCCCGAGCACACCTCAGCATCATGGTTCACCATCATCCTCTGGCTCTTGCACCTCATCTCGAGTGTGCTATACTTTGTCCTCAAGCTGGCCACCATCTCTACACCCACCTTCTTGTTCAACATCTTTTCGACTAGTCTGACCGTAACCATGAACGCTACTACGCTGTAAGTCATCCGCCAGCCGGATATTGTAGACACGTACTTGAGGCTGGTGGATCTAACCGAATGTTTAGTGTGTTTATAATGCTGTTCATGATGGGAGGAGTCACTTGGCTGGTCAGGTATCGCTACTTGAACATGTACTCGCGGCTTCCTCCTGAGCCCCAGCGCAAGGAGCCAGCCGTTGACCTGTTCCCCGAAACACAGGAGGAAGGGGTAAAGTCCGGGCTAGCCAGCTACTTTGACGAGTTCCTCAGCGCCATCAAGATATTCGGTTATCTGGAAAGGCCGGTTTTTCACGAACTGACCCGCAGCATGCAGACGAGGAAGCTGATCGCTGGCGAAACCCTCAACCTCGAAGAAGAGCAAGGATTCTGTCTTGTGGTCGATGGTATGGTGGAGATCTTTGTCAAATCCGCCAGAGATGGTCGATACTCAGCCAGTGGCCCTTCGTTCGAGACAAGTAGCGACGATGAGGAGGGCTTTGCTCAGAGTCGCCAGCGTTACCAGCTTCTGACCGAAGTGCGAAATGGGGCCCCCATGTCATCACTGTTCTCTATCATGTCACTCTTTACCGAAGACATCCAAATGAACGACACGGACGACGACGATGACGACGGCCCCGGCCCAACGCCTTCCGCTGCTGGAACTGCTATGCCTGGCTACCCTAGGAACGCCAACTTCCAGCAGTCGAACGATACGCTCCCGTCCATCCCAGGTACCCCATTTTCCGACAACCACGAACTGCAATTTGGTTTGGCCTCGGCTGAGTCTCTAACATCGTCTCCCCTAGCTCAGAACACTTCGAGGATACCACCACTTTCTCTCGCGAACACTCGTCCTGCTATACCCCGTCGGCCAGTACCGAAAAGACTCAATACCACCTCAGCCCACCCGGATATTATTGCGAGAGCGACAGTGGACACCACCATAGCCATCATCCCCGCCAGTGCCTTCAGACGTCTGATCAAGATATATCCCAAGGCGACTGCCCACATCGTTCATGTCATCCTTTCGAGGTTCCAGAGAGTTACACTTGCGACTGCTTACAACTATCTCGGTTTGAGCGGCGAAGTCTTGCAGATGGAGCGCAGCATGTTGAAATATACAGTTCGGCAGCTCCCCAATCATCTCCGAGGAGACGCTTTGGACAGACTCAAGGAAAAGTTCAAGCGGGAAAGAGAAAGAATTGGGGGAGAAAGAGGTTGAAAAGGGCATTGCTCTTCACAATGCACATGCTACCCGCCGACGCCGTTCGGCTGCTTCGCTTAGGAAAGAAGTAGCTCTGCAGGCATATTCAAAAAGGCGGCAGAGCGTCGTCACCGGGACCCCTGCATTCGGGGCACGACGAGAACGGCTTTCACCCGACATGTCTAGCGCCGGCGATTTGCTTTTAAATACGCAACAAATGAAGTCTGGAACGGCGTCGCAGCTTGATATGGCGCGAGACGCCACATCTCCCCGGCCACAGCGAAATCTCAGTCCCTTCTCTACTCCCCGCAACGCACATGTCTCGCTTGACACAAGAGAGGCCCTTGATGAAGACGATCTGTTCAGAGAGTCGGTGCTTGAATGCATGTTCAGGGCCATTGGCCTGACCGGTAACGGCAGTGTCAATCCAGATTCCACGCAAGCTTCCCCCAGATTCGCTCCTATGGATCAGCGACATTCGAGGGCTGGCCGGGGCCATACTGCATTTGGCTTCATGGATGCTTTCGACCCATTTGACAACGACACGGAGTCAGTCACCTCAGGTGGATTTAACTCATCGTCGCCAGTTCCCAATCCCCAACTATTAGCACACGACATGAAGGACGAGGTTGAGATCGTCTTCTTTCCCAAGGGCTCTGTCTTGGTGGAGCAAGGCGAGAGGAATCCCGGTCTCTATTATGTTATTGATGGTTTCCTCGACATTTGCGTCCCGGGCGACGATTCATCACACGACCTCCTCCAATCATCAGCCAAGGTAGACCATGGCCACGGTTCAACAACTGGTGCTGACGCGTTTGGAGCCAACTCGTCGCCCTTTCCAGAGCCGAACATGAACAACAACTTTGGTGCTGAGCAGAAAAAGGGCAAACAGGGTCGAAGAAGCGTGGCTCTGATCAAGCCGGGTGGACTTGCTGGTTATGTCGGCACCATTTCCTCCTACAGATCGTTTATCGATGTTGTTGCGAGAACGGATGTCTGTGTCGGTTTTCTCCCACTCGCGTCCATAGAGAGGATTGTTGACCGCTATCCCATCGTTCTTCTTACCATGGCCAAGCGGCTTACCGAGTTGCTGCCGCGCCTGCTTCTGCACATTGACTTTGCTCTTGAGTGGGTGCAGGTAAACTCCGGTCAGGTTTTGTTCCGTGAAGGTGATGAGAGCGAAGCTATCTATCTTGTTCTGAATGGCCGATTGAGACTGGTCGAAGATCAGAAAGAGGGTGGAATGAACGTCAAAGCTGAATTCGGTCAGGGAGAGAGTATCGGAGAACTGGAAGTGCTGACCGAATCCTCACGTACCGGAACTCTACATGCGATCCGCGAAACTGAACTGGTGAAGTTCCCTCGGACACTGTTTAACAGCTTGGCCCAAGAGCATCCCAACATCACTATCAAGATCTCCAAGATTATCGCAGCTCGAATGAGGGCCTTTATCGACGATCCTTCGCGTATGGGACTCAAAGACAATGCGGTTCGAAGCTACAAGAGCTCATCAACCTTAAATTTGAGGACTGTGGCAATCTTACCTGTCACCGCGGGTGTTCCTGTGGTCGAGTTTGGCAATAGGTTAATGAGCGCCTTATCACAAGTTGGACTTCCTAATGGGGCGACTTGTTTGAACCAAGCAGCGATTCTAAACCACCTCGGAAAACACGCATTCAACAAGATGGGAAAGCTCAAGCTGTCGCAGTACCTCGCCGATCTCGAAGAGAAATATGGACTGGTTGTCTACGTAGCTGGTAAGTACAACTTGGTCGTTTCGGCTTGCCATAACCATCTCTAAACAAAGCTAACCCATAACAGACACGAACGTCAACACGCCATGGACCCAAACATGCATCACGCAAGCTGATTGCTTGTTATTTGTCGGCCTTGCGGACAGCTCCCCTGAGATCGGAGAGTATGAGCGCTTCATGCTTGGAATGAAATCGACGGCCCGCAAGATTCTTGTCCTGGTTCACCAAGAGCGTTACTCCAACCCTGGTTTGACGAGGCAATGGCTGAAGAACCGGATGTGGATTAACGGAGGCCACTTCCATGTTCAGATGGCATATACCCCCAACACGGTGCCTATCCATCAGCCCACGAAACGATTCGGGCCAAGCCTCAAGCAGCGGGTTCAGATCCTGCAGGCAGAGATCCAAAAGTACACCTCCCGAAAAGTTCGCCACGTTCCCTTCTACTCCCCCGATGCTCCGTTCAAGGGAGACTTCCATCGGTTGGCGAGGCGGTTGTGCGGCAAGTCTGTGGGTCTCGTCCTGGGTGGTGGTGGCGCCAGGGGCATTGCGCACATCGGCATCATCAGAGCGATGGAAGAGGCCGGAATCCCCATTGATATGGTCGGAGGAACATCAATCGGAGCCTTCGTCGGCGGATTATACGCCAGATATGCGGATGTGGTTCCCATTTTCGGTCTGGCCAAGAAGTTCGCTGGGCGTATGGCAAGCATGTGGAGGTTCGCCTTTGACCTAACCTATCCGTCCGCCTCCTACACAACCGGCCACGAGTTCAACCGTGGCATTTTCAAGACCTTTGGAAAGACGCAGATTGAAGATTTCTGGCTGGAATACTACTGCAACACCACGAACATCAGCAAGAGCCGAGTCGAGTTCCACACCAGTGGTTACGCATGGCGCTACATCAGAGCGTCCATGTCCCTGGCGGGCTTACTCCCACCTCTGTGCGACGAAGGCAGCATGCTTTTGGACGGTGGCTACATCGACAATCTGACGGTATCTCGCATGAAATCTCTCGGCTCAGATGTCATCTTCGCTGTTGACGTCGGCTCGCTCGATGACAACACACCGCAGGCCTTTGGCGACTCACTGTCTGGTGTATGGGCATTCTTCAACCGCTGGAATCCATTTTCGTCGGTACCCAATCCGCCCACGCTGGCAGAAATCCAAGCCCGTCTTGCGTACGTGTCGAGTGTCGGTGAGCTGGAAAGGGCAAAGACAATGCCTGGATGCATTTACATGCGCCCTCCGATTGATGACTATGGAACGCTGGACTTTGGCAAATTTGACGAGATCTATGGGGTCGGGTACAGATATGGCCAGGAGTTCCTCCAGAAGTTGAGGGAGCAGGGTGTGTTGCCACTGGCAGAGGAGACGGAGGCAAAGAAAGCGTTGAGGAGAACCATGGCGCCCAGGCGTGCGAGTATATAGTGCTGGCATCTTCTGGTTGCGTTGCGATGGCTGGCTTACAGGAGTGAAAAGCAGGTGAAGAGGAGTAGAAGATGGCAACTGCATTGAGCTTTTATCATTATGCATCATGTTTCACGAGTAACAAAGAGTTACACTGATTCTAGCGCTTTATGTAAATTTCGATTCGTTGATGCTACTAGCAAAATGGTTCGGAATAGGTCTCGCTAGGTTGATTAGAAGGAAACTTTTGTGTTGATGCTCTGCATCATTCTAGCTATCTCTTGCTTTTGTCTACCCGGCGCTATGCACCTATCATGCTTTTCTACCCACGCTCTAAGCCTTGACGACCTCCTCCGCGGCGTCGACCAGAATCTTCCATGCCCGGTCAACATGCACCTTCTCAGTCGTCCTCACACTAGTCACCATGCGAATGGCGAACCTGCCATCCAACACCGTGCTGGTCACCCACATCCTGCCAGAAGCGTTGATCTTCTCGCACACAGCCTTGGTAAGCGTGTTCAGCTCCTCCTCGCTCTTACCCTGCTCCTTGCCAGCGACCCTGAACACAGTGAGGGCAAAGCTCGGGCCGGTCAAGATCTCAAACAGATCCGGCCTCGACTTGAGCTGATCGGCAAACTCCTCGCCCAGCTTGATGGTGCGGCTGATGTACTCCTGCAGGCCCTTGACACCATACGACCGGAGCACGAACCAGACCTTGAGCGACCGGAAGCGGCGGCCGAGCGGGATCTGCCACTCGCGGTAGTCCGTTACCAGCCCGCCCTCGGACGCCTTGTTGCCGTACACGGCCTGGTTTATGGTCAAGGCCTGGATGAACCAGTTCCTGTCGCGCACGTAAAGGCACGAGGCGTCGAAGTTGGTCAGGAGCCACTTGTGCATGTTCATGTCGAACGAGTGGAAGTTCTCGATGAGCGAGATGGAGACATCTTGCTGGACCGAGGGGAGAACGAGGGCGGAGCCGGCGTACGCCGCGTCGATGTGCACCCACAGCTCGCCGGGAGTGCCGGCAGGGTACACGGGGTCGGACTTGAGCGTCGACACGATGCCGGCGAAGTCGTCGACCGCGCAGGTGTCGGTCGTTCCCAAGGTGGCGGTCATGAAGAAGGGCTCGAGGCCGCGGGCGCGCAGGTCAGCGAGCGTCTTGGCCAGCACGGGACCCGTAAGCGAGTATCCCGTATCGGCGTGGACGGCGGTGGTGTGAAACCGCACTCCCAAAATGATGGCAGCCTTCTTGGTAGAGCTATGGGTGGCCGTCGTGGCGAGCGCCACCATCTTGCTTCGCTTGTGGGCGATGGCGTCCTCGCGCGCCTCGGAGCCATCGGGGAACTGCTCAAGGGGAACCGTCTCGCGCAGGTACTTGTCGCGGGCGGCGACCATGGCCGTCAGAACGGCCTCGGAGGCGGAGCCCTGGATGACGCCGCCGCCCCGCGTGGGACCGGTGGAGAGGTAGCATTCGGGAAGGCCAAGGACCTTGGCTAGCCAGTCGAGCACGATGGTCTCGAGCTCGGTCACGGCTGGAGAGCAGATCCAGTTGAAGCAGGCGCCGGAGAGGGCGGCGCTGTAGAGCTCACCGAGGATGGAGGGGAAGGAGGTGGCGCAGGGGAAGAAGGCGTGGAAGCCGGGGTGTTGCCTAATCTGATGATCAGTTTTTTGTTTGAGAGGAAACATCATGGTGAGGTGGTCTTATTTACCAGTGAGTGATACCGGGGAGGATCTTGCCCTCGATATCTTTCTGAATATCAGTCCAGGCCTCGCCTTCTACTGGGGCCTCGGAGGGCAAGAGTTTTCGCAGGTAACCAGGCTCTACGGTGGACACGACATCCCGCTCGTCAAGGTTGTCATAGTAGCCGGCAACTGTATAAGTGTTAGTGAGATGTCCGCTGGGCGTGATAATAACCAGAAAAAGAGTTCCAGAAAGTCACGGAACTCACTCTCGTCAATGGCCGTGGCAGCGGCCTCACGGAAACCCCGAGAATCCATCTTGAAATATGATATATCTTAAAGGTAATGATCGGGCAAAGTGAAGTACGAACAAGAAGAGATTCAAGTGTTTTGAAACTCGCCTGGCGATGTCCCCGATATATACCACAAAGCTGGCGCCCGAACAAGTCCTAGAACCCCTCACATAGAGCCGGGTCCACTTATCCCGTTTCGGAGGTCCCGCAGCTGCCGGCCGAAAATCGGAATCCGGAAAGTGGAGGTCCAAAACCACGCCCTTTCGGGGACATTAATATCCACTGCTAACGGCAACATCCGATCCGGCACATGACAATGACAATGACTTCCTTCAACCGAAATCGAACCAGGACCAGAATGAGAAAACAAGCTTGACTGTATTTACACATGTTTGGCGAAAACGACATGCGCGGCCAGACTGGCTCCACACTCACACATCACAAGTCCCCAATGACCTTGTCCTTGACCTCCTCCGGCCCCTTCAGCGCATTGCAATCCTTATCGCAGGTGATCTCTCTCGGGACCTGATTTCGAGGATTCGAGTTATTATCGTCCACATCGTCAATGAACATCTCTTGCAAGTATGGCCATTCCACGGATGAGATGACCATCAAGACGAGCGGCGAGTGATCATCACTTACATGTGGCATGTCGGGTTTCGTCGGATACATGCAACAACACATCGGCCGAGATTCATACTCTAAGCATTTCTCGAGATAATCGACCTTTCCGGGCCCTGGACGTTCATTTATCATTAGTTCAAAGATCTGTGCTCGGGACTGAAGGATGAGCTCATTCCTACCAACGCATTCGACTTGGAAGCCGGAGTAATCCAGGGAATCGCAGCACATCGACAGCAACCTAGGTGGGCAGGTCGTTTTGCCATCTGCTGTGACAGCGTTGCTTTGGTGCTTCTCTGCAATTAGTACCTTTTCCTCGTGGGTCGGTGGAAGGAGCAAGCTCATGGCAGGAGCCGCCAGCGCGAGGTGAAGGAAGGAGATGCGCATTCTGATGGAGGAATTCACAAGTGAGGGTGTGATGCAGTATATCAACAAGAACGACAGCCTCGATCCTGACAGGAGGAGAACAGCACCAGATATATAGACATCTCGGACTTTGACACCAGTACAACATCAACATCACCACGACGCGCACCCCTGGCTGACTAACTGCAGCCGTTGGTGGCAAAACGCAACCTTCCCAAAAAAGAAAGGACCAACGAGGGACGCCTAGGTACCATGTACGTTATGTATACGCGCATCCTTGTTGAGCAGGAACTTGATTATTGGGATGTTGATTGCGTGTACAGAGGAAGCAGAAAACTACTACAAATTAAACAAGAAATAGCACCACCTCGTCGACATCGTCCATCGATAAACAAAAAGAAACAGCCGAGTACTGCCACAAAGTCATTTGATCCGGTCAGAAGACCAGGATCGATTGAAGTTGACGTCCACGACTCTCTCATCCACCGTGTATAGAGAAATACGGTAGCCCCCGTTGGGAAGAGCTGTGAGCGTCGCGCCCGCAGCCTTTATAATGTCGTCTGGCTTGAAGGTCTGGTAGGTTGTCCACTGCATGGCCTGCTGCGGGTTTTGATCGTCCGCCTTGGGCGCAACAGTGAGGTGGTGAACCGAGCCGTTGAGAACCGCAGATTCGCTGGGCGGGAGCGTCAGGAGCATCTTTCCTACCGCAGATGTGTGGAACACTATGGTATCGCTTGTCTCGTTCTTGACCAAGTTGAATTTGAAGGCGACGCGCGTCACAAGTCCAGTGCCATCACGCGACGGGTGGGCATACTGGAGTGCGGTGTCGGCAATGAAGTCGTCGGCAAGATATCTGGACTGGGTAAGAGACGGCACGACCGTGTCATTGCAGTACTTGATGACAGTGTCAAAGATTTCGGCGTCTCCGTTTGCTGCGCATTTGAACGTCACGGCAGATCCGGACCGTCCGCCCTCGATGCCGACGTACTTGAACGCATGGGCTTGGCCGAAGCCTGAGAGAGCAGCGCCAAAGCGATCAAGCCAGTCTTGGTCTGGTTGAGTCAGGACCTTGACCCAGATGAGAATGTCTATCCACTCGATTTTGTCATTCGAGGCGTTGTCGTCGGACTCCAACCCCATTGTTCCGATTCTCTGTGTCACAGAACTGGAATCATCGCTGCCGACGCCCTTCTTGGTGATGATTTCAAGGAGCTCCTTGCGGCCTGTCCGCTTTGGCTTAGGGAGGCCAGCCTCCGACCCAGGGGGAACCCTCGGTAGGCCGTTGACAAGGAGACCACGATTCGTCATTCGTTCCTCATACACACTTGGCTTGAAGAGAGCCTGGACGCGCTGTCTTCCTTCTGGCGAGAGCCCACCATCAATAATAGCATCATGGCCGCTGAGGGCCATGGTGCTGGCGCCAGGTCTCCCGCCGTTAGAGCTGCTCTCGGCCCATGCTGCCAAAATGACGTCGTAAATGGCCTTTTGTCGTTCGAGAGGGGAACTGCCAAACGACATGGACACAATGGAGCGAAGGTCGTTGACGGTCATCTTGCTGTTATCAATGGAAGAAACGATGGAAGTGATGGCCGTCATGTTTTTGGCTTTATTTTGGAGACCCTGGGACCGAAGTTCGAACGAGTAGATGTCAATGTCGATACGGAGAAGAGCTCCCAACTCTGTGGCAACTAGAGCATATGTGTAGTTCTGCGAGACCTGGCCTGACGAAGCCCCCAAAACGACGTTGAGTGCGCTGCCGATGATGTCTGTCACTCTTTGGCATGATTCATATCAGTATCCATGCTGCCTCATTAAGGTAGGATAATGCAGAGGGAAACGGTACTTACCCATCCAAGATCTGACCAGAAATGAGTTTACCCACGGAGGTTTTGATACCTGTGACGATTCCATCCTGTCCGGTAGTGGCGCTGGCGACGATAGATTGGCGTCGAAGAAGAACCTGGTTGATAGGAGCATATACCTTGATGGCACTGGAGGTCGCCTGGGCCCATGCGGCCTCGTTGCGGCTTTTGCCAAGCTCGAAGAGCGCATCCATGGACTCCTTGACCTGATTAGCCGCATCGTCACCCCCATCGATGCTCTTGATCATTGATGCTAGTTGTTGACCCATTTTGTTCGTCTTCACAATGAAGTCTGGCGTGCCGGCTGAAGATATTGCAGCGAAACAGGGACAAATATTGAGTGTCTTGGTGCTTTGAGAAGTGAAGAACTGATTCTTTCGACTGTAAAGGACGAGGAGAGACGACGCATTTATGTGCGTAAACTCAGACGAAGGTTGCTCGTGGCATTTCCCATCTCATCAACACTTTTCCTTCATCTTCACCTTTTGCTTCACCTTCGGCCTCACCGTGCCATGTGAAAAGCGGGGTGAGCTTTGTTTCCCTTACGTCAATAGCCACATAGCCGACACTCGATGCGAATCGGCGCAATAATTGTTCAAAAGACGGTTCCAAGTGGAATGTGACAATGAGATGCTGTGGGAGGGTTCAGCCAGCCAGGTTACAAGATATTGAGGGCTTAACGACGGTCTTCATATCAGTTTGGACTTGGTTACATCGTCGTTGTTGCTCTTGAGTAATTATAATCACACCGGTGGCTCGCTACGAAGATCATCACCCGATAGTCCAAGACTATTGCGGACTATTCTCCCTGGTAAGGCTATGGTGAGTAGATCTCTCAGCCAGCCTTCAAGAAGGTTCCAAAAAGACAATGGTACGTGATATTCGGTATGTTGATGTTTGTGCGCCACGCCGTGTCCTCAGTGTGGCATATCACGCCGGTGAACACAACGTTAGATATTGCGGCTGAGGTCTCAGCTAGCCTTATGTGGCTCTGGATCTTCAATGTCGAGCTCGGCCTGAAGAGGGGCTGCTACTTTTTCGGATATATCGAAATTTTCCTCCCCGACCGAGGGTATGAAGGTCTACATGCCCAAGTAAAGGATATTTGTATTGCCACCGAGATAATTGGATGACTTTCAGCAACGGTCTACTATCGTCGGTGACCACAACGCTGTCCGCATCGTGGCCTTTCAAGCTTAGACCTAAATCAGTATGCCATAAACAACCCCTAACAGTATAACAATCGCAATATTATTGCTTCAACTTGCTCGGCAGGTCAGCAGGTGTTCACGTGCCATGGCACCGCTGAAGGTGTGCAGGCCGTTCCAAGATTGGAGACAGTTCTTATATTCTCAGTATTTGGTACCTGGGACACACTTATTGTTTTCTGCTTATCATTGATCCAGGGAAGCATTGTACATGAACGGTGTTCGGCCCAAACATTGACCTACTGTGATTATGTCTACTTAATCCTTTGGTCCTCTGGGGTGGAATCCTTCCACCGGATGAGGACGGATCCGTGGATTGTTTTCACTATCACGCTTGTTCACCGCGCCAAAACCGGCCCCATCTGTTGTGATGAATTGTACTTGGTGTGGCATCCATCTTCGCAGATTTTCAGCAACACAAGGATGCGGAGAAGCATTGCCTTTGCCGAAGGCTTACATAGGATATCTGGAGTCAAGAATAGGTGGGAGCACTCACTATGATCGCCAACTCCGGATATGGCTTCTCTGAGCTCTTTGTGGAAGGAGTAGCCGGCGTGTGGCTGGCGTGTGTCCTCTGATCGGCCTGGCGAAGCATATCCAAAGTCGTATCTGCCAGAGAGAAGGATTGGGAGGAGGAAAGGGCGGGGAGTATTGTCCGATGGGCACATGTCGAGAGGCGCGGCATTCCCTCATGACAGGCCAAAGGGCCAAGTCAGATTGGAGTGTATCAAGCGGCTATCAGTATTCTCAGTGCGTTCCTATCCTTGTGGTTGCGATCAAATCAGCAAGATAGTTCTGTTGGGACCAACGGGCATTGGCCCAAGGCTCCGGTGTGACAGGAAGGAAGTCATCACGACCAGGGAGAGATATTCCCAAGATGGCTGATTAGAAGCCGAGCTGGTCACGGTTTCTTATACATATAAACCGCGCTTCGCCCCGCCTTTGAATGTCGTCTCTTTTCTTCAGAATCATCACACCTTTGACACAATCTATTGATCGCTTCCCTTCTTCGCTTGATCACCTTGTTTTCCTCGAGATAACCACAGGAACAGACGTCAGAGCTCAAGATGGCCGGTTTGCAGGCTTCGGTTTCAATCAACGGCAACTTATTGTCGCTGTCTAAACCTTCATCCGCTGATGCTCGCTTCACCAAGTACCTCTATATTCGTGGTACTGGTCCGCTCTCACCTACTCAGAAGCAACAGCTTGCCGATATTGGAGTGACTCTCTTTGAGTACCTGGGAAAGGTAACAGCTTTGCTCTCCTTGGATGTTTGATGTTGACTTGGCACTTACAAGTTGACCTAGGACACGTACCTATGCCGCTATGACCCTGCCGACCTCGCACCGGTCCTCAACCTCGACTTCATCGCAACCGCAAATGTATATCCTCGGCGGGTCAAATTGACTCAGTTCCTGAGCGATGCCATCCGAGCCGACCAAGCTGACACCTCTACCCCGGCGAAGAAGTTCGACGTTGCTATTATCTTGCACAAAGGTGAAGCGCAAGATGTTGACACAGTCATTTCGGAGCTGTCTGCGAAGGCTGGCCTCGGCCGGGATGCCATCACGGTCGACCATAACCATATCCACGTTTGCGCCGATGGTGAGACATTGGCTAAGATTGCCGACATGGACGCGGTCCGCTCAGTCCAGGAGATCGTTCCTCGGACTTTTTTTAACAACGTCGCCCGCCAGGATATGTTCGTGCCGGATTATTCGGCTGTCTCGTCTGAGGTCGCCGCTGACGGCTTCACTGGTGCTGGACAGGCAGTCACCGTAGCTGACACCGGCTTCGACCTTGGATCCATGACCAACGTACACCCTGCATTTGTTGGACCTAACAAGGAGAGTCGGGTGATCGACCTAATCGCAGTCGGGCGTCCGAAATTGACGAATGACCCAAGGAGCCATGGTACGCATGTATGCGGCTCTGTTCTCGGAGACGGGTATTCTGAGAAATGGGGCAAGATCCAGGGCACTGCTCCGAAGGCTGAGCTTGTGATGCAGTCTCTGTTAACCCAGCAGGGTGGTCTCAACACGGGAGCAAATCTCTGGGATACTCTCTTTGATCCGCCTTATAAGAAGCACACGAATGCTCGTGTCCACACCAACTCGTGGGGTGCAGACTGGAAGTATGCGAAGCGGCAGCTTGCTTACAACTCCTCTTCTGAGGACATTGACCGATTCGTTTGGCATCGCCCTGATCGTACGTATTTACTTTGTTCACTTTCTTCCTTCATGGATCCTTTCCAGGCCTCCATCTTCGTCTTTGGGTCGCCAGCTGTATCCATCTTTCATGGTCCCTCTTATAAGATTGCTAACCGAGGTTCCTTGTCGCAGAGATCATTTGCTTCGCCGCAGGAAACGATGGCAAGCAATATACTGCCACTGGGGCACACATTGGCGCCGAGGGAGCCGCCAAAAACTGCATCACCGTTGGAGCTACGCAGTCTTCGCGAGGCGCGGAAGGCTACAGCTTCAACCCATCTGCAGCTGCGTCCGGAGACCGCGGTGCCATCGCCGCCTTCAGTTCCCGGGGACCGAGCTTAGAGGGCCGCATAAAGCCCGATGTTGTTGCGCCGGGCTTTCCTGTGTTCAGCGCCGCAACTCGTGACCCAAGCGTCACACCAGCTGAAAAGTCCAAGTTTGGCCCGTACGATCAAACCGATCCGTTATGGATGTTCAGCTCTGGCACCAGTATGGCAACACCGCTCGTTGCCGGAACATGCGCTGTCTTGCGGGGTGCGCTGGCGTCCAAGGCGAATTTGAACAAGCCATCAGCTGCGCTCGTCAAAGCTCTCCTAATCAATGGCGCGATAGACCTGGGACGTCCCCAGGCAGAGCAAGGATTTGGCAGAGTAAACTTGGCCCAGACCCTTCTGCCTATTACGCATGAACTCGGCGCCTCAAGAATGGTGTGCGGGTTTGCGGACGTTGGCATGGCGACTGGGGAGAAGCTGGAGGAATGGGGGGAGTGGAAACAGGTCGTAAATACTTGTTCGCTTCAGCGGGTGTCGAAGGTCAAGGTCACTCTCGCATACTCGGATCGCCACGGCATGGAGATACAAAACAAGTTGTCGTTGAAGGTCAAGATAGGGAACGAGGAGAGGCGATTCGTGAGCGCCGTGGAGAACAACGTGGAACAAATCGAGTGGGACCTGGACAACAAAGTTTTCGATACGGTGACCATCATTGTACGCGCCGACAGAATCGCGCGACTTGGTGACTCGCAGGCCTTTGCCGTTGTCTGGAGGGTCGTCTATTAAATGCAAGGCCGAGGTTTCATGTCCTCGTATGTCGTGCGGAGGCACGTCTTTTGATCGAGCTGGTTGGCTATGACGACATGTGGGCTATGTAGCTGCAGAAATTATTCTCGATTCAATGGCAATGCAAGGTTCTTTGAGTGTCGTGAATGATGTGGAAGGAAGTGAAAATTGGTGGATGATGAAAGGACGAAGATTCCGTGAACTGATAGGACGCGCATATCCTATCCTATGCACTGCCACGGAAATGGGATAGTAACACTTAATGCTAGGATTGACCTTGAAATCACATGAAATCCTATTAAGCGCCAGTGGTTTAGTGGTAAAATCCATCGTTGCCATCGATGGGCCCCGCGTTCGATTCGCGGCTGGCGCATGGCGATTTATCTGTTTTTTTGTCTCTTTTCCGTTTCGTCCGTCCCCCGTGGGAAAGACCCAAAAAAACCCCTTTTGATATCGAAAATCAGGATGTCATTTTCTTTCATTCTGATCGGTTGTACACAAGACTGAAGCGAACTATCGCCAAGCTCTTGGTAAACATTGATCTTCCATAATGTTTTCGTTTCGTCGGATAACTGGAATTTTGTTATGCAATTGTTCGAAGATGATTTTCAGTTTTGTCTAGACTGAAAGAAGTTTGAGTGTCCAAGGCCCAAACATTGTGAAGCAAATCGTCCTCAAATACGACTTTCTTGACCCCCAAACTCAGAGCTCTTAGGTGTCAAATAGCTTGCAGATACCCGTCAATGCCAAAAGGACTGGACATGTTTCACTCTTTGACGTTGGCGGCGTTCGTTCAGTCTACGCACAGACCAGGTAATCTTCGTCTGTGAAAGAGCCAAGAGCCCAGGATCTTGGTGCCGCGACGTGGAACGGCAGGAGGTGGACGCCCAGTGACGTCGATCACCCTTTCTCGAATTCCAGGGTTCAAGCTTCACCAACTAAGCTCCAGACCTGCCCGGTGCTTTCCATCTCATCATCGTCCCTGATATATCGGGACGGCTCGCTTTCCTCTCAATCGCGTGCATAGACCGGCATATATCAAACCTCCAAACTCTCTACGACGACTGTTCCTGAATTGACGCCAACCCTATTCGAAGCAACGGGCCTGAGCGCCAATTACCACCGACAGCATGGCCGACCCATTGTCGTTTTACTTGCAGGACGACAAAGCCCAGCCCGGAACCGGGTCCAACTTTGAGTGAGTGAGATGGGGGCCTTACATGGTCTGTTTTGGTTTGATATGTGACTGTGACTAACATAGGCGCGCAGCGTCGACTATGTGATCCATTACAAGCTACCCACCACTTCCGGTTCGTCCGCCCCTGCCTAACCTCTCTAGCGGGATCAGACGATACTAACATCCACCCAGTGAAGGAAAAGGAGGAAGCCGAGGCTGCCTTCATTCAGCTCATCAACGCCCTCTCTGCTGTGGGATTTGCGACAGAAGTTCGACCGGGCGGTAAATCCTCCCTGTTGGTCTTCACCAAGATCGCTTCCGAGAAGCTACTCACTTCCCAGGTCTACCGCTACCGTATCCAGGACTGGCTCTTCGGCGTCCGCACCTCTGCACCCAACCAGGATCTTTCCAAATACCTTGAGGAGGAGCCCGTGAGCGAGGCCGAACGTCTCCGACTGACCTACCTTCTCATCACCAAATCCAAGAACGAGGGCGGCGCCGGCATTACCGCCAAGGTGGGCAAGTGGAAATACGTCGAATCCGTCTTCCCCCTTCACGACCATGCGTTCAACCGCCGATGGATCAAGGCTTGGTCCGGCAAGTACTTTCTCGATGAAGAGGACCTGAACCGTATCCGGGACAAGTTTGGCGAGCGCGTCGCCTTCTACTTCGCCTTCCTCCAGTCTTACTTTGCCTTCTTGCTGTTCCCGGCTGCCTTTGGCTTTGCCGCTTGGCTCATTCTCGGAAAGTTCTCGTGGTTCTATGCCGTCGTCAACTCCCTCTGGTCGGTGGTCTTCTTTGAGCACTGGAAAACCAAGGAAGTCGATCTTGCCGTCCGCTGGGGAGTTCGCGGTGTTTCGAGAATTCAGCACCCGAGGCCGCAGTTCCAATACGAAAGGGAAACTCAGGATCCGATCACCGGTGAGATCGTACGGGTGTACTCACCATTCAAGCGTCTCTCCCGCCAGTTGCTTCAGATTCCGTTCGCCCTGGCTTGTGTTGTCGTTCTCGGTGGCCTGATTGCGAGCTGCTTCTCGATCGAGGTTTTCATCACCGAGATCTATGCCGGGCCGTTCAAGCAGTATTTGACCTTTTTGCCTACGGTCCTTCTCACCATCTTCATGCCGACCTTCTCGGGATTGCTCACCAACCTCGCCGAGCAGCTTACCAAGGCCGAGAACTACGAGACACACGATGCTCACCAAGCTTCCTTCATCGAAAAGATCTTTGTGCTCAACTTCATCACTTCCTACCTCCCTATCCTCTTGACAGCCTTTGTCTACGTCCCGTTCGGAAAGCTTCTTGTCCCCTACCTGGATGTGTTCAAGGTCACCGCCCAGAGCTTCACGACCATGGAGAAGCCGGTCACCAAGAGCTGGGAGATCAACCCCGACAGGCTGACACAGCAAGTCATCTACTTCACTGTCACCGCACAGATTGTCAACTTCTTGACCGAGGTGATTGTGCCGTATGCCAAGCGCAAGGTCTTCAAGAAGGTTCAGGAGGTGCAATCCGAGTTTTCCGGCAACGGCCACGAGCTACAGATCAAGGACCACCCCGATGAGGCCGACTTCCTCAAGCGTGTCAGAAACGAAGCCGAGCTCGACGAGTACGATGTCACGGTTGACTACCGCGAGATGGTGGTTCAGTTCGGGTATCTCTCGCTCTTCTCCGTCATCTGGCCGCTTGCCGCCTGCTCCTTCCTCGCCAACAACTGGGTTGAGGCCCGCTCCGATGCCCTGAAGATTGCCATCGGCAGCCAGCGGCCCGTTCCCTGGCGCGCCGACTCTATCGGACCCTGGCTCAACTCGCTCGGCTTCCTCTCGTGGATGGGCAGCATCACCAGCGCCGCTCTGGTCTACCTGTTCAACAAGCACGACATCAACCCCGATGGCACCCCCTGGGACATTTCCGGCTGGGCGCTGCTCCTGTCCATCCTCTTCGCCGAGCACATCTACTTTGCCGTGCAGCTGGTTGTCCGCAGCCTGGTCCAGAAGCTGGACAACCCTGGTCTGCAGAAGGAGCGTGCCGAGCGGTACGCCATGCGCAAGAAGCTGCTCGAGCAGACTTTTGGTTCTCACGGACACGATGCCGACCTCACCGAGGAGGCTCAGGGTCCCGGACATGTGAGCAGCGGTGAGAGAATCACGAGGGAGGCGCTCGAGGAGGAGGCCAGAGTCAACGCAACCAAGACGCCGGAGCAGTTGTTCTGGCTGCGCCAAAGAGGCGCGGCGGAGACCATTGAAATCGGACGAGGTTTGATCGCCGAGGTTAGTACAAACATGACCCCCAACACATGAAGTTCCAGCTGAGCGCGCACAAAACTGAAACTTCGAGGCTGACAAGAAAACACAGGTGGCGGCGGCAAACCAGACCAAGTCGTAGTGTAGATGTGCCCGGCACAGCGGCTACACAAAAACACTTTCATGTGTTGAATTTCAAGGATGGCGACCGGTCACCAAGACACTACCATGTGTGGGGTGGTCTTGGTATGCGGAGTGGTGGTGGAACCAGTTCCGTTTCAACGTGGGAACATTTCCATGGTGGAGAGGAAACCTGGATAAATCGGATGACGGCGATCATGGGCGAGACTGTAATACGAGGAGTTAACTCGGGTGTGCAGCAGAGGAGGAAGGATAAAACACTACCTAGTAGTGCAGTGGAGAATGGCATTAGAACGGGAATAGTTGTTAAGTGGAACATTGAGTAGTGTATTGTTCGGATCTCAATCATCACATCTGTTGCCAGGTGAATCTTCCATGACACTTCATCGGGGGTTTGTTTTGTTCACGCGTCAAGGAGGAGATCAAACTCCAAAGGGGGGTCTGGCAGAGCCGCCCAGACGCCAAAGTTTTTATCCGGTGCTCCAAGGGCCAGGGGCAACCCCAACTTTTGTTATCGGACGGCGGATTGGATGACAGTTGCAGTGTGGGGTTGTTATCGCGGCCCCGCCTCCCACGCTTAGAAAGTTGCTGGAGGACGACTCCGCATCATGCACCTCCACGTTTGAAGCCGATGCCGAGCTTTTCTCCACACGAGTTGGGGTCATTTGGAATTGGAGGGTCGCCGATTGGTGCGCTACGGTAAATCGGAGTCGGTTGGCCCAGGTAATCGCCAGGATGTCCGAACTTCGCAGCCTTCTGGTGGTGTCTGTGTTCCGCTGGGTGCCGCTGAAGTGTTGGGCCCAAAGCGCCGCTTTCTCGCGTATTCCCATTCCGATCAGCAACGCCGGCGTCGTCTTGATTTTCTCCTTCAGGAACTTGTGTCCAGTCTAGCGTGCTTCTCTATAGCCGGCGTTGCCATCTTTTATATCGTCTTCTCCCCTTTCTTCGTTTTGCGTCCTTTCGTCTTCTCTCATTCCCATTATTACTGTCTGTCTCTCTTTGGCTTCACTGCCAAGCTTTTTCTATCGTCTGACGTAGTTGGTTGTCGCCGCCCCGGATACCGTTTAGCGGAAATAACAGTCAGACCACCACCATCACCACCACCCCCATCTTTCCGCTCTCCTCCGGTTTATACGCCGAGAACCGAGCATTATATACAGAAAACCCGGAACCACAGGACGAAAACCACCAGTCGACAGAAACTACCACACAACACAAGTCAAAATGGCCCCCCAAACACCACTGACCGGCGTCGAGGTCGCCAAGCACAACACCAAGGATGACTGCTGGGTCATTGTCCACGGCAAGGCCTACGATATCACAGAGTTCCTCCCCGAGCACCCCGGCGGCATGAAGATTATCCTCAAGTATGCCGGCAAGGACGCTACTGAGGAGTTCGATCCCATCCACCCCCCAGACACTCTTGAGAAGTACCTGGCCAAGGACAAGCACCTGGGCCCCGTCGACATGTCCACCGTCGTGACCGAGAAGGCCGAGGTCGACCCCGAGGAGCAGGAGCGCTTGAAGCGCATTGAGGAGATGCCCTTGCTCGAGCAGTGCTACAACCTGCTTGACTTTGAGGCTGTGGCCAAGAGGGTTATGAAGAAGACCGCTTGGGCCTACTACTCCAGTGCGGCGGATGATGAGATTGTAAGCCTCTCCTTCTTCTTTCATCCCTTCTTCGGATTGCCTATGTTAGATCGCTTTGCTAACCTAATGCTCCTCAGACTCTTCGCGAAAACCACGCCGCATTCCACCGTATTTGGTTCCGTCCCAAGGTCCTGGTCGATGTCGAGAACGTCGACTTCAGCACTACCATGCTCGGAACCAAGGTTGATATTCCTTTCTACGTTACTGCCACTGCCCTCGGCAAGCTTGGTCACGTCGAAGGCGAGGTCCTCCTCACTCGCGCCGCCAAGAAGCACAACGTGGTCCAAATGATCCCCACTCTTGCCTCTTGCGCCTTTGACGAGATCGTGGACGCCGCTGAGGGCGACCAGGTCCAGTGGCTGCAGCTCTACGTCAACAAGGACCGCGCAATCACCGAGCGCATCGTCAAGCACGCCGAGAAGCGCGGCTGCAAGGCTCTCTTCATCACTGTCGATGCGCCCCAGCTTGGCCGTCGCGAGAAGGACATGCGCGTCAAGTTCACCGACGACGGCAGTAACGTCCAGAAGGGCCAGGAGACCGACCGCAACCAGGGTGCGGCCCGCGCCATCAGCAGCTTCATCGATCCCGCCCTCAGCTGGAAAGACATCCCCTGGTTCCAGAGCATCACCAAGATGCCCATCATCCTCAAGGGCGTCCAGCGCGTCGAGGATGTGATCAAGGCCATCGAGGTCGGCGTGCAGGGTGTCGTGCTGTCCAACCACGGCGGCCGCCAGCTCGAGTTTGCCCGTTCGGCCATCGAGGTCCTCGCTGAGACCATGCCGGTCCTGCGCGAGCTCGGCCTCGAGAACAAGATCGAGATCTACATCGACGGCGGCATCCGTCGCGGCACCGACATCCTCAAAGCGCTCTGCCTGGGTGCCAAGGGCGTCGGCATCGGCCGTCCCTTCCTGTACGCCATGTCGGCGTACGGCTTCGACGGTGTCGACCGTGCCATGCAGCTGCTCAAGGACGAGATGGAGATGAACATGCGTCTGATTGGCGCGACCAAGATCGAGGACCTCAGCCCCGCCCTGCTCGACCTTAGGAGTCTTTCCAACCACGGCGCGCCGCCGACGGATACGCTTTCCAACCTCTCGTATGATGCTTTGATTACGCCGGCGCAGAGGATCAAGTTTGCGGAGAAGTCCAAGATTTAAAAGAGGTTCTGTTTATACATATATGATGGGTTAGATTTGATGAAGTGATGGATATATCCTGGTTTTTTTTTTCTTCCGGTTTTCTTAGAGAATAAAAGGGGGTTAGCAGCGGTACATATCTGCTAGAATTTTCTGGATATGATGATAGCGACACATTACGACGACGAAGAAGAAGAAGAAGAAGAAGAAGAAGAAGAAGAAGCCTATTTCGAACTTCGTCATTTTAAGCTATTTTCTCCATTGTTACTTGCTTTTATTCTTGTGCAAACCCACCACCTATCCAATGACTTCAGTTTGGTCATGAGTCTTCCAAGTTGAGCCTGCCAGACTCACTAGACGTGTCAGAGGCAAAACCCGAGGTTTCAAGAATATCCCGAATCGACGAGCTACCGCCTCCCCCCACCTCGGCTACGACGACCTCGTGTAGTATGGTGTGTGTGTGTGTGGTTATCCTGGTTATGTGCGTGCTGCTCACATGAACGCCTCTTTGTGTGTGTGTGTGTGTCGGAGGTCGGAGGTCGACCCGATGGAATGGTGCAATCAGGGAAAACCGGGAAAGTGATCGCCGCCCATGATCGGTCATGAATCCTGCATTTTTATTTGGCCGTACTGGGAAGGGAAGTGGATTAAGAAACCGGTTGTCTGGTCTGTACCATGGTACACGTACACTACTACAGATTACCAACTATCAAAGCCTTGGTCCTGATAGGTAAGGGGCGTAAATACCTCAAGAGAGGATTAGGATGGTTTGAGGAGGATGCTCGAAAGAAGGGGCAATGCCAATCTCGATTGTGATTTGAATCTTGCATTGCAAGCGCGTGGTTTTGCCGTTACGCTGTGTATCTTGACCTGGCTCGCCTGGCCAGTCTCGGAATAAGAACGAACATGTAAGCTGACACAAGACCAAGACCGGGGAGTTATCTCCTGATTGTAGGGGTCGTTTGTATTTGGCCATTGAGAGGTAATATCTGGCATGAATTTAGGATCAATGCAAAGGGATTGAATGATTCTTGGGACGGAGTCATTGAGATCGTCCAAGCGAACCAACCTACCTCAAACTCTCAAACTCCCTTTTTGGCGATATCCTCGTGTAAGTCAGACCCCAACACAACAAGCAGCTGAGGTCGCCAACGCCCTAGCGGCCAAGTTTCTTTCAGGCCTAGCACGCACTAACCCGCTCGGCTATACCCGCTAATAACTGGGACTCGGTGTTTCTGGTGTAAGCCGCAGGCAGAGCTCCAGTCATCCAAGACATTTGCTAACATGCCGCTGATGACGTATAGCGGCTTTGGAGGTGTCGAAAACATGACTATTTCGAGTCACCAGACTAACCAGACGACTTCCAAAGAAGCAAAAGAACATGTCACTGCATGATACACTAGATATAGTAAGTAAAACTGATGGGCGGCACTACCGTGAGGCACAATGTAAATCCCTGCCTACATCCTGTCTGTAATATCCCGTCATTACATCCTCAATCTGCACATATGCACAATCCATCCCGTGGCCTCGGGGACAGCTTGGCTGCCTGCCGCTGCGCCACTGTACCACGTACTGAGACGAAGCATGTGCATTGCCCTGCAGAGTCCCCTACTGTGGACGGGCAGCGCCGCTGGTCATGGTAGGTACTGGTACTGGTACCGATATCGTAAATGCATGATGGGAATGGTGAATGATCCCCTTGAGCCAAACTTTCATCATGTTCCCGATTGCCTCTTCCGGGTTTTGTTATTTTCTGCATTTCCGTTTTGTTCTACCGTTGTCGTTGTCGCGTTGCACGTGTTCACTGAAACAAAAACGCACCGTATCATTGAGAACCGGAAGAACAAGACAAGGCTGGCGCGAGCTGGTAAGGTGTGAGTGGTTTGGCCCTACGGCTAGAAATTAAAAGCGAAGGAGCAATGAAGACGAAGACGAAGAGAAGAAGCTGAGACTTGTTGAGGAAGGCTCTGCCCGGTTTCATCTTTCAACAAGCAACACAAAGTTGCCCGGTCGCCACAACCCGTACATCATCCAGTGTCTTACATCTACCTGTGGTCCATGTAAATTACACATGAAGGCCGAATGAAACATTCTCCACAAACCTTAACGGCCATCCTTGCCCGCCCTTGTCATTGCTCTTATCCTTCATTGCCTACCCTGTCCGTCACCCAATGCCTTTCTTGGTTTCAACTAAACAACTTTCCCCACCTTCCCCGTCATCCAGACTTTCTCCAACCGTCCTCCAACTACCCATCATTACTTACTTTGCGGCATCGAGGGGAGAAAACGAAGGGGAAGAGGAGAAGAAAAACATCTATCTATAATACCTAGCACACAGACGAGACAAGACAAGGACGAAGAAGCACACAGGCCAGCTACAGAAAAACCGACTAAAACCGACAACTAGACGAGACAACAACGTTCCATATTACCTACCCACGGAGACAAAAACAAAAAAAAAAAAAAGAGAAAACAACGACAACCTCGCCTGTGACGACAATGTCGTCCTCTCTCGAGGCAAAGATAGTCGTCCTCGGCTCCCAGGGCGTCGGCAAAACATCCCTGGTGACGCGCTTCTGCAAGGGTGCCTTCAACCCGGCCCAGATCACCTCGACTGTTGGCGCCAGTATGATGACCAAGCGCGTTATCGACACCGATACCGATACCGTGGTGCGATTACAGATATGGGATACCGGTAAGTTGTGATGTTCATATACTTCTTTATCCCCATACTTCCTTCTTTCTACATACCCATGTCCTCCTCCTCCTCCTACTTGCCCCACCCACCTACCATGTAACAATCCCCAGCACTCCCCAAATAGGAAATCAACAAAAGACAGACATATGTAGTATTCTAACGAACATCCAAATAACAGCCGGCCAAGAACGTTTCCGCTCCATCTCCCGCCTCTACTACCGCGGCGCCAACGCCTGCATCCTCTGCTACTCCATCACCGACGCCGCCTCCTTTGCGGAAATGGGCATGTGGCTGACCGAACTACGGCGCAACCTGCCTCAGGATATCGTCCTTCACGTCGTCGGCACCAAAGCCGACATCGTCGCCCGCGACCCTTCCAAGCGCGAAGTGCCCTTTGAGCGCTGCATCGCCTACGTAGCCGAGAACCTGAACCCAGGCGTGGGATCGACGCCGCCGCCTACTGCCACACCCTTGGGGATGCCGCTGGCGATACCGGGGATGCCAGGGGTGTTGAATTTGAGTAGTGGTGGCTTGGGAGGAGGTTGGCAAGGGACAGGGACTGGTGCGATGACGCGGGAGACGATGGCTGCTGTGACTACAGCTGGGACAACAACGGAAAGACCAGAAAGATCCGGGATAGCCGGCCTAGGCGGAATCCGGCTACGAGGGGCCGGTGGTGATGCATCACGACAAGAAAACCAAAACGCCGAAGGAAGCAACACCACAACAACCGGCACAGGACTCGGAGGACCAAGACCGCGACTACGCAACCACCCCTTAACCCGCACCAAAGCACCGAACCCCGCTCTCCCTCGAGCAAACGCTCCTCGGGCTTCTGGGGCCAGGAAGTCGGCTGGGACGCGTGCCACGAGGTCAGCGCCGAATCAGGCGAAGGAGTAGAGGAAGTGTTTCGCGTGGTTACCCGCAAGCTGGTGGAACAAAACCGCAAGATGCAGCAAGCTTTGTTAGCGGCGGCTGCTACACCGGGTGTTTTTTACACCTGGCATGTTCGGACCCGCCAGTGGGTATTATCCTGATGGTGTAACAGGAGGGCCAGGCGGCGCAGGCGGAGGGGCCGGTGGTAATGGTGCTGGTGGAGGAGCAGGAGGAGCAGGAGGCTCAGGTGTTGCTGGTGGTGGGAACGGAGCCCCGGGCTACTTTGATTTAAACCCCAGAGCGACTTTCCGCGTGGGCAGGGATAGGAAGAGTTGGTTGTTCTCGCCGGCCATTTTGACTCCGGGGATATTGTTGCCTGGTGGAGGGGGAGGGGATGGGGGTGGCAGTAGTAGTGGTGGTGGGGGAGTGAATGTGGGCGGGGAGCAGCAAGGCGGTGAGGTTGGGAGGAGAAATGGTGGGAAGGGGAAGTGTTGTTGACGCTTTTGATCATCTCTTCACAGGTCTGGAAGTCGGTGCTTGGCAGGTCTCTCTCCGTGCTGCGCTGACCAAAAAGAAAGAGGATGGCAAGAAGGAAAACATGATGGATGGATGGACGCATGCATGCATGTCTATCATGATGATACCCATGATTTTACGGAACGGAACGAAACAGAACTGTCTTTTCTTTCTCTCTCTTGCGTTGCTCTTGGCTTGGCTTCGCTTCGTTTTGCATGGATGGTTTTTACGGCTTGGTTGGAACCTGGATCACATGGGTTATGGGTTTGGTTTGCTTGGCTTGGGAGAGCATTGCGATAAACGGAAGGGAAAGAGAAAGGGAAAGGGGCTTTTTTTACCTTGAGTTTTCCGTCTGTTTTCCCTCTCTGCTCGTTTTCCACTGGGCTTGTTTGGACCATGGATAGTTTGGCGGCTTTTTTTTGTCTGCGTCCTGCCTGCATTGTGTTTTGTTTTCCTCACAAGGTATCCTTCATCTGCTCAAGGTTGCTTGCTGTGTGTTTGTGTTTACTTTGCTTTCCTTGTTTTGCTATTATCATTATTCATCTTATCGCTCCTGCTGGAACAGGCATGTATGTCTCTTCATTGAACTTTCCTAATTTTCTTACTTCGTTGTCTACTCTTCTGTTCCAGTTTTCTTCTTGGTTTTTATTTACTAGTACTAAGCATCGGTGGCATTGGGTTCCTCATTGGTAACGGCATGGACACAAGCATGGAAATACGCATGAATAGGTACAAAGTTTACGCATGGGCTTGGTAAAAGGGAGGTTTACAGTCTGTTAATTCTATCATTATGGACCGATAAAGGGGTTCTCGAGTCTAATAGTCGTAACCTTACTGGCTTCATTATTGCTGGGGACGCTGTTCAGTCGCTCACCTCATCCAATTGCACTTGTCTCTGTTAAGGTGTGAAGAGCTGTTATGGGGGAACTTTATGACGTTCGTAAGTAGCTTCCCCAAGAGATAAGTCCCGTGACCGAGGCCCTCAAAGTTATCGAACTAATCCTTGATTTGTCTATCGTTGCTCTCTAAAACCATCGTCTATGAGCTTGGGTATCCGTCAACGAAGATATCATGTTCCAATCTGGAAGAGAAATCTCTAAAAGAGCCATGAAATGTGAGGCCAAGCAAGCACCTCACTAGATCCCTCAGCCAGCTTCCTATCAATGCCCGCTGTATCTGGACTGCCCGTAAGAGGGTGTCCCATCGCTGAGCACCTTTTCTGTGCCGAAATATGTAATGAACTGGCGTGTTAAACAGCCGTCCCATGCACCTCCCCATCCTCATCCACCACATCCGCTTCCGCTGCCACTCCACCATCAACCTCCATCGGCACCCCCTTACAATCACACCCCAACTTCTCCCTGAACTCCTCCACAGTCATACCCTCCAGCATCTTAATAGCCTTCTTCGCCATAGCACTCTTCGCATACCTTCCACTGGCCGCCACCGCATGCGCCACCGTCTTGCCGTGGACCAGTAGCGCCGACACCACCTTGGGCGGGTTGATCTCAGTAATTTCACCCGCCACCGCACCACCCCTTCCTCCTCTTCCTTCGGATACGTCTGTGTCCAGCTCCTTGGCCAGACTCCTCCATTCTTGACAGCAGAACTTGTGCGCCATCATGTTCGCCACAAAAGTAACCGGGTGTTTGTTGGCGAAGGAGTCGTAGAGATGCATATCCTCGAAGAAGGGTAGGACGTGGGTGGTGAAGAATTGCTGGACTACCGAGTAATCGTACTCGCTATCCACAAAAATGGCGCCAATGTAGGCTTCGACCACGTCCGACAGACATTTTGGCAGGCGGGAAACGTGCGTGATGTGCACCCAGTAATCGCGGCTGTATTCTTCGGGTGCCTTGCCCTGGTTGACGGCCTCCTGCTTGGCCGCCTCGAGTGCTTCTTCTATCTCGGTGACGTACTCGGCGATGTCCTTGAGGATGGATGGGCTCATGGTGGCGACGCACTTGTAGAATCCCAGGTGGTAGGACAAACAGCATAGGAACTGGTTGGATACCATGGCCATCTTGTGCTCCGTCAACCATTGCGGGTCGGCAGCGGGGAACTTGCGGAAGAGGTAGTCGACGGCGACCATGTCGAAGAGCGCGTCGCCGAGGAACTCGAGACGCTGGTACGACGGGAGGCGTTCGTAGAGGGACGGGTAGGTTGGGTGCTGGAAAGCGGCGCGCAAGAGACGTGGATGCTTGAATTTGTAGCCCATGCGCTCCGAGAACTTATCGGCCATGTCGCGCTGGGCGCTGTTGGCCGGTGCCGTCTGCCAACTAGGCTTTTGATATACAGCGTAGTAGTCACCATAGTTCATCATGCGGTGTTTCTTGTCTCTGACCATGGCGGTTACGGCCTTGATGGCCATGTCGAAGCTGCCCTTCTCTTGTCCCGTGAGGTAGGCGGCGCCGATGAGGGCCTCGCACACGTCGGCAATGGACTTGTCGGCCAGGACATGCCGCGTACGCGCGTCCTTGTTCTTGCCTTTTTTCAGAACTAGGCCCTCCGGATACCACTGTCTCCGGTTAAATGACATGGACCGGATGTATTCTTCGAGGCCTACCTCTAGGGCGTTGTTGAGCAGGTTCTTGTTGCAAATAAGAAGCATACGCTCGACGTGATACTCGAACTCACCCTTGTCGGGGATTAGAGTGTAGATGGACATAGTGGTTGCCATCTTCAAGAAAGAGTCACCGAGGAACTCGAGCCTCTCGTAATTGTCACCCATTCCAGTCTGGAAGTTTACCTGCTCGACATCATGCTCATTCGAGTTATCACTGTCCTTGGTGAAGGCTTCAAGGGCGAGGTCTGGGCGCAAGTCTAGACCCAGAAGCTTGCATGCGTCCAACGCAACTAGGTTGGACTCTACCCGGTGTATGATTGATGGGAAGCAGAGAAGCATCGCCGCCACATCTGCTGGTATCTGTATAGTACATGTCAGGATCGCTGTCCTGGTTTGAAGGTGGGTACACTTACAGGTGAAATCCTCAACGGTTCAAGAGCTAGGAAGCACGGTTGTGGTTCCAAATCCTCATCTAGGATGGCATCGTCAAGAAAGTCTCGACGAGTGGAAATAAGCCTAGCCTCCACGACAGGCTGATCCGCCTGGAATACCATAAAACCACGCGACTTTGCCCACAAGCTATTGCTGTAGTTCAGAATGTCATGTGTGGTGCCTAAGCCTTTCCAAGCCCTGTGATTCGGCTGGACGATGCCATCTGGCACGGGATCCGTGGGTTTCATGTCATGGCGGCGGTGACGAGTAAAGAACTTCCGTGCTCCGTCGTATGGGTCCACGATAAACTTGTCTTGGAAAAATTCATCTGGCTCAAGAAAGGTGTACGGCACCTTCTCGTTTCCACTGACGTATGCTAGCGTCTTTCGGTCAATGAGATCGGCTGGGCTCTTGGCCAAGCGGAAGTCGAACCCGTGACCTCCATCCATCGGCGAGAGGAAGTACGGAAGGTCGGCTGCTGTAGCCTCGTATTCCTTGCTGAAAACATCCATAAAAGCCTTCATAGTGAAACGAGTAAGTTGCTCCACCAACGTATCTTCAGCCTCGACTGAACCTTGAATTGGCACGCAACGGACTTTGGAAAAGCGCTTGGTTCCGAAAAAGAGCGGAAAGGACGCTACCTCTGGGAGACCGCTTCTACTCAGCAGGAGAAGTGGACGAGAGCTACGCCCACGGGCGTCCGGGTTTTCCAGAAAAAACGCAGTGGCATAAAGCTGGGTGACCTCGCCTCGGACCGACCATAACTCAGGCTTCAGCCGCATAGCGTACTCCGTCTTTTTCTTTGAGCTGACAGCAAGGCGTGCATTTCGCATTTCCGGCAGCTGCTTAGTGAACACGGACTGGAGGTGGTTATCCAAGTGCCCAGCCTTGAGTAAAGCAAGACAGAGCTCAAAGGCAGCTGCACATTTGGCAGCCCCCTTGCTCACATGTATCTTGCCAACCGCACTCTTGATAGGCGATGCGTCAGGCATGACAACCTCGCACTGGAAGCCACCGGGAACAGTGGTGATGTAGTATTCGGGACTCAAGCTCGTCTCCGGTGGGTGTGGTAGGGTGGCTGTAAAATTGGCGAGACAAATGAGGCTTTGCATATAGCTGAGTTTCGCACCAGTTTCTGGGACGGTGTACTGCCTCTTGCCCTTTTCCTTCCGGAGGAGATAGTCCAGGTTCATGTGATTGTCAGTTAGCTTCCTGTCTTCTGGTAGAGCCTTGCAGAAGTTGCGCAATGTATCTTCAGCCTTTTTAGCTTGCACTATCTTGGTGTAGTGCTCGGGATTTCCTTTCTCTATCATTTGGATGTAGCGAGAATCTGGACGACGAGCTCGACCACGCGACTGGATATACTGGATCAGAGTATCATAGAGGTCAAATCTGATGACGATATTGCAATCAGGAATATCGAGGCCTTCCTCGGCAACGGAAGTTGCAAATAGGCAGTTGATCTCACCGAGCTTGAACTTTCGAATAATTCTGTTTTGTTGCTGGAAGTTGACCTTGGCGTTGACATAGCCTGAGCCAGTTGTCCCACCCCCAACCAGGACTTCTGCCACAATGCTGGGTATGTGAGACTTTATCCCGGGCTGCTGAAGCAAGTCCGCCAACAGCATGGCCGTGTTACGTTGTCGAACAAAAACAATGCACCTTTGCGTACCCACGCCCGTCTCGAACTGGTCACGCAAGATTCTAACAAGCATGATAACCTTGTCCGAGAACATCGCCGGGTCGAGAGCAGCGGGTAAAAATGTGTGCGCGTTGACCAACTCATGCGCATCACGGACTTGCTTGACGTTCTTCTCAGTGATCTCACCAAGGGCCGAGGCTTTCATGAGATCTCTCTCAGTGCGTGCTTCCAGCTTGACGATATCCTCTTGTTTGAAGTAGAGCTGCCAATACCGGTCAACACACCATGGGCCCAACGTGGATGCTGCCGATGTAGTAAAGTTGACCGGCTTCTTGAACAGCTCTTGCCCCCCAACAAGTTTGCGTAGTTGCTTATTGAGAGCTGTCTCCGAGTCAGGTCGACCACGGGCGTATTCAACGAGCAACTCGGCCTTGGGTCTGCAAATTTTAGGCTGAAGGGAGGCCGGATCGGCCGCTGTGGCTATTTGGCTGTGAAGCAATGCCTCTAGTTCTGCCGCAGCCCGTCCTGGATCGACATTGGCATCGACCGGAGAGGCCGTCAAGCCAAGGATTCTCGGCCTCCTCTCGAGCTTCTCATCGACATAAAAGTTCTTGATGATGCGAGCATAAGGATGATCCTTTTTGGTGTGATGGGCTTCGTCAAAGATCAAGAGGTTTATCTGGTCCATTCTAATCCATGAATGATGGAGCGCTGTGTTGAGAATCTCAGCTGTACAGACGACCACTTCGTTGTGCTCTAATGCTTCCTTCCAGAAGGCTTTTGACTCGACACCCTCCATCATTTCACCGCATAATTTCTCCATTGGGAAGTCGAGGTTCTTGGTAAGGAAGCTGTGTTGTTGGAACACCAAGGCAACCTTGTCGACCAGGAAGAAGGCAATCCGTCTAGGGAATCCCTTTTCTCGGTCCTCCAGCTCACCATTAATGACCCAGCGTAACAACATGGCGGCAATCAGAGTCTTTCCAGATCCTGTCCCAAGGTTTGACAAGTCAGGATAAAGGTTCCAACTGGGCGGGGGATGAGCAACTTACCTGTATCCAGAACGGCAATCGTGTTTTGTTGCTTTGCGCGTTCAAAGAGCTCCACCTGGTATTCTCGTGGTGAAGTGATGATCCTTTGGCTATCAAAGCCAATAGCGGGCACCACATCCGCGCCGGCTAATCTTGCGGCTTCTATCGCCGCCTTCCTCTGATCCCTGGCCAGAGTTTCATGGTGCTCCTCGATCCACGAGTTGAAAGCCGCACTGTCGGCCTGCTTCTTGGCTGAAATCTTCTTGGGCTTGGGTTCCGGATTTACTGTCCATCTCTTAACGCCGCCGTCGCTCTCGACATCAGAGGCATCTCCTCTGTCATCGTGTTCAGAAGCCACGTCTTCTTGGGAAAGATCTATCAAGTCTTGATTGTCAACGATGATCTGGCTAGCCGTCTCCGGTAGGTTGAAGGGTAACATGGTATCCATCTCCATAGTGACGGCCTGTTGTTCTTTTCCTTCTTGTTGCCTGATGAAAACCTGGTGACAGCTTCGTAAACGAGAGCGTGGCGCAAGCCAAAGCCGGAAGTAATAATGTGTGTGGTCTGGGTTGAGATGTCGAAGTTATTGACTGAAAACGAAAAATAAATAAATAGCTGGACGCGGTCCAAGACGTGGGGGAGATGCAGCGAGTATTGAAGTCGGGGCCTACCACTAGTACTTGTAGACACTCAACTTAGTTGGGTTCGACAAGCCTCGATCCAAGGGAGGAATGATTGAGTGGGAGAAGAAATATGATTTTGGAAGCAAAATCCGCGAGAAAACAGGAAGTTATAGGAAACGGAAGGGAATCATGCGATGACAGTTTGGAGTGTTTGTGAATGTCGTGGGGAAGAACGAAGCCCAGCTGTGAGGTTCAGGCAGGCGCAAAAGCTCGGGCCCCGCTTTTGTACAAACACTCGAAAAACCAGATGAAGAGAGGAAGGTTACACCACTGCCATGAATTCGAATGAAAAATGACTCCATTCGCACCAATTGGGCTTATTATAGCTGGCCGAGCATAACGCTGGCTGGCATCTTGCTGTTGGTGGTGGGTTTGTTCGGCCATCATTTTGTGTCAAAGTTGCCAAGCAAACATACCAAGACCAAAATGTGCCGGGTGGGCAGAGAAACAAAGGCTCCGATCCATGATCATTAATAGAAGTATGTCAACCTGGCGAAATGGAAAACTTATGGACTCAGCCTCTCCAAAGTCCACTTGTCTTCACTTCCATCTTGATGAACACGGTCGTACACAAACCGATCGTGTAGCCGGTTTTGCCTTCCTTGCCAGAACTCGACCCGTTCAGGAACAATCCTTAAGCCTCCCCAGAATCCCGGGACGGGGATCTTGTCCTCGCCTTCAAAGCGCTGCTCCGACTCCTTGACCCACTTGTCCAGCTGTGTTCGTCCGTCATCGTCGGGGTTCGCAGGGTCGGAATGAAGAACAGCACTTTGTTTGCTTGACCAGGCGCCAAGACGACTGCCGCGAACTCTCGTGTCAAAGTAGGCCTGGCTCTCCTCTGTCGTCAAGCGTTCCGCTCTTCCCTCCACCCGGACCTGCCTCTCCAGCGGCTCCCACCAGAAAACGAGAGAAGCCCATGGGTTGCCAGTGCTGGATCCATCCTCGCTTCCAAACAAATCCCGAGCCTTCCCACTGGTACCAAAGTTGCTGTAGATAACGAAGCCCTTTGGGTCCAGCTCCTTCATGTACACCATGCGCGCCGAGACGCGACCAGAGGGCAACTGAGCAGTCGAGAGCGTGCAGGTTTCAGGATGAGAAACTCCGGTTTCGGGCTGGGAAGCGTCGGTGAACCATGTGTGGAATTGGGCGATGGGACTATCGGGGTCAAGATCGGAGCGTCGCAAACCTCCACGGGTCTCGGCCTTGAGGAACTGAGCAGCTTGACCGGGGACGGACGGGTCGGCTAGCGTACCGGCGGGGGCAACTGGAGGCCACCGAGTTAGCTCTTGTGCCATTGGTGTCTTTGTGTGAATAATCCCATTGCGACTTACAGATGAGCTTTGCGCCATCTTGAGCTGGATGGAGCGCCATTGCCTTGGTTGTAAAGGTAGCGACACGAAGGTCCAAACGCTTGGGACGAAGTGTGATTGCAGAGACGGAAAAGAGGCGACGACAACTTGCTCGCATCGGCAAGACAAAAGTAAACGGATATGAGTTATAGTGGTACCGCTTCACAGTCTGGTCTGTTAGACGGGAGAGAAAGGATGGAATCGGGAACGGAATCAAGCGGCAGAAGAGATGGAGACGGGAACATGCCATCAGTCACTGGAAGTGGAAGCCGAGACTCATTGTGCCGTCCAGGTGCCGTCATTCGACTCCACATTAATGCTAGCCGTTTTGGGCAACCATGGAAGGCTCGAGACGAGGGCGAGTCCATTGGCGTCAACATAACTACAATTCGATTATTATAGGTGAGGTACAAGGTTGCACGATTGGACTTACTTCTGAGGAGCATTATACCATGCAACATGAAATGAAGGAAGCCGGAATGAAAGAATAAACATTGCTTGGCCAAGAAGATCGGAGCGAGGATCAGAGCGGGGCAATTCGACATGGTCACCTTGCAATTGACATGCCCCGCATTTCTGTCAATTTGTTCCCCAACTCCAACCAAACCTCCACTGAAGCTCAGTTGTCATCTCTATCCACTTTACAGAAGCCCCAGTTCCCGCCTCTTTCGACAAACGAAACAGCAACCAGATATCACCATCTTGAATCACTTATCTTCGCCGAAATCATCAATTATATCCGACCAAAGTGACCAAGAACCTCGCACAATGAGCGACCAAGAACCTCGGTCCCTCAAGGCCACCTTCGCCGCCGCCGAGGAGAAGCGCCTCTCGCTCGAGAACTCACCACCTAATCCCTCCGACTACGCCGACACACTCTCCGCTGCCATCAAGCTCTACCAGTCCTGTCTCAGTCAAATCAGCATTCTCTCCCTCTTTAGCTCCAATGAAGGCCTCGAAGACCTTAACACCAACGACCTCCCCTATCTCCTCGTCAACTACCACCTCGCCGAGCTCATCCAAAAGATCCCCTCGCCCACTCCCTCACCCGCCGAACGAAAACGCCTTCTCGACCAGGCCCGCGAAGCCTACGAGCGCTACCTCCACCTCCTCGACAGCTACGAAGGTCTTTTGAACCCTACCTACAAGAAGCGTCTCGAGCGGTACACCGACAGCCCAACCGAGTTCACCGTCGCCGGCGCGTCCGCCTCGGATCCGAACGCCCGTCGCAATGCCAAAATCGCCAACTTCAAAGCCGAGAAGGAACTGCGCCAGAAACTTGCCTACCTCCGACAACGACCCGAGTACGCCGCCGCCGACCTTGAGCTAGACGATGACGAGTCAACAACAGACCAGACAGGAGGAGGAGGCAACACAGGCGACGAGGAAGTCGTCCGCTCCGTCCACCTCGCCCACCTCGACCTGTGCACACACCTGACCTTCCAAGCGCTCGAGAGCCTCAACCGCGAGATGGAGGTGCTCAACATGGCTCCGCGCGAGCCTGCCTCGCTACCGTCCGCGCAACTACGAGGGAACAACCAAGCAGGAGCAGGCAACGACATGGGCGCGCAGGACGATCTACGGCGGCGACAAGGAGGCGCGGATCCGCGTGACTACAGCGACAGGCTCGATATGCCGCTCAGTCGGCTGCAGGGGATACTAGGTGGTAGTGGACCGATTCTGTCCAAGGAAGGCAGGCCATTGCGGCCATTCACGCTGACGGGGACGAGGCAGGAGATTGCCAAGGGGGTGTTCAGGCCAAGCCATAATCTGCCGACCATGTCGATTGATGAGTACTTGGAGGAGGAGAGGAGGCGGGGCGGGATCATTGAGGGGGGCGGAGAGGCCAGTTGGAAGGCGGGAGAGAAGAATCCTGATGATGAGGATGATCATGAGAAGCTGGATGCGGAGACGATGAAGGCCAGAGCGTGGGATGAGTTTGTGGAGGCGAATCCCAAGGGTGCTGGGAACACGTTGAATAGGGGGTGATCATGAACATATTGTAAACGAGGTATATGGATTATATATGATACCAACATTATGAACGAAGAATACAAACTCTAAACATCATAAATGATTATACCCCACTATGTGTATCAACCAGTGATATCCGACTATGGCCCATCAACACCCGGTCCTGTCATCTACTTAGAACTCTCCCCCCACTTCCCACCACCCTCCTGCTCTCTCTTAGCACCGCCCTTCCCGGGCTTCTTCTCCAAATCCTCATCAACCCCCTCCGGCGCCGGCGGTCCCGGCACCTCCACCCCCTCAACCCTATACTCCATCCCAATATACCCATCACTAACCACCAACACATCCAGCTTCCTGCTGCCCTTCATTTGCCCACCCCCTTCCATAGGCGGCAGTCTCATAACAGCCCTAGCACTAGGTCTCATGCCCACTTCTATCCCATTCGTCTTCTTCTTATTCCCCTCATTTTGGGCTTGATCCTGTCGATTTCTTCGTTGTTGCCCAGAAGACCATCCGACCCTCTTCACAGCCACCACCTCGTCTTTAGCCAAATCGGCAACGACGACGAACCACCCTTCTGTTTGCGGCTTGGGGAACTTGGGCGCGTAAATCCTCCCTTCGCGCTCGGTGATGGGGTTAAGTCTCTTCAAGATGACGGTTAGTTCGCCGTGCTTGACGTTTTCGACTGAGACGTGAATATCCGGCACTGCCTGCGCGGCTTTGGCGAAGCGGCTAGCCTGCGCGGGAGGCAAGTGAAGTTCGGAGCGCGCGAGGGTTTGGAGAGCTTGGTACTGGTTGTTGTTGGCGCCGCGGGAGTTGGTGGATTTGCTCAGTTGGGCGAGTGTCATCTTGCTCTTGCACTTGTCTGCTTCGGCGTTATCGAATCCAGGGAATATGGACAAGGCCGGGCCTTCGGGCCAACGGGCTTGTTTGACGCATTGCAGGAGCTTGACGAACTGGAGCATGCTTGAAAGGTGGCCTAGCTCCGTCATCACGTCCACGGAGGCTTGGATGATACGCACTGCTTGGTCGAGCACACTGGTCTGGTCGCCGACGTAATCGGTGATAGGCAGCGGTTCGACGCGGGCCATATGCGCTTGCAGCAAGAGGAATGCCTTCACGTGGGGATCCCACATCGGCAAGCCGTCGAAGCAGAGGTGGGGAAGGGTAAGGCCTTGGCTAGTTCCGCGTTTATCAGGTCTTCGTTGTGACGGACGGGGAGCTCGTCGTACTCGGAGGCGCGAGACATCCATGATAGAGCTTCCAGGAAAGTGGCGGAGGCGCGGGCTTTGCGGACCAAGTGTCGGATGGTCTTATGGGAAAGGTAGTAGTAGGACATGATTTTGCCTAGCGGGGTCGGGTCGACGTCGCCGTTGGGGAAGACTTCGACGCAAGAAGAATCGGCGAGCTCGGAGAGCGAGTGGTCGACCATCTGGATCATGTAGTCGTTGGCGAGCTGCTGGGCCATGGTGGACGAGTGTTCTTCCGCACTAATCTCGAGACCGTAGTAGGACGGGTTCTTGTGCAGACGCCGGAAGAAGAAGGTCCAGGTCAGGTAGTCGAGCGCGTCTTGCTTGGTGACGATAGTCTCGGCCGAGACTTCGGCGCACAGATGGTTGTCGAGGACCGTGTGCAGAGAGGACTCGACGGGGAAGCCGGTGTGCAAAAAGTGCTTGTAGAAATCCTTCTTGGAATCTTGGGTGAAGATGCGGGCTACGCCAGAGTTGTCGAATTGAGGGCGTCCTGCTCTACCGAGCATTTGGAGCACGTCTGTCAAGTCCATGTCCTTGTAGGCTTCGATCTTCGCGTCGTAGAATTGCGTGCCCTTGACGACGACAAGATGGGCGGGGAGGTTGACACCCCAAGCTAGGGTACTCGTTGCAACGAGAATCTGGATCTTGTTGTTCAAAAAGAGCTCTTCGGCGATCTGCCTGTCAGACTCTACCAAACCAGCATGATGGAGACCGATGCCGAAGCTGATGGCTTCCTTCAGTGCATCGTCCTTGACGCGCGAGAGGTTAAGTTGGAGATCGTCCTCATCCATGTGGAGGAACCGTCGAGGGTTATCCTCCAGACCACAGAAGTTGATGAGATCCTTGGCTGTCAAGCGGGTCTGCCGACGAGACGGCACGAACACAATGACTGGTTTCTCAGGGCTGTGGTTCAAAATCGCCAAGAACGTAGGACGATTCATCGACTGCATCAGGGGACAGAACCCTCTGACCTCGGGGAACCCATCGATATACAACTCCAGTGGCACAGGACGCACCGAGTGGCGGAAGTTGAACAGACCCTCCTTCACACCAAGCCAGTTCGCCAGATCCGTCGCATTAGCACAAGCCGTCGACATACCAAGTAAGCGAACCGAGTTTTTGGTCGACGACGCAATGTAATTCATACGAGACACAATGATCTCGAGAATAGGACCACGGTCGCCAGCAAGCAAGTGGATCTCATCAATGATGACCAAGCTGACCTTGCGAACGTATCCTCTCGTCTGCCAACTACGTGAGATACCGTCCCACTTCTCAGGCGTGGTGATAATGATATCTGCATCCTGGATTGTGCGCGTGTCAGGCGTGTTGTCGCCCGTCAATTCGACCAGCTTCAGACCGAGTGGCTTGGCGAGACGGGCGCCCCAATCCTTGACACGCTCGCGGACGAGCGCCTTCATGGGCGCAATGTAGACCACCTTGGAACCCGGTCGCTCACGGAATGCCCACCACATGGCCAGCTCGCAAGCAACCGTCTTGCCACTGCCCGTCGGCGAGCCCAAAAGAACATTGGCGGGAGTATGGTACAGAGTGTGGAAGACCTGGGTCTGCATCGGGTTGAAGTACTGGAAGCGCTGGGCGTAGATCTCTTCCAGGGCGGGGTTCTTCAACGCCGAGACGGGCAGAGGTTGCAGGTTCAGCAGATCGGTGTAGACACTTTCCGTGTCAGGGCGGATGAGGTGCTGGAAGGACACAGCCGTTACAGTCTCAGCGCCCAGCCACCGGTCCGAGACCGCCCTCACGTAGATCTGGTTCGGCATCGGATCGGACAGGGGAATGGTGAAGTTGAGTTCATGGTCATCGTGAAGCTTCCTCCTGTTCAGAATGAAGTATTCGTGGTGGTAGATCTCTGACGTCTCCGAGTTCTCGACCCAGATGTAGTACGACTCGGAAGTTCCATGCAGATGGTCGTTCCAGCGGAAGTCGGGAGTAACGTAGAGCTTGATCCTTAACACATCTCTATTCAATGGCGCAATCTCCGCCTCGACGCTGAGAGTAGGGAAGTTGTCAAGCAGCTTAGTGATCTTCCCGCCCATACGATGGTTGTTAACCAAGCTACCAATCTCAGCCGGTTCCATTTCCCTCATTGACTCTATGTTGAGGGCCTCCAGCTCGTCGAGCTTGTTGAGCACCGGCTTGGGGAGATCGCGGTCAAACTGGTGGAAAGGATGTTGAAAAGCCCAGATGCGCTTCTCGATGGACTTTGCCATGGTCAACAGCACCAGACACTGGTGACCCCAGCGGCGGTTCAGAGCAATCATGAACAGGGCTCTGCAGATACGACCAGCTTGCTGAGCAACATAGTTGAGGTCGTTTGTCAGGGCAAAATCTTGCGGTTGCGCCCTGGAGATATAGGCCTGAAGCAAGATATTGGTCTTTGTATGCGGCTGATCAATACCCGTGCTGACTTTGTAGGGCACGAATCTCTCGTCGTGCTTCATCGCCATAAGCTCATTCGCTTCCTCGTTCCTGGACTGGATGTTGTCGAATTCGCCGCTCATGGCAATCATCTTCAGGATATCTTCCTCAGTGGAGAAAGGCCGCATCATGGAGTTGAAGATCTGGACACTGGAGTGCTGGATGTAAAACTGACTGGCGATGCGACCGATATCCTTGCTACGGAGTTCTTCGGTCGCCTCGTTGAAGATGATCATTTGGCTCTGCTGTAGTGTCCTGGCAGCCTGGATCGCCAGTTGGCGTCTTCTCTGGACCAGCGAGCGGTCATTGTCATATTCGGACCAATCGATACCGTAGGCCATTGGGTTCCGCTTCATGCGTACGAAGAGGTACGAATAACTGATCCACTTGACTGCCTCCGGAATCGAAGTGACAGTGCCCAGAGCAATCTCAGCATTCAAGTTATCGACCAGCTTGGCCGAGAACCTGGACTCAATAGGGAGCTGATCCGTGATCGCAGTGAGGTAGTGTGCAAGCTTGTCATGCGTCGTGCAAATCATGCCAATACCAGTGTCCTCAAACTGAGGACGACCGGCACGACCGAAGATCTGCAGAACGTCGAGAATACCCAAGTCCACAAACTTACCATCCTGGGCACTGTACACCTGAGTACCCTTGATAACGACGGCGGCAGCGGGCAAGTTGACACCCCAAGCCAGGGTGGCCGTACAGCAGAGGACCTTGATGACACCCTCGGCAAACAGTCGCTCCATGAGGTTCCTGTCTGAGCGAGCCATGCCAGCATGGTGAATGCCCAGGCCCTTAGGGATGAGTTCGCGAATCTCCCGAGCCTTGGTCCCTCTAGCATCCCTCATGGCAGCCTCGTACTTCTCATGGTAGCTAGGATCGAAAAGGTCGGTGCAAGCCTCGTCCGTAGCCTTTTCGAAGAGCATCTTGGCCGTGGCTTGCGTGTCCTTTCTCGAGTGAACGAAGACCATGACTTGGTGGTCGCACTCGAGCATCTCCCTGACCTTCTCGAAGGCCACCTGGTCCAGGTTCTCCCTGGATTGCTTGGAATTCGGCTTGCCCTTGACTCCAATGAAGTGCTGCTCAAGCGGAACTGGTCTGAAGGAGGCGTCAAAGTAGAAGAGGCCGGCGTACTTGTTGACGTTCAAGAAGTCCGCAACATCGACGTAGTTGGGGAGCGTGGCACTCAACCCAACGATGCGAATGAGAGACTGTGTACTTTCGACCTGACGCGCCGTTCTCGCCACCAAGGACTCCAGAACGGCACCTCTCTCGTCGTGAAGCATGTGCACCTCATCGATGATGAGCAAGCGAACCTTTTGCACGAGCTCCGTGTCTCCGGTGCCCTTTCTCGTCACGACATCCCATTTTTCAGGGGTGGTGACGATTATTTGGGTTTGAACAATTTCCGACTTTGTGAGATGCATGTCACCCGTAAACTCACGGCAGCGAATGCCCAACCAAGCCAACCGTTTACCGAGCTTCTCCGTGATTTCGGCCGCCAGGGCCTTCATGGGAGCGACGTAGACGATCTTGAAATCCTCTGCGGCAACAGCGAAGTCGGTAGTGACATGGTCCTCGAAGGGACTTGGTGTCAAGTACTGGCCAACCGTGTGGAGGATGGTCAACATGGCAGCATCAGTTTTACCCTAAACCCCAGAGGTTAGTTAGTATGCGAGCCAGCCAAAATGCTCATGAAATAACAGAAACGGAGAACGTACAGCACCAGTAGGAGCGCAGATAAGCATATTCTCACTCGTCTTATACGCCACCGGATACACCAGACTCTGCATCCTGTTGAGCGTCTTGTACCCCCTAAACGTGTTTCTGCACAAGCCATCCATATCCGCAATGTTGACCAGCTTTCTTCCAGCACCCAGGGTCCCTGTCTTTCCGGCGGGAATCGTGTACTCCTCATACTTCTCATGCTCCTTCCTCTCGCTTCCAGGGGGCAAAGCATACCGCTTGCCCGAATGGCTCAGCGTGTTGCCCGCGCTGTACGCCCGGTACACATGCGGATATTCCTCCTCCTTTGATCTCGCGGCGGCCAAGGGGGTGGATTTGTGCTCGTAGTCTCGCTGCTGTAGAGCCGCCTGTCGTTGCGCCTTGCTGAGTAGGCGCAGCCCGTCGGGCCCGTTACCTTGTTCCTGTTGTTGATGTTGCTGTTGTTGCTGTTGTTGCTGCTGTTGCTGCTGCTTCAACGCCCGTCCAACCGACGACACCAGTTCCTCCCGGTGCGAAATGAGGTCAATGACGAAGTCAAGATCATCAAACCCAATGAGATCCGTCAGCGAAGACTGCAGCTCATCCTCCGATTTCCCCGACCCCAGAATCTCCATGATCTGGTCCTGCAGCGCCCCGGCACCCAGACCAGACGCAGATCTGACGTCTGCGCATCGTGAGGCGAGCCAGCCGAAGCCGTAGCCGGAACCACTACCACTACCACCGGCAAACCCATCTTCAGCTCCGTCAGTCTCATGATCATGGTAATAATCGCCACCATCAGCGAACTCGATAGAGTCCAGCTCGTCATCCGAGATGAAATCCCAAATGTCTCTGGGACCGTCTCCGTTTCTGGTTGGGGAGTAGGTTGATGAGTCGATCTCGTCGTCGTCCCAGTCGCTGTTGGTAGAGCTGCCGCCGGCTTCACTGGCGGATGGAGGTAAGCCCGCTACGGCTGCCTTCATGGTTTCGATTTGGGCACGCCATGCTGCAATGTCTAAACCGCCGTTGATGGAGGGACCGGCGGCCATCGTGTGATTTGGTATTGCGATTCAAATTCTCTCCTTGTATCGATGAATGTTGTCGGAGGGCAGATATGTTAGTTCCCAGTGGACACCCCGTAGCCAGGTTTGCTGTTGATGTTGGTGAAAGGTTTCTTGTCTCGGGTATGGCAAAGCACCGGGAATGCTTTTTTTGAGCTTTCTCCGTAAAGCAACTCCTCTCCTATAAGTTACGCCGGATGAGCCTGTCGCCTTGAGGAAACAGAGGCAATAATGGTGAACCAAGATGATGAATAAGCACTATTGTGCTGGTCTGGTTCGTTGCAGTACAGTGGTGGTGGCTTCCTCGGCACTGTGTGAACAGTCAGACCGAAAGACCCAAGTTGAGCAGCGCACGGATCACATCTAACCGTTTGTGCTCGTTTCCTGAAAGAGTAAAAGAGCACCTCTGTGGATTCGTGGCGCTTGTCAAACAACCTTATCGCTCACGTCATACTTGTATGTCGTCTTGATACTTCTGATGCTCTAGCCATCGGTTGACAGGCCGGGTTGTCAGCTCTGTCAGTCCGTGTCTACATAGATATTATTCTGTATCTTCGTGCTTTAGAAATACAGCTGAAGCAGGCGCGCGCGAAGCTCACAAGACGAAATCTACAACGAACCGGGAAAAACGGACAATGAAGGGAAACAGTCAAGAGAGAAGAAAATGAAATATATTAGGAAGAGCCAAAGATCGCACCCAAACTCCGTGACCAGAATGTTTCGTTTCGCTCTCTGCCCCTTCTTCATGCTGCCAACCCAGCTTAACCCACCCATCTTTATCGATTAAGCCGGTCATAATACCCACATGTCTCCGTATCGTCGTTCACACGTCCTCAACTCCCTCGCCTATCCATCCTACCATCCACCGGTTCTACAGTGCAGTAATAATAGTCCCAACAGCGATAAGCGAAAAATGAGCAAGCGTCGCATCTTCCGCGCCGCTCTTCCCCTCCTGCTACCGAGAGACAAAGAGAAGGGTCGCAATGAGCCCTCCAGAATAACTAAAGCCGTCATTTCGTCTTGGACTTTAGCTTCATTACAACCATAGTAAAGTCTTATGACCGAAGAAATCCTCTTTCTCCCCTACACCGCCTCTGTGTTTCCATGCGGTAGACCCGGCCGTGCATGGTGGTGGCCCGCCTGGGAAGACAGGTGCACAAGTTCGATGGATGCAGGCTGTAAACAAGGTAGAGTTGAATGAGGCCAGACTGCTGTCAATCGTACTTCGGGGAAGGTGACCCGTAATCTCGTATCGTCATCGGAACTGTCAGAGGGATTCCCCGCGAGCTCCGGATCTTGGTTCCGCCGCCACGCAACTGCTACCCCTAAGCATAGGGTTTAGCAGCACTTGCCGCCGGATCCTGACCCGCTGTTATCGGCAACGTTGACGCCCGACGAGCCGCCGGACGCCTCTTTGCTGGATGTGTCGATGATGCGCTTCTTGATGTCGTTGGCAAGGCTGAAAAAGGCCTCTTCGATGTTGATGTTCGCCTTGGCTGAAACCTCGAGGAAAGGAATGCCGAGCTCGTCGGCCAGCGCTTGGCCCTGCTCCTTGGAAACCGCCCTCTTTTCCTCCCAGTCGCACTTGTTTCCGATGAGAATCTTGTTGACTCCTTCCGTCGCGTGTTGCTCCACGTTGGCGAACCAGGTGCGGATGTCTGCGAAAAGCATGTCATGTCAGCAAAGGAACGAGAGAGTGCATAGCATGATGCCCCGTGCGATGCTGCGGATGTCGTAAATTGGAGCAATGGAGAGGCACAGCGCCTAGCGGGCACCGATCCATCGCATTCCGAGTGTAGCATCAGGGACCATCAGGGACCATCAGGGACCACCTCTTGACCGCAACTGCCATGCTGTTTCCGTCAGGACGCAAGTATGTATGTATTGACGTACTGTTGAATGACCTTTCATCCGTCACGTCGTAAACGAGAAGGATACCCATGGCGCCTCTGTAGTATGCCGTTGTGATGGTACGGAAACGCTCCTGACCGGCGGTATCCCATATCTGTAGCTTCACCCGCTTGCCGTCGAGTTCGATTGTGCGGATCTTGAAGTCGATGCCGATAGTGGTGATAAATGACGGTGTGAATGAGTCTTCGCTAAAGCGCAACAGACAGCAGGACTTGCCAACGCCCGAGTCTCCGATCAAGAGCAGCTTGATCTATATCCAGCAGCGGTATCTTCGGTCAGCGTCTAGAACAGTGAAGCCTCGCCAAATCCACGATACGAAGATAAAAGGAATGTCGAGAATGCGAGCGGTGAGGTGGAGGAAGTACTCACCAGAAAGTCGTAATTCCTGTTACTCGACATGATGTGCTGGTTATGGGGGTTACGCCGCCGCCCGTCTTTCGATCTCGTGGAATATTTCTCTGGTACTTCGAAATCCGAAATTCGGCAAAGGGGATATCAATCGAAATCGGCGTGTTGAACACTAGTTGCGGGAGTGGGAATGAAGACTGGAGACCGGAGACTGGAGAGGGTGTTGATGATGCGCAGTTCAGGAAACCGGCGAAGGAGCAGCAGGAATGATGTTCAGTTGTAGTGTAGGTGAGTGGTGGTAGTTGAAAGCGTGTCCGCAGTGCGACGTCGACGGGCCTGTCAAAACTGCAGGGCGGTTGCACGGGTTAGTCCAGCGGAGGAGTCGCAGAACGAACGGGCGAGAGCGTGATGGGGTCGGTCTCTCCTTGGCCGGCCTACTGCTGTGCCGTACCTCTACGGGGCGATGGATGCGGAGATTTCTGGGCAACAAAAAGGCAAGCAATGACGAGGACGTGGAAGGCAGAAAGGGGTGTTGTAGCTTGTTCGTTATTTAGAATGGAAAGGATCGAGAAAGATGAGTTTTGAATGATAAGTAAACGTCAAGAGGGCAAGAGCGCCGTCATCATATCATGTGAGAGCTGACGCACTTGCCTGCTGCAGAGTCGCGGACCATGGTGGATGGATGTCGGGTGGCTGTTAAGGTATTCGTACCTTGCTGTTAGTGACTTGCACACCTGTACATACTTTCACTAACAGTGGGAGGGCTCCTATAGTAGTGCGTGGTGGTAGTGGTGTAGGGGGCGCGACGGTTCAAGTTTGTAGAACCTACAAGCGCCCGCAACATCCCCACCAGACGTTTCTTTGTGAGAAACGATGAGACTTGGATGAAATAAATCAACTTTGGCCTCGGGTAGATTCATCAATTTCTCAGTGATTGTTCTTGGGCTTTGCGGTAGATTAAGGAAACGCCGTCGTGCATGGCGGAAACTTTTCAGGAAACCGGAGTGAGATGGAAGGGACAACTGCATCCTCAATGCAAGATTCAGGAACCAGGGGCTAATGGAACTCTGCTAGTCAATAGTATCTGGGGTCACAGAACCTGAAGGAGGTGAGCCTCAACGAAGACCGAGACAAACCATCCAGGAACCTGAACATGTGCGTTTGCTCGGTACACTCAGGCAATTTCCAAATCAAAAGAAGGGTCCATCTTGAAGTCTGAATTATCAGCTTTTCTCAACGAAATGGATGGTTTGAAAGCCAGTCAGTCGAAACCAGAACGGGCGATTGGGCGGTTTCATAATGTTTTGGTGATGATAAAGGCGGGCAGGGCGGTGAACGTCTATAGGTACGCATGAGACGCAGTGTCCGTGGATGGATCTATAACCCAATATTGGCCCAATGACCTCTTCCACCAAAGAGGACTTTCCCGCCACACGAGAGGCCCCTGATGAACCCTTGTTTTCCCCTGCGTGAAGCGTGAAAAAAGTCAACAATATGTTCCCCTGGTGTTTCTGCGTGTACGTGGACAAATGGACCAAGTTCGCCAGATGACAGAAAAACCGAGACCCGCTGGTTCACCCACATGCCCTAAAATGATCTCGGCCTTTTTTTCATAACGGTTGGTGGCCAATGCCGCGGTCCTACCGCCATCCGCCGTTGCGACAGGATCGGGTAGAGCCCGGGAGAAAGTTGAGATCTTGTGAATGGGCTTTGAAAACAAATGCCCTCCCGTCTCCACCGCGTTTAAGGGGTAAGTGGGCAACTGTTTACCTCCACCAACCCCTTGCCCACCCACACCATGGTCTCCTCCTTAAGAACCCCAAGCCCCTACCGCTATGCCTCACTCAGGAATCCCAAGCGTGATGAATACATGCAATACAATCATGAAGTCTAGTCATCGCCATTCACTAAAGTACACTGATCATATCACATAACAGCCCAACTAACAGTACAACGCTTGCCGCCATCTACTTCTTACCCAACCACTCAGCATACGCCCACCGAATTCTCTGCAGCGCCTTCTCCTGAAGAACGACATTCTTCACACTCGTCAAATCCTCCAGATCCTCCAGGAACTCGCGCTTGACGTCCCCAGGGAGCACTTCGGTAGCGAGCTCGCGAAGCACATGCGCCTCGCAAAGCAACAGACCGCGATCCTTGTAGTTGAGCTCACCCTTGGGATTGGTAGCGCCCGCAGCCAGGATCCTGTCCATCTTCCTCAGCACCCTGACGACGCGGCGGACCTTTTCTCCTCGGCGGAGACCCTTGCGGCTGCCGAAGACGGTGCGGAGGTATTGAACGATGCCGATGGAGACTGTGGTTGGGTAAGGCGAGTTAGCAGCTGCTTCAACATTTTGCAGGATAGGTATTGACTAAAGGACTTACCAACAACGCCGGGCGCGAGACCGACAAAACCAAAGAGCAATTCCTGGCTCTTAAGAAGGGAGTCGATACCACTGATAGCCACCTCCAGATCGACCTTGGTCTTTTGCACCTGGATCAGCAGCGACCGGACCAAGTCGCCACTGACAGCGCCGACAAAGGGACGGCGGAGTCCCTTTTCGTAGGCCTTCAAGATGGGGGTAACATCTCCCTCTCTGACCTTTGCGCGGATGTCCGCAATCTGGAGGTCAGTGACGTTGGGCGAACCAACGGCCACGGAAGGGTTGTCCAGCGTAAACTCGACCACCATCCGTTCCAAACTCTCCCGGTCGGCCTTGAGACTGTCGCGGCTCATGATGGCAATCTCGCTGTTGGCGTCGTGACGGATGGTGCCGATAACCTTGCGGATGGGGTCGATGACCCAGTTGAACCAGAAGTCGCGGACGGTAACGCCTAGGTTCTGGATCCAGTCGATGATGCTGTCACGCCTCTTGACGAGCACGTACAGGATGGTGGGAGAGGACACGAGCAAAGCCAGAGCGGGAAGCCAATACCGGACCACGCGGGACGGCCTTCCGTTTTCGGAAGCGTGTTTGGCAACGGCTGTGTTATGCTGTAACAAGCTATGGTCCAGAATTTGGATCAGGCGCTCGGCGACAGACGAGGCGTTTGGCTTAGAGCTATCGGTGGTGGTGAAAGCGCCCCGAACGTCTCTGGCATCCGTAAAGACACAGTCCTCGAACACGGAGAGCGGTTCGTTGGTTTCCGCCGAGTTGGTGAGAATGGCGTGCATCAGAGCAATACTATCAGCCAGCGTGCTGTCTGCCACCATGAGTCTCGAATCGAGGCCCTTGTCCTCCTCGGCGCTTTGATCAAAGGCAAGCCCTTCATCCACTAGGATTCCTAGCCCGGCCGCGATCGTTTCCCTGAGTTTTTGGAGCTCCGCTCGCTTCCGGCGAGCTTCAGCGCGGCAAAGATCGACCGGAGAGAGAATCTTGCGTCGAAGGTTGGAGACTGAAGTTTCAGCCATGCTCTGCCGCACGATACAGTAAAACTGTGACCACTTCTGTGACACTCCCTTACTGAGCGATTCGCTTGATTCCGCCGCTTCAACCCCCTCTGCCTGCTGCTGCAAGTGAATGCTCTTGATCCGTTCACCAGCCACATCGTAGACCTCTTTGGCGCGAGACCACGCCCTAGCCGGCGCGATTTGCGTCGCGTACAAACAGCTCTTGGGGTATGAGCTGAGCACATCATCCCAGTACCATATGTCATCGCTGAGAGGCATGATTTGGTCAAAGAAGGTGTTCATCAGGATGCCGTAAGTCTGAACCGTAGCCTTGGCCACCAGCAGCCACTCGATATCATTCTCATATTGGCTCTCAACGCCAACTTCTCCTTGCTGCTCGGCAAGTCCCGTCTCCGTAGTCAGGCCAGAGTCCTCCAGCATTTGCTTGATACGAGAAGGGGCCAGAAAGGTGCCGGACCGAGAGGCAGTAGACAAGGTCCTAGCTATGCGCAAGAGCTCATCGGCACGGGGTGAAGGCGGCTCGCTCACGGCCGTGAGCAATCCCGTCTCTTGTTGATCATGCTCGGCATCTGCGATCGAGCCGGGTTCCAATCCCACGATCCTGTCAATGTGTACGTCTAAGCGACGCACCTTGCTGTCAAGAGAGAAGTCATGTTAACACTACAGCCCATTCATCAAGGACAAACTGACAAGGAAGTCCTTATATTAAGACTCCGGAAGAGTACTAACTCGGCCACGATCGCCATGGTTCGACTTGTTTATTCACCCAACCCTGCAAACGAACGGGTCTGGGCTCTCGGGACAATAACAGCAGCAGTATGAAGGGTGAGTGATGGCAAGTTCCGGCTGTCTGTTCGGGATTTCGTCTCGCCGATGCTGGCTAGGTACCAAGACCCTTGGCCGGAAATACGAAGAGAAGGTACTGCGTAAGCTTCGCCCCGAATGGCCTTTCAGTCTCTCTCTCAAGGGACGCGTAAACGTGGCGATATGGAATATCGGTAACAACACCGGAATAACTGTGTTGATGATCAGTGCGATCAGGCCATATGACCGGGGTCGGATGTAGAGATTGCCGAGATGGTCGGTTCCTGTTCAAGGCTTGGGGCTGTCACTGTCGAACCCGGAAATGTGGGATGTGGGTGGGGGATGTTTCTTTGGGCTTGACTTGACAAGCGGGGCGGCCTCTGAAACCCACTGATGATTGATGACAGGTTGAATTGGCAAGGCAGGGGAGCTGACTTTCAATGTTGGCTCGGCTGCGATCCGGTCAAAGGAAAATTCCGTTAGTTGGTAAGATGATGATAGCTTGAGTCTCATTAAAAATGACATGATGAGTTACCAGTTGGCGGCAAGCTGTAGTTACCGAGAGCCTCGAGAGGTGGTAGATATCAGGCAGACAGGCACAGCCAAATGAGTGTCGAACCGAAGCTCACGACGTCGGGCAGCCTATGATGTTCGAGGATGGTTTGTAAATGCCAAGACCAACATTCAAAGGCGGTGACAAATTGACAAATGTCGAAATTCCCATAACGTCGCCTCATACACTAGGATCCGTCGCCTCATACACTAGGATCTGCCATAGGATGTCTCCTTAACAGCCTCAGGAACACTGCATACTTGAAGGTTGATAATGTTCTCTGACCCCTTCCAGAATATGAGATGTTTGCAAACATACCAGTTCTGGAAGGATACAGAAACACGCTGAGGCGAAACAAAACGATGGTCCAATTTAATGCAACCGCTCTGGCCGTCAGGTACGTACCGTATGGAAATTACCGATGTCAACTGTGCCATTCGGCCGTCAGTGGCTCAAAGTCCCTACCCGACCACGCCAACCCCCTGGCGACCTGGGATGGTGGATGGCAACGAACCAGCCGAAGAAGAAGTGGCATCACGGTGTGGATGCAATCGTTCCATATCACTGAAAACCCCGGGCGGATTCGAGGTTCGCGATGTGAGATTCGAGGTCAAGATATGGAGATGCGGCATGCAGCCACCACTTGTACATGAGTGTCTGTCTGTGTGTTACACATCTCTACATACCAACCGCAGTGGTGAGGCACAGTCAGCTATGTTATGCAGGTGCCGGTTTGGATGTCGAATAGCAATCTAGAATTGGAATGATGATGATGATTATGAAAAAGTCATGGACGGGATGCCGCACATCCGTTGATTTTCGTAGATCACTTCAACTTGCTTTCCTTATCTGATGGAATTTCGCCCTCTGCTTGTGACGTGGTCAGTGCCTCTTTGTCAAAGATAGGAGCCCCAAGAGGGAACAATGGCACATCTCAATGCACGGCAATGAACTGTTGTTGGGATTCCATCGCTTGGCGGGCTCCCTGTTTCATTGAGCACTGGAAAGAGTCGCCATCCGGTCGTTCGAGTTGGTTGAAACGGCCCAGGTCGACCAGGCCAAAGTGGAAAGAGTGGGTCCCGGAAGGCGGAAACACCAGCTTCGCAGTGGGCCGATTCTGGGGTCATTTCCGCCATTGGTCGACCCAACACGTCTCTCAGGGGCTCCTGCCAAAGGACACCAAAGGGACAATAAAAAATCCAGCAGCCCCTAAACTTATCGGTTGCCTTTCCCTACTCCCTAGATCGCGACTGGCATTGCCCTTGGACGCTGTCGACTGTTTCTTTTCTCTCCCGGTTTCCCCTCTTTCCTCCGGTTCATCCACTCCAAGAAGGCGGTTTCCTCCTGCACCTGTTTTCTTCCACCGACTGCAGGTCCCTTATCGCGTTCCAACACCTCCCGAGTCGCATCTCCCAACCCAACGACACCTAATCGGAGCCGCCTATTCTCTATCCGCCCACCATGGCTACGGCAGTCCTGTACGTTACTCTCCACCATCGCGCGCCTGGCAACCGTGCCTGAACCGACCGCTGACTCGTGTCTTCGTCCCATCTAGTAATGCGACCGTCGCTGGCCTGAGCTCGACGGACACATACTTCACCGTCTTGGAGGAGGTTTCCAAGTACAATGTTCAGCTGAGCTACGTCGAGAAGCTCTGGGCGGTACGCGGCCTCTGCAACCCATCCCGAAACACCGGGACGAACCATGAACAAGGATAGCTAACGTTGGACGATATAGGCGTGGTATCTGTGGATGCAAAATGACACTCTCGCGACCGGCCTCATGAGCTTCTTCATGCACGAGATCGTCTACTTCGGCAGGTCGATCCCATGGATGATCATCGATGCCCTCCCCATGTTCAACAAGTACAAGCTGCAAAAAGTCAGTACCCAACGAAGCATAACCTCGAACATCGAGAGAAAACAGAATCACTAACAACCACATAGGGAAAGCGCCCCACCTGGAAGGAACAGTTCGAGTGCGCCGGTCTCGTTCTCCTCAGCCACTGCACCGTCGAGCTCCCCCAGATCTGGCTCTTCCATCCCATCGCCACCTACTTCGGCCTCGACTATGGCGTACCCTTCCCCCCTCTCTGGAAGATGGCCTTGCACATCTGCATCTTCTTCGTCATGGAGGATGCCTGGCACTACTGGTTCCACCGCGCGCTTCACTACGGCCCTCTCTACAAGGCCATCCACAAGATTCACCACACCTACAGCGCGCCCTTTGGTCTCGCCGCCGAGTACGCCTCCCCTATTGAGGTCATGCTCCTCGGTATCGGTACCGTAGGATCCCCCATCCTCTGGGTTTCTTTCACCAAGGACCTCCATCTCGCCACCATGTATGTCTGGATCGTCCTCCGTCTCTTCCAGGCCATCGATGCCCACTCCGGCTACGATTTCCCCTTCAGCTTGCGCCACATCCTGCCCTTCTGGGCTGGTGCCGACCACCATGATATGCACCACGAGCGCTTCATTGGTAACTATGCCTCCAGCTTCCGCTGGTGGGATTACTGCCTCGACACCGAGGCCGGTGATGTCGCCGCCAAGGCTCGCCGTGAGAAGAAGCTCGCGGCCATCAAGGCTAAGAAGGCCCAGTAAACACTTTCAGTTGACGGATCTGCTGCCATGATACCGAAAATGGCATTCGCATTGTCTTCCAAGGTCTTCCATTCGACCTCACTAATTTTGGACAACGCATCACCAAACAACGGGGAAAAGAGAAGGGAAGAACTACCTAATGATGGGAAAGGGTCCATGAGACAAACCAGGGAAATAAGGAGTCAATAAAGGGTAGAAATGGGTTGGTTCATTTTGGCTGAAAGACAAGAAGGGAGGGAAGGTGTGGTCCAACGCGGACTGACCAAATCACACCTCCAAACAAAAAGGCGGTTTGAAGGGGAAGGGGGCTGCGTTGCAATTTTGCCGCACGCGCGCGTTGGTGCAGTTGGGGAGGGGAGTCTTTTCCTTCTCGCTTCTATTAATTCTTGTACATAGATGATTCCTTCTTTCGGTGTCCTCCTCGGCAAAGCACCACCGCCGTGCCCAGCCTCTCCCTCCTCCATACAAACGAACACCTTTTAATAATATAGTAATGAGACGATCATGAAAGTAACATACATACCTATATCATACATACACTTTGCTTGCTGCACATTCTTTCCCGGTGAGGCTCCAGTTCCGGTTTACTTCACTTCTTCAGGTGCTTAGGCGTGCAGCAATCCCCAGAAAAAGCCACGGCCCGGTCAGCCAGGTTGGGCATGGCGCAGCTTTCCGTCGGCTCAGTCTCGCCAAAGTCTTTGGCCAACGAGTCGCAGATGGTGGCTAGCTCAATGTCCTTGGATGAAAGACCCTTGGGGACGTGGGTCGTCCAGCGAATGAAGGTTGTGTTAAAGACCTAGAAGGTCAGAAGGAGAGGAAATGACGAGGAAATTGAGAAGGGTGAGAGAGGAGATATAATCTTACATTGGACCATTCGGGATGGTGGTTCTTGAGCTTGCATTGGAGGGAGACGGCGGTCATGAAGTCCTGGGTTTGATGATGGATTAGTATGTTGATAATAACGGTACTGGGGAGTTGTGATAGCTTTTGAATTCGTAACAGTTTGGGAAGATACGGGAGGTCCGGAAGGGAACTTTGAAGGATGATGTAATTGATGGAACGGTGTAAGAACATGGGTAAGATAAAGAAGGCCAGCAAGTGAAAAAGGGAAAGGTGCATAACACCAAGCCATATGTGAGGTCCGCTTGGTTACCCTCTGTCTCTCTGTGTCTCTCTCATTATACGTTCGGGTTTCCCTTCGTCATCAACTCTGTTGTGTGTATATGTGATGTACCCCCCACCACACCTCGCATCTATGCTGTCCATCTTGTCCCAATCTGACTCAACCCGACCAGACAAATTATACGGGATGTAAGTCTCTTACTTCCTCTTCGGCAGTTTGGTGGTCGTGGCAGTGTAGGGAGTCTACTAAGCACGAGAAGGGAGTCACTCGAATAAAAGTAAACAAAAACATACCCAAGTCTTGGCAAAAGTCTTGAACTTGAACGTCCTCTCAATGGCGACTCCCTCTTGTGTAAGCGTCCATCTACCACCAGCACCTCCCGTGGACAAAAGCTTGTCGAGCGCCGGACCGAGGACGACTGGGTCGGAGCCCTCTGAGAATTGAGGCTTTATTTCGGACGGAGGAGAGGAAGACATGTTGCGATATTGTTGTTGTTTCAGTGACCAGTGCTGGTATTTTTGGTGTTGGGTTGGCTGGCGATGATAGTGGCTGGCGGCGGAGGAGGTGGCTTTTGGTGTTGATCGGTTTGAGCTTTGGATGAAAACGGAGAAGTTTCTAGTAGGACGGTTGAGATTGTTGAATTTGGTGAGAAGAGTGTTCGGTTTCGGCGTTCGGGTGAGGGTGAAAGACATCGTGATTATTTGGCAAAAAGAAAGAGCTTTGATCAATTATGGACTTTCGTGGAGGAGGGTTGGGATGATGAGGTATGGATGCGTGTGTTGTGTGTACGTACCACGGAGGTGAGGTGTGAGGTGGTTGGAAGGTGAAGAAAAAGGTGAGAATGAGGTACCTTTGCATCGAACAAGGTGAGGTCAAGGTGAAGAGAGACGAAGCTGTTGCTCACCGTGGGGTCCGTGCACTTGTCTATACAGCTGGTGACTATGTGCCACGCAATGGCTCTCCAATGACGATGATAGTGCACGTTTCGTTGGTTCTCAACCTTTTCATGGCAGAGTATCTCTTAAAGCTTCAGACTTGAGTCCCTCTTCATGTCAATCGTGATGTCAAGATTGTACACAATACTTCAATGCGCGTTCTTCAAGTTCGATCAGCCCTTCAGAGCTTGATATACATAGTAAACTATGGGTTGTTGGCGCTCGCGTACCAACCAGGAAGTGGTCGCATCGTTACCATTACTGGCAGTGTAGCTCTACCAATACCAATGCTGCAGACTATTGTTGTAAGCAACCACCTGGATACGCGTAATGAGTTTTCCAGGGAGTTAATGAAGCCGCCATGACGACGACAGCGTCTACGACCATCTTACTTGTCAGGTCCTTCATTGTTGATTTCCAACGAGAGTCGACATGATATAAGAGAGACATTTCTCTCACGGCACTACAACAACAGAAAACCACGGAGATCAAGCCGAGTTCCGGTGACTTCTCAACAACCAATACCCCTTACAAAGGCCTTGTGATCCACGGCTCAATATGCAGATCAAAGTAGCTCTACCCAGCGACGCCGTCAACAGACACACTATCGATGATGAGGTTTCTTACCATAGTGTCCTTGCCGGCGTCCTAATTCCCGGCCGTGTTGAACCTCTGAAGGGGGCACAGGTAGTCAAAGGCTCGATTATCGAACGGGTAGGACCAAAGGACGAGATACCCTCGAAATACTCATCGATCCGTTTCTCGCGCGTGCCGGTATTGATGCCGTAAGTGGACTTCATGTACCCCTTAACCTAGCGGCCGCTAACCACAAGACAAAGGCATGTGGGATGCTCACGTCCACTTCGAAGGTGCTCATGTCGCAGTAGGCATCTACGATAGCTTGAAGTACTTCATGCCTGGGACAAGCACGCTCATCGGAGCCGTGATTGTCGACAACTTGCGCCAAACGCTCATGGCAGGGTTCACCTCGGTCCGCGAGCTCTGCGGCTATGCGGGGGACATTGCACCCGCTATCGACTCGGGTGCTGTTGTCGGTTTTCGTGTTTACCCAGAAAACCCGGCATCATGGCGGCTCTGGATGCGGGAGTGAAGAGCATCGAACATGGCGTGTACCTGGACGAGGAGGTTGCTGCCAAGATGAAGGAGAAGGATGCCATTCTCGTCCCTACGCGCCACATCGTCGAGGCCATGTATGCTGGTGATGACGACCTCGATCCCCGTCAGAGAGTTAAGCCGGAGCGGACCATTCAGCTGTCGATAGACAGCATCAAGCTGGCTGTCAAGATGGGGGTCAAGGTCGCCCTGGGAACGGATAGTTTTAGCGGCGACAGGTACCATGCGGTATCTCATGAGGATAACGCCATGGAACTTCGCTACGCCGTCGAAACTGGAATGACTCCCCTGCAGGCCATAGAGATGTCAACTGTCACTCCTCCTGAGACCTTGTAAGTTTTAGAGATGACCGAGGTGCTGTTTTGTTGTAATTTGGCTGACAATGGACGCCGTAAAGGGGTCCTCAGGCTCGAAAGTCGGGCCAGCTCAAGGTTGGTTATGACGCCGATTTGATCGCCATCTGCTCCAACCCGTTCGAGGACATTGAAGTTTTGATAGATACGGATAACATCACCCGCGTGTGAAAGAGAGACGTGCTGTTCAAGTCCCTTCGATGATGGCCCGAATTAAGCGGTCACTAGACTTTAGTTAGAATCCAGCCGGAATTGGCCCCATAATCCAAGAAGGTATCGGAGCTCGTGATCTCCTTCAGAAAGGTATGGGAGCGTAGCGCTGATGGAAAGCTGAAAAGTCGAGAGAGAGTGAATTGGAAGTTGAATTGTCAGCTGAATTGAGATGGAAGTCCACGAGGTGACATAGTGCAGGTGCGCTACCATCAATCAACGCATGTGCTTATCTGCAGTGTTTGGGTGCTTGCAGTGGAGAAATAAAGGCGGAGCCGATACTCCTCACGTGATCTTGAACTTTCACGTACCTGAATATTTCAATGTCCAAACTGTCTACAAACAAATGTTATACCGAAGAACATGCCCCCGAATGGGTTGACAGTTCTGACAGTCTAATCTCCAAATCCGACAAGAGAAGCAACGAAAACCAGCGCTGGCACGAATCGGATTGCGGGACAATAACTACCGGTTCGGATTCCGCACTCGTCCAAAATCCGAAGCCGTCACTTTGGGCTGCCGCATTTGTCACCATTGAATTGCTGACAAAGCATTCGGCCGACAACCCGCGACAAAGGGAGAGATCATTGTTCGCTGCAAGGTCCCAGTCGCCGTTCAAGTTGCCTTCCTTCTGACTGGAAGCGTCTGCCAGAGCGAAGAACTGCGAGCTTGAACAGGTGAACGTCAAGATCAGCCCTGGTTTTCTGTGAATGGGATTCTGCAGTACACTTACATTCAGGATTTGAGCAAAGCCATAAGATTTTGCTGTATCGAGAAACACACTTTATCACCCAGTCCCAGTGCCGCCATCTTTCATCTGACTGGTCTGCAACCTGCAACCCCCTTGTCGACCACCCATATCAGCCCGCTTTTCCCATTTCCTCTGGATCCGATTACATACTCCGTACTACTACATCTCTCTTGTCGACCGCTTTGCTGAGTCAACTTATACATCCCAAGTTGCTCCCCCAAAGCCACACCGCACCACACAGCAGCTCCACGCCTCCAGCTTTGAGCCTCGCTGCCCATCCACCCTCCTTCGCGACGCTATTCAGAAGACGCCGTTGAGTGTTACCGCACCATCATCCAGCACACAAGCTGGTCGAGATCTCTGGAAGCCCTCACAGCACTCAACTCGGCATCCTCTTTCCAACCAACGAGGCAGACCTAGGACGTGTTCAACCCACTGAGCCCTCTCATCACTGCCGAACCGGGCTTTGATAATTGTTTCAACAATTCGCCCAACTATATCAGACTCGGCGCCACTTGTGATCCCACCACCGGCCCTGATCCCGTCATTTTGGGGGCGTTTTCCCGCATCAATCCCCATAAGGCCATCACCACCATCTGCACAAATCGTAGAGGTAAAGAAAAACCCGCACCAAGGTTGGTTTGATAGATTGCTGACATCCAACCTTGACTTTTCAGAAAGTGTCTTTCGGTTACACCAAGAGGAAGTACTCCGGACACAAAGACACAAGATATCTGCCCACTTGTACCGCACGCAGTCTATAGTCCCCGGTCTGCGGAGCGGGCCTGCTGTACCACTTGCGGACTCGAGAGCTATTAGCCCGCTATAACTATTGGGTATCTCTACGCCGCGGTGCATACCACCTGTCCTGCGAGCTGAGTCAGGACACCCTACCGTTTACGCGGCCGCTGGCAATACCTCCAAATCCCACCATACCAGCCTTGTAGTTCTGGTGAGCGTTACAGTCACAGTAGAGAAGCATGTCAACAAATCTCGAAATGGGTGAGTTCTTTTCCCCTCATCTCTCTCTTTTTCCAGCCCCCGCCGTTTTGCCCAGACTGTTGTCCTATATCATTCTCCGTGCCGACACAGGCCATGAGCCGAGTCCTGGACACCCGACCACCTACCTGCAAGTGCTTACAACACTTCTCACTTCTGGGTGGGTACAATGTCGTGTTCATGGACTCGAATCAGGCTGGCCTCTCTGTTTCTTGAGGTGCCATCCACTCACGGTATTTGGAAGCACCTCAGCTGCACGGCAGACAACCGTGGTTTTGGCTTAATTATGTTGAGGCCAAATCGGGGTTTGTCGTCAGCACATCGTTGTAAACAAGGGTCGCTCTGAGCACCGTCTTTGTCATCCTCGTCCAACCTCATGGCCCTGTTTGAGGGTTGGGAGTGTTCTAGGCGTTATACGCCCCTTGACATGAATCCTTCCCTCACCCTCGGCTCTCTTCCTTTCATTGCCTACGATTTCTCTTACACCGCTTTCACGGATATACCAGGAGCTTTGCTCTCAGTAGGAGCCTGAGAACACGAGGCCAGAATAGTCTTGTATCCCACCTGATCCCCGTACCTCACCTTGACGAGGTTCGTGATCTTGTGACTACCCACCCTATCACTTACATATTCCTTCCGTTCACACTCACGACCATCTACACGAGCCCTTGCCTACTCATCCCGCGTCTCAATCAAAAACATTCCTTCATCAACAAGACTGGCCAGTCGGGTTATGTTCGGCTGAAGGTTGAGGATACATCTATCATCTCTGCCTGCATGCCGTCGTGACCGCCATGCTCCTTCTCTTCCCCTTATGCTCGATTCGCAACCGCGCTGCCGTCTGTCACCGGCCAATGTCATGACTTATTCCTGCACCTACACGTCCTTCTCCTTGTCCGCACCAGGAGCCAACGAGGCACTCTCTGGCTACCTTGACTTACTCCGAAGCTTCCAGCGGAAGATCATCGTACCCCCTGCATCTCTTGCTCTTCTTTCCACTGTCTCTTATATCCTTGAAACCATCCTGAGTCAACCCTAGATCACCAGGTTGAAAATACTGACACTATCTTTCCATCCAGAGCCGAGGGCTCGCGAATCACCGGTTGAGCCTCTTCTGGCGAATAATCACGCCGACCAAGCCGCCTACCAAATCGCCGCAGCTTACCAAACTCACCCGCCTTCACCTTCTGGCGGGCAAGGGGATAGTCGGACCTCGCCCATAGCAGCAGCACCACCAGCTCTGCCCCATGGATACAACAACCATCCCGCAGCCGGCCCACACGAAGCACATTTGCACCCTGAACTACGAACTCACGAGACAGGCCCCACAAACGGATACCAACCAGTGCCCGGAATGATGCCTGTTGGCGTCCCTCCCCAACAGGAGCAGCAGGGAGCTATGCCAGGTCCTACTACGCCTGTTGGTGTTCCCCAAATGGGAATGACGAGCCCGGGCGACAGCGCTGGTGATGGTAGGAAGTCTAAACGGGAACTATCACAGTCGAAGCGCGCTGCCCAAAACCGCGCCGCACAGGTCAGTATTCCCCGACCCCTTGCATTGTCTGGAGGATTTGTAAGCTTTGCTGTATGACCGATGCCGCGACCGTCTTGTTGGTCTATATATGGACTAGTCACGATGATGTGATGGAGGTCAAACTGCAATACTGCAACAGTGCTAGCAGCCGTTCAGGTCCGACCGTTTTCCAAAGCATCCAGCTAACCATAGGCTACCACTACAGAGAGCATTCCGTCAACGGAAAGAAGGTTACATCAAGAAGTTGGAGCAGCAAGTCAGAGAGTATAGCGAGATGGAGATGGGCTTCAAGGCCCTACAGAACGAAAACTACGCGTTGAGGGACTACATTCTTCACCTGCAAAATCGACTTATCGACGTCCAAGGCGATTACCCACAACCTCCTCCAAACATCAACCTAGCGACCCCCCATACGCAGCAACTTCAGCAACAACAACCCCCACCACCGCCCCCCGTGCCTCAGGGCATTCCTCCTGATCAGGTACAAGCTGCGCAGCAGGTTCCCCCCGTTACCAGCGCTCCGCCGGATTCCCTGGAGGAGGCCGCTCAAGCCGTAGCCGGCCTAAGCCGAAGCGACCATCACATGGGCGGAACTCCCCGGGATCCCTATGGTACGGCCGCCTCGGCAGCGGCGGCGGCGGCGGCGGCTGCTGCTGCGGCGGCGTCCCGCACAGATGAGGATGCGAGGACGGCGGAGGTGATTCAGAGGCAATTGCAGGCAGATAGTAACAACACAGGCATGCCGGATGGTCTACCGCTTCAGCAAGCAGCTTTGTAGGAACATGCTGCCACGGACGGTTATCCGGTGTAATCTCAAGGAGGAGGGGGAATCTGAAACGAGAAACAATGGTCGCCAGCCCATACATCTATCTATATATTGTTGGTGGGCTTGCCATTGGCAGTTGCGTTGTTATACCGTTTATTTATTTCGTACTTTGATCTTTGCTTTTTCTTGCTTTGCTTTGCTCCGTCATGGCGTCGCGGATTCATCTTTGCAAATCAAAATTTGCTTTCACACCTTTAGATTTTCCGTGGCTGTTCCCCTTTGTGCAGATGATGTGCGTTTTTGCGTGCCTTATCGTTAAAATACACGACAGAGCAGGAAGACTTCAAGTATAAATAAGCTGGGGCTGGACTGACGTAGGCGTCTGTGAGTATGCTTACTTCCGAACTATGAGTGAGGGAAGAGCATGCCGAGTAACACTTCTTTTTCAGTAGTAGAAGGAGTATTTCAGGTTAACGAACGGAGCTGGGTTGGCACATGTTAAAACCTAGGTATTCGTCAATGGAAGGAGGGTTGGGATGAAGGTCTTATATGGCAGGAGTCACTGGCTGGGTAGCTGGTGGAAAGTTGGGACGAGATGGAAGGTGCGGTTACCGGGGTGTAGAGGTATATTAGCTTTCACCTTTTCCGTTCTTCGCCTCATTCCCACTCCCATCTTCTCATCCTTTTTACAGACGATCGTGGCGAGTTACTGCATTCTTTCCCAGGCATATCCGGTCTCTGCCAATCTGCAAATGTTCTTATCGTCTGCACAAAAGGAAGGAACGCGTTCAGTTGCGACTGACGGAGCAGAATGCGCGCATGACCGCCTCCACATACCTAATGGCCCTGCCGTGCAGGAAGGAAGGTCCCTCCACGACGGGAAGAAAGAACCCAGTAATAGAGAAGCTGGGGTACCATGAACTGTGCGGTGAGGGAAGGAGGTCAGTGACAATCAGAACATAACGATTTGAAGTAGGGCGGGGGACGAGATGTGTGTATATATGCAGGGGCTTCACAAATCCTTGGCTGAAGTCTTTCTCCCTCCTCACCCCCATCGCCTCTTACGAACTTATTTTCTCTTTTGTATTTTTACCTCACACAAGAAGTGTCACAGCCGGCATGCAGCCTGTCTTCTGCACTTTGGTCTGTACTGGGTATCCTGCAATACCTGCTAGTGCGCCTGCCTCTTTTGTTGCTCTTGCTCCGTAGATCGTTGATCCACTTTCACTTCGCTCGTTAACGAAATCCCACACCCCCATCGAGACACTCCGATAAACTGGGGCTTTTCACCGTGATTTACAGGTCAGTTGCTGCCCTTCATCCTTCTTCAGTGAGAATTTAATTGTCCCTTTGCAATTGGCTTTTTACACTACTCATGTGGAATGTTTGTTCAAGCATGGTTGGGAACCAGGATTTTGACTGCCACAGATATGTTGAATTCGTGTGGCTATCGCCTAGTTATGATATGAAAGAAGATGAATAAAGGGCGAACAGCAACCAAGGAGTCCATACCAGTTAGACTCGATCAAATACACTCTGCTTAAGAACGACTTGTCCTGGAAAGGTAATCTACCTCCCCGCCCCTCCTAACTCTCTGCTTGTTTCTCCTCTCTCTCTCTCTGTCTGTCTGAGTTCAGATCAGGATTCCAGAGGAGATCTAGCAGATAGTGACGTCTTGGGTGGCATATCCGTATATCTGTACTCAACATTAACTAACCCTCATCTTTCAAAAACAACAGACATGTATCGTGGGGTATAGTATGAACTCACCTTCTTCCACCCCGGAATGTGAAGATGAGCTGTGAAAAAGGACGTTATCCCGGGCCGTACTCCCACTTATTCCCATGCACTCTCCCAAGGTTCCTGTATGTTCTAGGCGACTGACCTGGTTCCATATATCCACCGTCGCGGCGGTTGCAGGAGCCCGCAATCCAGTCCACGGCGCCGGCCCATTCATCCACGGCGCACGGGTTATTTCCGTAAGAGCACATGTACGCCTTTGATGTACCACAATTAACGAACAAACTTCTGCCGTTGGAGATCGTGCCGCTCCCCTTGCATGAATTGTAGAATAAGTTGTAAGCGTGATCGTAAAACTCGTCCTGCCTGAACCAGTTGCCCCCGGGGCAGGAGGCAAATGTTCCGGAGGGCCAGCCAATAGCGCGCTTGCCAACTTCGTTGTTGGCGGGCGAGTCAGTGCTGGTAGTGTTGATGTTGCCCAGCTCGGTCATGATCTGCTTGCCGTCGGCGTCTATGCTGATGATGTAGGCACCATCCGCCAGCTCTGCCGGGATGGTGAGACTCTCGGCCAAGGCGAAGAAGGAAAGAAGGATAGTGAACTTCATTGTGCACTAGGTAGCAAGGAAGGTTTTGCTCTTGGTTTCTAGGTAGGTTGGTAATGGGAGTAGGTTGGATTGGGATCTGTGATGATTTTGTGCCCTTAATCTGGATGAACAGGGCGGACAGGTTAGGGATATATACCTCTATACATGAATTCCACATTGACAGGAACAGAACCTGGGTATGTATCAAACTTCACGTTCAAGATAATCCGCCATATCTTCATCCACGCAGCTGAAAAGCCGAAGTCATCATGACGGCGTACCTGTGGGCGCTGACGAAGACCATTGACCGTGAGCGAGTTGAGGTGAGTAAGAGCACCAATCAATTGCAATAATGATGCCCTGAGCCTCACAGGCAGTATGAATATAGTCTGTACAACCGTGCTTGGTTCTGCTGAACATAGACCTATCTCCTAGGTCTGGTTGACTTTGAAAATTGTGGCCCCCAGTCTTTGTCAGATTAATTAGCTGCCTCGCTCTGCAATGCAAGTTGCGATGAGTAAGTACATGTAACGGGAGATTGGTAAGGAAAGTACAGCAAAAACTAAAAATGTCCCAAGCTCACACATTATATGCTGGTTCATGTTGCATCACCTTTGGAAGATGCAGTTTCCAAGTCATCACGGACAGCATGCTACGGTTACCATAAAGACGGAAAGTACACAAAACGCGTATTATGTCCCCTTTATCGTTGATCACATCCATAATGCTTGAAACATAAGGTACCTATTTCTTCAAGAGGCAGCTAGGATATACTCAAAATTAAAGTGACATAACGGAAGTAATAATGCCAATTCTTCAACAAAACCTCAATACCAATACCTAGAGGTAGATGGTTTCAAGGAAATTTAGCCTCCCCAAAAGGAAACCATTAGGATACCATAGGCACTCAAGAAACATGAAAGAGTTGATTGACTGAAAAACTGTGGGGGAAGGCGCCGTGTTGTAGGAGTGTCCGTACTAGAAGTCTGAGAAGGAATGATGTCCCGAGTAGGTCTACCTATCAATGATTTACCCCCACATAGTTAAGGTACTTCTCCATATGTAGGTATAGACGGAACAGAATGAAGCAGTAAGATGATGCAATACAAACAACTCATAAATTTGAATTGGGTCATTCCGCTGTGTCATTCGTTGTAGGTCAGTAATTACGCACAATTTAGCAACAAAATCGTTGTACGTAAAGGACTGGAGATAAGTTAGATATAAGAAATCAGAGACCGAGCGAGGGGTCGGTAAGACTGTTTAGGCATAAGTGTAACGCTGTTTACAACAAGCAGGCACCCTTCTTTTTGATAAGAGAGGGGAAAAAAACACAATGGATAATGGCATTACGTAGCTGCTTCGCCGCTCGTTAGGTATCGATTCGAGTACCAGCCTGGAGGCCACCGGCTTTTATAGGGGAGCGTGTAACAAAGCTGAAGTCGTGCTTTCTTTGCTCGAAAGTAAGGTGCTCATGGTTGTATATATGCGGTTGCTTCAGTGAGAAGGTCGTGTGGTCTCTGACAGGACAATTCTGAGTTGTATGTTCTTTGGCGTTGTTGATCATGCTGTCAGAGAGGGAAATGGAAACGGTAGATTACTTCAGTAATGATACCAAGACATGCGGATGGCAAGATTCAAGACCCAAGTAATGGAAGGAAAAACATTATCAATACAGTCTATGGGATATATCATATAGCCACGTAAAAGAAGGCAAAAAGTTGTACCGGACAACTTCAGTTCCTGGCCGTCTGTAGGCACTATCTTATCTCCTCGCAAAATGCAGCGCTCCTTCCACCCTTCCCGCCGACCGCTAGTATTCCGCCCCATGCATCAATGAAGACCATACATAGTACATAAGAAAAGTTTTATGGTGTAATGCGACTGACGCCTGCAGGAAAACCGGATATCGTTTGGAAACAACATCAAAGATCATGAAACAGGAAAACAGAAGAGAAGACAGAGATAGACATACCCATTCGCGACGAGGCGCCACTGCTCTCACGCCATGGTACTAGGCTCTCACATACCGAGCTTCGGCAAAACCCGGTGGCCTCTTGAACTGATCCCGACCACGGTTCTGGTCTTCCGCTTCTCCTTTCCCCTCCCTACCGCTCTCCGACCCATCAGACCCATCCGAGCCAGAGTCACTCAACTCCGTCGTATCACCAATCACCACCCTCTCGCTCTTCCTATACCTAGCCAACACCTCCTTGGGCAGCTCACTTCCCGCGGTACCCGGTGTAGTCAACCCCGGAGTAGACAGCGCAGAGCAAGGACTGTTGATCAGAAACTCCGCTGGCGGTGGCACCACCAACGTCGGCGTAGCCTGCTTCGTCTCTGCCACCCTGCCTAGGTCGTTCGTCGTCATCAATGTGGGTTCCCCAGCCTCCGCTCCCGGCCTTCGTACTTTGAGCGTACCGGCGCGCGTGATGGTGATTTGGCTGGCTTTCACGGAGCGCGAGCGCTGCAGGGAGCCGGCGCTGACGGAGGCGCTGCGGGCGAGCGGGACTGGAGGTGGCCTTTCTGAGCGTGAGTGGGTGGGGGGTTGAGAAGGGGAGCGTTGTTGCTGTGGGGAAGCAGCTCTGGACGACGCAGAGGATTCAACCCGTTTCTGCTGGGCGCCGGCGCGGCGGGAGATGCTGATGGTGCGAGCGACGGAGATCTCGACGGCGGCTTTGATGATGGGATCTGCTTCTTCGGTTTCCTCCTCGGCGGCGGCGGCGAGGTCAACGGATGGGGAGAGGGTGTGGCCTTTGTGGGTGAGGAAGGCGGGAGAACAGGTGGAGGGCAAAGTCGGGCTCTTAGGGCTGAGAATAGGAGGTGACGTTATTTCAGGCAAAGACGGCTGAGGTGGTGACGGGGGTGAGCGTGATGGCGGGCTGGGAACTACTAATCGCGGTTCGGGCGGTTGGTAGACGGTTGGCTTGAGGAGGAACGGGCCAACGATTTCTGGGTCTTCCGCCTGCCGACTGCTCGAGACGTTTAGGAGTTGTTCTGGTGGGCTCAGAGGGGTATCAAGGACGAGAAACGACTTTTCGGGAGCGAAATGAGAGTCTTTCCGCGGGGGGAAAGCTTGTTCCGGTTTAGGCTGAGGTTGTTGCTGTTCTTCCCAGGCCTCCGGCCTTCTGGGGCTGACAGAGAGGACTTCCTCACCAGGAAGATACTCTGGTTCGTCTTCCTGCTGTGGTTGGGCCTCGTGGAAATTTTGGGTATGTTGCTGCTCCTGCTCCTCCAACATCCCCTGAATCTGATTGGCACGGTTTTGCTCTTCCATCGTCCGTAGCGAGATTATCGTCACTCGCTTTTTCTCCCTTCGAGTAGGAGGCGCTTCCAATGGTTGCATGTATTCAGAAAACATTTCCACCGTTGGTGACGGGATGACGGCCGGTGAGGAGTTCGAGCGTGATCGAGGAGTTGGGGGAACATCGAGTTGTTGACGGCTCGGGGTTGGTGGTAAAATCGAAAAGCCTGGTGACTGTGTCGGCTGGGGTGAGCTTGCTCTACGGAGCTGTTTTACCTCTTCTTCGCATTCAGCCACGACCCTATCATTGATCGACTTCAGCTTTTCGAGCGTAGCCTGACGCCTCTCCAGGAGTGTCATGTTGCTCTTTCTTCTTTGTTGCTTTTGTTGCTGCGGGTTCAGGACTCCACTAAACATAACGCTGTATCGTTCCATTTTGATGCTTGGAATCTCCACGTCGAGTAGTGAGGGGGCACTAGAGTTGGCCAACGAACTGGGCGTTACACTGCGGGAAAGATCATTCCAGGAACTTGCTGGTGGCATCAGCGGTGGTGGTGGAGGTGGCTGCTCCCACTGCCTTGGCTCGACAGGCGCAGTAGTAGTTATTGGGAGATCCGTATTTGACCTGACAAGTATTGGGACATGCCTGGGTCCTTTCCTCCCACTAATCGTGTTGCTCCTCGATGGGACGGCATTGCCAGCAGGTTCCCGGCCACCACCTGTTGTAGACAGGGAAACCGCAGAACTGTTTGCAGAGATAAGGTCGGCGGCCTTTGCCGAATCTGACTGCTTTCCCCTCCCAAACAAGGCCCCGAATATCCTTTGCCTTGTTGTCTTTCGTCTCTGAAGAGGGGGTGGTGCTGGAGGCGCTGCCTGAGGTACCATCTGCGGAGCTGCTGCTGGCGGTGGCGGCGGTGGTGAAGGAGTCCTCCAAGGTGGTGTGCCGCTTTGTGGTTGCCATGAGCTGGGTTGATTCTGAATTTCTGAGAATTGCGAAGGGCTTCCCAGAGCCATTCCAATCGGAACCTCCATCGAGGTAATGAAGGACTCGTGGCCCGTCATAGGCTGAGTGGCCGGAGCCAAAAACGAACTCATGCTGGATGCTGCTGCTTGATCGGGACTCGCCTCTGGCGTCGGCAGATTTCCACCTCTCATACCCATCATGTATGGGTGCATGCCTTGAGTTGGCCTTCCAGTACCTATCCGTCCATCCACAGGGAGCAACATGTCGTCCTTTGACTGGCGTTTATCGTGTAGTGACCTCGAACTTGCGGACCGGAAAGATCCAGGCCCAGCAGAAGTACTTGGTCGATGAGGCATGATGGCTATGGCAGCGGCGACAGCTTCGGGGGTGAGAACCTGGCGAGGCAGCGGACGGGACAGACGATGGACGAGATAGGGTTTCGGTTTCCATCTACCAGGGAAGGAGAAGTGGCAGACATGTCGGTTTTGAGTAGGACGGCCACGTCCAATTGCGTTGCGTAGGGCAGAACCTGACACAAGACCTTGTCCTGGGATGAGGGAGACCAATGGGTCACGGCCGTGCACAATGCCCTCGTTGCCGACTCCTGGATGGAGCCCACGATGTCGGCCGATACTCCCAGGACCCCGGGGGAGGTCGATTGGTCTGGAACGCTTAGCCTCTTTGATCATGGCGTCGGTTGTCGTGCCTTTGGCAGTGGGCTCCATGCCTTGTATCCGCCGCTAATATCTCTGGGTGCCCTGGCTCAACCACGGATATCCACCGATGGTACCTGAATAGGCCGGGAAGGACCCTGAAATGGTTTGTTTCGAAATATCGTCTTGGAATTGTAGCAATCACCGAAGGGGAAATAGCGGAGCGAATCGAGAATGAGGAAATACCGTTTCGGCATTTGAGCAAATGAAGGGGGCACTCGACCCAAAGGGAGAAGAATTGAGAGGAGCCATCTTGGCCAACATATCAAGGAAGGGGTCATGACAAAGGCTGAGGCGCGCTTAACAAAGCCATATGGGTTAGGATGATGAAGTTATAAGGGAGACAATGACTTACACTACAGCCTCAAATGGCTTCATTTTGTTGGCAATCCAAACACCAACCCAACAGCCATCTCAAGGAAGGATAGTGTGAAAGCTTGTTGGCAGGCTTTGATCAAGCACAAGCGTTCCAGTGTTTAGGCCGGTCATTGTCCAGCCAAGATAGTCGAGGCTCTTGACGCCTTTCATGGTGAAGTCGATCACCGCCAGGGATCTTGCTCAACATTGTTCAAAAATCATCAAGAACCCTCGAAGAAATCCGGGGTTGATGATAGAGAAGAGAAAACTGACGAGCGTGTGGAGAGATGTCGAGCTTCCCTTGTTCGCCCTTGTTCGACACTGGAAAATCTGGAACAACAGAACTGGATGACGAGGGGGCTGCAAGGGGTGCAACAGGCCCACTTCTGGGGAGATCCTAGCATGGTCTCGTTCGGCTGATTCCTTGGGCGTGTCTCATGTTGATGGCTCCTGCTGTACATATACTCCAACGACGGTTTGGATTCAGGAACAGGGAGATGGACCGAAATCGTGATTATGGTCCCCAAAAGACGAGAGGCCTTCCCAAACAGGAATTGGGGCACGCCCAAACTCATCCCAGTAGCTGCCTCGACCTGACCATGCTGGATCATATCGAAGTCGATATTGCAAAGGATATGTACGGGGTAGTTCCATTATTAGCCTGTTCTGCGTCTGGATTCAGCGGACAAAAAGGGACGGCATGTCGTCGGTTTGGCCGCATCTTGGTATATGTGTGGTGGCTTGACGCCGCCGTGGGTGTCGAGGTCGTGAACCGTATTAAATGTGACTGGTATATCGTGCAGATTGTGGAGATTGACGATGAGATCCCGTCCGTAGGTAGTAACAAACTCGCAAACCTACCAGGGGTCCATTGTGCTGAAAAGGTCGCACTTGTTCCATGGCGGCCCTGTCTTCAGTAATGACTGTTGATGATATTGTGCGCCTAATACTTTCTCCGGGAACCAAACGTGCCAGATTGCTAGGGCAACAATTCATTGTTCACGGCCGTGCCAAGACGTCGGTTTCATAGTGTCAAAAGGGGTCGGTTACGGATCCGAAAAAGTCGACGCTACGTCTCGGATATGCGCAACTTCAGTCGGCAACGGCCTGACTAGGCGCCTGGACATCAGACGCCCTTGAGTCAAGCTTCGTACGATATGAGGGCCACTGGCTTGAACAGGGCACCCTCTGTTTGGATTATACCTCTATGTAACTCGGGTATACCCCAAGGATCCTGTAGCTGTTCAAGCCCTGCCTGGTTGGGAACCATATTCGCCCTGCTGCCAGCTCGAGAATGGTTCCACAACAGAGAACATTTCTATGAAAGGATGCCCAGAACTCGCTCTCACTTTGAGTGTTTGACAGACTTGGCGCCTAATACATACTGTTTGTCTTGCCCGCAACCTCCGAGGTCCGGCAATTGGGTAATCCGAGTCAGATGGCAACACCGCCGGTTCACCACAAGCCGACCTGGTTGGATTCGACATTGGCGTTGGTAATAGTTGCGTAAGGGGATGCTCCTTACCAGGCACCAAATTTAGCAGTTTGTGCCTGTTGTTGGCACCTTGGTCCCGTCGTCTCTTTGTTATACTGTCGTTGTCAATCTGGATGCTGAATGGAGCTTTGATTTGCCATGCACTAGTACCTAACTGACAACCACGAGGCAAGCCGAACGCTAGAGCATGCGTCTGCAGCCAAAGAGCCCCGCTTGTTGTTGGGACGACAGCTGGATGGATCAATGCTTGACCGTTTTGGCACCAGATGCAAACTCTCTTGTTCTGTCCAACCCCATCGTTCTTCACTGATGCGTGCGCCATGCAGACAACGGCGTGCTTTGCGGCTGCCTTGTCGAGGGAGGTGCGTGAGATGAAGGAGGGGCACTGGGCACTGGAGCAACCACCTTGAGATGGTGTTGTAGTACGACATGAGGGAGGAATGGTGGGTAGGTATCGTCATGTTGTTTGGTGTCATCTCGGTGGTCTCGAGACTGTGACAACGGACTCTTGGTTTGTCGGTCTCGGCGGTCAATGAGGCGGGATAGAATTGATGGGTCGTGGAATCCCATGGCTTTGCAAAAGAACGGTGAAGAATCCCAAGTTTGATGAAGAAGAAGCTGCCACCTGTTGAAGAGGGGTCCACTGCTGACCACTTCGGTTGCTCCCGCCGATCCAGCTTGGGAAATGCCGCTGGACGTCGGATGCTTGGTTTACAGGTTGCCGGATAACTGTTAAAGCACACACTACATATATAAAGTGTTAGAGAGGTACCTCATCCTCACCTGCCGAGCCCCTCCGCGACTCCGTCGCAAGAGGTCATCGCCCAACTTCTGCGGGGCACCTCACTTAAAGTGACGAGGAGGGGCCTGGCTGGTGAGGGGGTTCCTCTTAAAGAGCTTCCCATCAACAACAGGAATCCACAACCACCAGGCACCGTCACCGGGGAGCGGGCCCCGTTTACCAGCTGGCCTTCGCTGGCTCGCCAGTTTTCTAGCCCACTATAATCCCAGGACCAGCAGTGAGTCGTCCCCCCTCCACTGTCATGTCACCGCTTCCCCTTTTCGCATCCAATCCATATCCAGTCGCCGCTCCGCTATCTTCCGCCGCCGCCTAGAGGTAGCCCCCCAAGACCACCGACCCCCCCCCCCTTCCCCCCTTTGCCAACCGAACCGCGTTTGTTTAGGTTTCCCTTTTTTTAACCTTGCCCGAAAGCCAGCTTCTTCCTCGTCGTCGTCGTTCCGTCGAAACACTCCTCCCTCGAACCAACTTACGAAATCCCTACCACCACATCAACACCACCACACATCCCGACAAAATGTCCTGGCAAGGTCAGTGCCTGTTTCCGCCTCCTTGCTCCCTCTCCCCGTGCTCGTTGGGAGCTGTTTCACACCCAACCCCACCACCTTCACAGACGCTGGGAGAATAGGCAAGCTAACCTCTTTAATGTCGTTGAACAGCCTATGTTGACACGAGGTACGATATATCATTGCAAACCACCCATACTCTGGAACAGACGAATCGCGCCATCATAGAAATGCCAGCCATGCGCTTGATTGCTTGCGCCTGATAATGGCTGGTTGTTCGGCCCTGAGAATGCGGAGAACTACCTACTATCAAACTTGTACATGGAAACGGGACCGTGATGAGCTAAGACATGATTTCCTACATATAGCCTTGTTGGCACCGGCCACCTCGACAAGGGCGCCATCATCAGCGCCGCTGGTGACAGCACCTGGGCTGCGACTTCCGGCTTCACGGTACGCCTTACATTACCAACTCCCTTCCCCGATATCTCTATCCGCACCCTTTGCCTGCCTATCTCTCTGCTTCTGTCTTTGCCTTTCGCGCAACCGGTTGGACGGATGCGACCCGCGAGGAGCATCACATGCGCCGAGGGAGCAGAAAGCAAAAGCGGGCAGGGAGACAGGTGGAAACAGAGAGACAGCTAGCCAGCTAGGATGGGAAAAGCCCCGTTCCGTGGTGTATATTGGGCGCCAATGCTGTTCCAAGACAGAAGATATGCTAACGTGATATTTGTCTTTTCTCTATAGCTGAGCCCCGAGGAGATGAAGTTCATCGCCGCCGTCGTCGCCGAGAACGGCTCGGGCCCCAACGTCAACAAGGTTTTCGCCGAGGGTATCCACGTTGGCGGTCAGCGCTACGTTGCCTTCAACATTGAGGGCCGTCACATCTACGGTCGTCAGGTGCGTCTTTCACTTCATCCTCCCCCCGCGCCTCCTCAAGTCTCTGCATGCTCATGTTTGCTAATGCTTTTCTTTTTTCCACCAAAAACAGGGCAAGACTGGTGTCATCATCGTCAAGACGACACAGGCCATCCTCGTCGCCCACTACGGCGAGAACAACACTGCCGGCAACTCGACACAGACCGTTGAGGCGCTCGCCGACTACCTCATCAAGTCCGGATACTAAGAGTCTTGTCGGAGTTGGTAGTGGGAGTGGGGGAAAGAGATTATTGGATGTTTTGAGAATAACGGACGAGAAGGGGAGGTGAACATGGGAGGGAGGGAATAAAGAGATAGGGAAAGGTACCAAAAGATGAGACTTTCCTGTGAAGGAGTATCGGGGCTGGTGTAACTGGATGGATGATATCCTTTAAATAGGTATAGGCCCTTGGGAATGGTTTTTTTTTTTTTGATCTGACAACACATTTTGGCGTGTTTTGCTTTTTGTCTTCAAAGCCGAAGCCTTTCCGCTTGTTAGAACTTTGACGCAATGCTTCCTCATTCAGACTAGACGGACTATCTTGTGGCAGGGGGTTTGTGTTAGAACTTCATGGCGAGGTTCCTCGTCCACTTCAGTGTTTGTTGGTGTTTAAAAACAATATGTAATGATTTTGTAGACCATTTAAAGCCCTCCGACCGTCTATATAGCAGTACTGACTATATCCCCATAATTATACATGAACAGAAAGCCTATTACTTCTCCCTTTCGTATCACAACTTGGGTATTCCAAAGTTCGTTCCAACGCCCCCTTTTGTGTGTCTCTGCATAACTGCCGTGTCCATTATATCCTTCGTACGCCGCCAAGCGCGTTTTTCGCCTTTAGTTTTTCCAACCGTCGTCTCTTCGTTCATGTTGTCCGTTTCGTCTTAGTTTCGCACCTTTCCATCATCCCCCCCCCCCCCCCTATTTCAACCAGTGAGCGCTGAACCGGTCTGCGCCCAACCATCTCATACTGTTTCAGGTAAAATGGCGAAAGTGTTCGTCATAACCGCCAGAGCTTCACCCGGAGATGTCCTCGTTCGTTCGGCTCGTTTTTCGATGATCTCCCACAGTCTCCTCAGTCCTTAACCCTCAGCCCTTCCGCCTTAAATCTTAAACAGGCAAATCCGCATTCTGCCTCGCCACAAAACCACTCCTATCCACCGCAGCACCGATATATGGTCCTGCAACCGGAATGTTGCGCGCGAAACCCGCTATCGTTCCCAGGAAGTCCCCGAAAAGGATCATGATGCCGTAAAGCTCCACGCAGAAGCCGATCAGAGGCCAGCGCATCAGGATTAGCAGGAGTCCGAGGAAAAAGGCGGCCGTGCCTTTGGCCTTTTGCTTGCGCGCGAAGAAGGTGATGGTTTTGGCGGGACCGATTATTATGGTTAGGCCGATTAGGAAGAGGATCTGTTTGTGGATGAGGCGGGTTAGTACACCGAACGGGAATTGGGACAGGGAAGAAGAAAAGACAAATGGGAATGGGGAGGGAGAAATGGATCAAACTAAACGTACATTGCCCATGGCAAGCATCGCCCGGTCAAAGAAGAGGAGGACACCGCCGATGAGGAAGAAGCCGCCTATTTTCGAGAAGTCCCGTCAGTCACTTTGGTCTCTTTTCATCTTCTTGTTTTTTTCCCCCCAAGAACGTGTGTATGTTCGATTTGATCCCGTGAAAGTTGCGCACGAAGCTCGCGCGCAAAGAAATTCATATCGTGTCCATGCAATACGCAGGGAGACAGCCGCTCATAGATAGTCGGTCGGTCGTAAGTAGGTGTGGCAGGGCAGCTATGTGGAGAGGTTCGGAAAGGGGAGGAGTTTGAAGAGGGAGGTTCGCGGGGAGTACGAATGGTAAAGTGAATGCATACCGCCAGAGCAAAAGGCGACTCCGATTTCTGAGAAAGAGAGAAGCAAAAGGTTAGTATCTTGTACTTCGCAGTCCGCACTAGTAGCCCACAGTCAGCTTTGGAAATCGTAACTTACTTTGGGAGTCGGACAACCACATTGTAGGCATCTTCAAGGTGGTGACTGTGTGGGAGCTACACTAGAGCTTTCGAGGCGGACGGAAGCCAAGACAGCTAGCTAACTTGGATAGCTAACTCGTGAAAGAGGCGTAGATAGAACTGAAGAAGCACGAATGTATGTGCGCTAATTGATTGATTAAAGTAACGTATGTTGTAAAGAGCGTAAAGACGCTGGCTCGTGAAAGTTGCTGACCAGATGATGTTGTAAGTGCAAAGGTGATCGAAAACGGTCTCGTTGCTTGTGCTAGGATGCGATCAAGGGGCTTGCAGCGCCGCGCCAGGGACGCGGCCGGCATTCGGGGGCCTGCCGAACGTCAGGCACGATCCACTTTTGGCCTAGCTTTCTGCAACTGTGATTGGTTCTGATGACAGAATTGGAGGGGCCAAGAGAAAGAGCAAAAGCACCTTTTCTCGGAGTCGGGAAATTTTCCCTTCGTTCTCTTTCTCAACGTTTCTCAGTTGTCGCGCAGAGATGAAGCCTGCGTTTCAGAACAGCAAACATGGTGGTTTTGGAACCAAACCACGCCTGGATCACGGATTATGTGCTTTTGAGCATGGAGAGTTTTCATTGACCAAGACGCTCAACCACATTGAATATGTTACTAGAGGTACTCTTGTTGTCTCGGTCACCCACGGTAGGTACCATCTTTTATCTCCTTCCCTTTCATATTGCCACGACGGCTCTAGCTTCTTGCTAGAGCAATCCGAGTTCGATTTCTCTCCCGTTCGTTCTCGGTGGTCTGTCGGTTAGCCTTCGCGGCTTTTGGGCAAAGAGCAACAGATCCCGATTAAGCCGGAGTGTCGATTGTATCTTGCTGTTGAAAGACAGCGAGTACGTAGTTGAGACTTGACTTTGTGGGTCGTACATGTTTTTGCGATTAGATAGATTCTTTTTCAACTCTTTGAATAGTAATAAGAAACACATAAACAATGCTGCCTCCCTTGGTCAACGCCGTGTAATTCCGTCCTTGCTGTCCCTCAACGCCTTGGAAACAAATGCTCTCCTGAGTCCTGCCCAACGCCTCCTTGTTCTATCCCATCCAACATCGTATTGTCGCCCAAGCCCAAGTAGCGCGTGCGATATCTAGACGCAATTGTACACGGGCGTCAAATGAAAAGGCAGGCAGCCCGGGTCCAAATATCCGCCTGCCCCCTCATCATTTGAGAACCGTATGAGCACCTCTGGCCTCCAAGAACTGCTCTCCCACGCCCTGTGGTAGACTCCGAATCATAGCAAACACCTCGGCGTTATGATATCGCAGCCTGGTCTTGGGATCAATATACGGTGCCGACAGCCCAGTAATGTCACAGTAGCGCTTCTGGGGCGCCATGCTCGGTGCGCTTTCGATGTTGGTATACGTCGCGACTGGTGCCGAGGACAGACTCGCGGCCAGCAGCCCGTTTGATCCCTTCCCTGGTACGTTGAGGCTTTTCTCCAGCACCAGCTTCGACAAGCTCCTAGATGCCTGGGCAAGATTGGCCGTTGTGCCATTCGCGTTCGCGCCGTTGGCCGATGGTACGGCCGGTGTTGAGGTTCCGCTGGTGGAAAGACCGTCGTCGCCAACTGGGGCGGGCGTAGCGGCGCCACTGGCATCTGCCGGAGTGGCGAGAAGAGAACTGGCTTCTTTTCGTTGCGCGTCGCCTAGGATGGTCTTGATGTTTTTGTTGCGGCGCGGGTTTGGTCGCCAATGGGGGTTACGGTATGACTTGGGAATGGAATGGATGTCGAGCTGCTCGATGAGCTTGAGATGCGCGGCCGCCGCAGCTTGGGCTTCTGGGGTTTGGTTCGACATGGTGAATGGTTTTATAAGCTGCTTGGATATCGAAAAGGTAATTTCGCTCGATCAACAGTCAAGTTGGAATAGTGAGAAAAGCGAGAACTCCAAGTTGAAGTGTCGAGGTCACAGTTCCCATCACCCTGTTGGTACCGATGAGGTATGCCTGCCGCGCGGAGGCTGCTGTGACAGGTAAATGCCGGGGTTCGGAGTTCTGCCGCGTCATACCGCCCCACTTTTCAGACGGGACGCTCCTTCCATCGCGTTTACGGCAGCACATGCCCCGCCAGTTGGTCGCGTTTAGTGGACGCATGGCACATGTCAGTGCCTGTAACACCAAGAACCCTTTTGGGCACCCTTTGGTCTCTTGACACCATCACCACATCAACCATCAATCTTGATACGAAGTGAAAACTCTGAAATGGTTCGTGAAATCTCACTCCTAGGTGCTTGGCTATGGAATCTCACACATACTAAATTAGGAGAGCCCTCATGAGCATCAGCAGAACTTGCTGCTGTCACGCATCATTACCAATGTGGTAAGCTCTCCAGTTGCCAACATTATTGTGATGTACAAGTACCACCCAACACAAGGGCCACCGGAACTGTTACTGATGCTCATGTCAAATTTGGTTAGGAGAAACTCAATGAGGCTATTGTCGTGATGAACAAGGCCTTGCAGGTAACTCGGTTGCAAATAAAGTTGGCCTTGGTGTAGTTACTGACTGCTGTTAAGGAAATCAACATTCAAAACATGAACATTGAGCTGGTTGCGCAGATGTTCAAGAACTACCAATCTAACGTGCTATTTCACCTTGAGGGTAAGGTTAACGCAACGCTTTCTTCAGATACCTGTATCGGGATTATTCTACTAACTCTTGTGGACTTTAGCTACTGACAACTTGAAAGAGCCCTCTTGATACGCCTTGCGTTGTGGTGATGGTGGAAGTATGGAAGCCCTTCCAAAAGATGTCACAGTTCAACAGATACGAAAGAGACATCGGTGTGAATGTCAAGCATCGAACCAAAGAAACATCGTTGGAATCGTTCTCTGTTGAAAGTCATACAAACACATTACTGAATACCAATAACATTATATCTCAGACCTCTTCATTTTGGCCCCACCCATCATAGTTTCTGTACTTACGATTGAACTGACAGTTTCCAGCAACCTCAATGACATGAACTTGAGGTAGGTCCACCCCTTGCATGAGTGCTCGCTGTAGCTTAAAAGGTGGGACGCGCCAAGCCGCGCCACTATAAGAACGTCAATGGGACACCAACCGCGACGGGACTTTGTGGCAGGCAAGCAACTCAGGCCGGACGGATCATTGCCAACGAACAATCTCGTCAAAGGTTCCTGCTTCCACTCTTCCTTTCCACTTTCCACTGAAAGTTGTAGACTTTGAAACCAGCAGTCTAGTGTCGAATCTTCATCGGCCTCTAACGCCGTCTTGCCGGCTATCATCGCCAGATCCTGCGAGGATCAGAATGCGCTGAACCCAAACAATTCCACTACTTCAGCGCTGAGCTCTCAGCAGCACCGCGACGGAACCTTCAACAACCGGACACACTTACAGAATATCAGAACTCGATTATACCTGCTATTTTTACGTCTCTCCAAGGCACATGCTATTTCATCATGGCGCTCTCCGCAGTTGATAATCCCGTCAGCAGGCGGGAAGCTTGGAAGACCCTCCCTGATCCCGTCCTCTACCCAGTCAAGGAAGCCAAATTCGAAAAGTTCATCGAGCCGCAGCCGGAAGGATACGAGCGCGCGAAGGCTCAGTCCGGAGGAAATCCAACTATCGTCATAGATAATGGTAAGCTTGTATCACAGGATTGGGGCCGTTCCCATGCGCCTTGTCCCCAGTCCAGAGTTTGGTCGATTTCGGTTGCTAACCTGTGTTATCCGTCGACTTTAGGCTCCTGGGCTGTCCGAGCAGGATGGTCCTTCGAAAACGCCCCCCGGCTAGCGGTTCCCCCGATCATGGCCAAATATCGCGACCGGAAGTTGGGCAAGACCTTCTCTTTTGCTGGCGAAGACTGCTACGCCGATACATCTGCGCGAGGACACATACGGAACGCTTTCGAGGCTGGAGCCGGTATTGTGAGCAATTGGGATGTCATGGAGCATGTGCTGGACTACGTCTTCTTGAAGCTTGGAATGAATGGTGTCGATGGGGCCATTGATGTGCCAGTCGTTATGACCGAAGCTGTCGCAAACTTGCCCTACTCGAGGAAATGTAGGTCAACCCCCTACTCCGTGCCGTTATTGCTGTTGACCCATTGTCTCCTCTTTAGCCATGACCGAAGTAATCTTCGAATGCTACGGCGCTCCCTCCCTCACCTACGGAATCGACTCTTTGTTCGCATACCGACACAACCAAGGCAAGACCGGTATAGTCGTGTCTTCATCACATAGCGCCACCCATCTTATACCGGTTTACAATCAGAAGCCATTGTTGGCTCAGGCTACGAGGCTGAACTGGGGTGGCTGGCATGCCGCGGAATATTTGCTGAAGCTCATTAAGCTTAAATACTACTACGGATTCCCCGGCAAACTCAGCTCGTCCCAAGCTGAGAACATGGTTCGCGATTTCTGCTATGTCTCCCAAGACTATGACAGCGAATTAGCAAGCTATCTGGAATGGACTGGACTCGAGGACAGGGAACGGATTGTCCAATATCCTTACACGGAGGAAGTGATCATCCAAAAGTCACAGGAAGAGCTGGACCGGATAGCGGAGAGAAAGAAGGAAAGCGGTCGCAGGTTACAAGAACAGGCCGCCAAGATGCGCCTGGAAAGATTGATGAAAAAGGAGCAAGAGATCGAGTATTACAAGGACGTCCAGCGCAGAATTTCGGAACAGACGACCAAGAAGGAGATCAAACGGATTCTTGATGATGCCGAGGTTAAGGACGAGGCTGCTTTGGACCGGATGGTCAAGGAACTGGAAAAGTCTATCAAGAAGGCGCGGACCAAGGATCTTGGCGGCGAACAGGAGGAAGAGCAAGAGGCCCCCGACTTCAGCCTGCTTGGTGTGCCTGATGACCAGTTGGATGAGGCTGGACTCAAGCAGAAGAGACAACAACGTCTTATGAAGTCGAACCACGATGCTCGGGCACGTGCCAAGGCTGAGAAGGAGGCAGAGAAGGCCAGGATAGCGGAGGAAGCCAGGTTGGATGAGGAGAGGCGGACCAACGATCTAGAGGGATGGCTTGAGGAGAAGCGCCAGCTTCGTAATGCCAAACTCGCTCAAATCAAAGAGCGCGATCGCCTCAAGGCTGATCTGGGTAACCGCAAGTCACTGGCTAACCAAATACGCATGAAGAACCTGGCAAATCTTGCCTCAGACACTCCCGCTGCCACCGGTCGCAAGCGGCGTCGCGGTGGTGACGACGACGACTTCGGTGCCGATGACGCCGACTGGGGCGTCTACCGCAGTGTGGCCATTGGTGCGAACAAGGGCGACAGTGATGACGAGGAGGAAGCCGAAGAGGACCTCGAGGCGTCGGTCCGCGCCCTGGAGCAAGACCTGCTGGAGTACGACGAGGAATTCACTTACGAGCACACACTCGAAGCCCAGAATGACTGGACCAAGTCTCTCCTGCATGCCTTCCGGTACGGACCAAGGCCATTTGATGCGGCAGCCCCAGCAGAAACGCATCGTCTGCATCTGAATGTCGAGCGCATCCGTGTACCCGAGGTGATCTTCCAGCCCAGTGCTATTGCTGGTGTTGACCAGGCCGGTATCATCGAGATAGCCGGTGATATCCTAAACCAGCGACTCGTGGGTATCCCAGGACTTGATCGGGATTCGTTCCTCAAGGATATCTTCTTGACTGGTGGAAACACCATGTTCCAAGGATTTGACGAGAGGATGCGCGCTAGTCTCGTGCCATTACTCCCGGCCGGTACGCCACTTACTGTCCGAAGGGCGAAGGATCCTATCCTGGACGCCTGGAAGGGCGCTGCTGGATGGGCGGGCAGCGACGATTGGCAGAGGGCCAAGGTTACGAGGGAAGAGTATCAGGAGAAAGGAGCTGAATATCTGAAGGCAAGTTCTCTTTCATTATATGGTCATTTTGTGCGTGTAACGTTCAGAAAGCTAACAAGAATTCTACAATAGGAGCATGACTTGGGTAACGCTTTTAGCTAGAGTAAAAAATAGTCTACCACAGAGTCTACCATAAAGCCACTTTGTGAATCCATACGGAAGAGATCACTACGCATGGTGTAGTGGTTAGAAAGGAACCAGGTTTTATAAGAGAATATCCAATCCAATTATTGACGATGTTTAGACCACAGAGGCTCAGCTGGTTCACTATTGTGGGTTACTTAAACGTGCTACTCTGTGACAGATGAGTCTATGAGACTCAACTGGACAACATTAAGAGCCGTATAGGCTTCAGTTTGACACCCAACTCCATCGCTTAAATTTTATTTTCTCTATCTATGTCTATATAACACCTATATCTTCTCCTCAGAACACCACAAATCTAATACCTCCTAAACTGCTTCTCCCACTGCTCAAAACCCCTAATCATCTCCGACGTAATCTGCCTCATCATTCCCTTGGCCGCCATCTCCAGATCCTCCATCGTGATGCCCACCGGTGGCGTATCCTTATCCTTATCCTCCTCCTCTCCTTCATCATCAACCCAATCATCCAGCTTAAGATAGCGATCATATGCCCTTGTACCCGCCACCGCGCAAATACCCTTAATCTCCGCGCCCGAGAACCCATCCGTGATAGTCGCCAACCGCGCAATCTCCTCCTCGCCAATCAACATCTGTCTCTTCTCCGCCTCCTTCCTGAAAATGGCCGCCCTCGCCTCCTCATCCGGCGGACTAACGTAGATCAGCTCGTCAAAGCGTCCCGGGCGCAACAAAGCCGGATCCAGCGCCTGCGGCCTGTTGGTCGCGGCAAGGACTACCACGCCGGTTAATGCCTCGAAACCGTCCATTTCGTTCAGCAGGGTCGTCAGAACATTCAGACCACTTGAACTACCGCCAGAAGTCGAAGACCCTCCACCATGTCCAAACCCAGCCCTCTGTCCCGCAATACTATCAATCTCATCAAAGAAAATCATACTAGGCGCCACCTCCCTCGCCCGCTGAAACAGTCTTCGCACCGCCCTTTCGCTCTCGCCGACATACATATTTAGCAGCTCCGCGCCCTTTACCGCAAAAAAGTTCAGGCCAGACTCGGTGGCCATCGCTTGCGCAGCCATGGTCTTGGAGCAACCCGGTGGACCGTACAGCAGGAATCCCTTGGGTGGGCGGGCGAAGAAGCGGGATAACACGTGCGAGGGTTCCGTCGACATGCGCACGGCGCGGCGCAGGGAGGTCTTGACGGAGGCTTGCCCGCCGATGTCGGACCAGTGGATTGGAGGGGGCTTGAGGTTGACGTCGTGCATTGCCGAGGGGCGGACGAGGCGGAGGGCTTCTTCGTAGTCTGCTGGAAGGAAGTATTCTGTGGTTGGGGTGGGAATGGGGGTGGTGATGGAGGTGGAGGCGTCGGAGAGTTGTAGGGAGTTCATGAGAGATGCCACATCATCTGTTGCCGCTGATTGATCATCATGGTTAACCGAGTCGTCGGTTGGTGGTGGTGTTATGGTTGTTTCCCTCTTGGTCCTGTTGATCCGTGTCCTTGCTATGAACTCGGCTTCGTCTACGAGACGACGGAGGTCCTTGCCGTTGTAGGCATGTGTGCGTTCGCTGAGACTGCGGAGAAGAGATTCTTCCTCCTCGGGCGCTACCCGCAGGTTGAAAGAGGCGAGAATCTCCTTGCGGCCGTCGACGTCGGGCAGCGGTAGGTAGATCTCACCCGTGAGTCTACCGGGATCTTTGAGATCCTCGGGCACGTCGGTTGTGTAATCCAAGCAAGTGACGATGACGGCTACCTTGGGAATTTCGCCGGTTTCCTGGGCATCGGCGCCCAAGGTATCCAGTGCCTCACAGAGAGCTTGGATCACGGATGTGCGGTTGTTCCTCTCCTTGTCGATGAGCCTCTCCAGTTGGTCGATCAAGACGATACTGGGCTGTTCAAGCCTGGCTTTCTGGAACATGTCCTGGATATCGGCCAGCTTGTCCTTGGGCTGGATGCGGTAGACTGTGCCCCAAATCGTGGCCGCAATGGTGTTTAGGAGCATGCTCTTTCCCGTGCCGTGACCACCGTGGATGACGATACCGCGGTATCTAGGCTTGCCCTTGAAAACCCAAGGCTCGGTGAACTGAGACAGCAGGTCGTTGAGTTTCTCAATCTGAGTGTCCAGTCCACGAACACTCGTCACCTCCAGCTTTCCCTGGGGCACGCCGTCCACCTGGCCAGCGGGCGAAGGCGCCCCTATCCTGACTTTCGTCTTGCCATCCAAATAGCGCGCGTTGCCGGTTGGTCGCCCGTTCACCGAAGCCACCGCAAACGACCTCTGCGGACCCCTAGCGTAGAGGTTCTTGAACGTCAAACCGGCGTGGACGTGCTCGATCATAGAAAGCCTTCCGGCAAGGAAGAACTCCCAGCCGGGTATTTCGGACAGGTCAATAGGTCCGGCACTCTCTGCTGCATCCTTTCCAGCCTTCTCGGGAGGTATCTGTTCAAGGACGACCTCTTCGGCTTCGGGAAGCTTCCCTTCCTGGACCGTGACCTTGACCTGCACTCCGGTCTGGTAGCCGCAGACTTCTCTGAAGGCATCATACAGCTGGATGCTGGCCTTGTCTATCCTCTCTGGTGATTTCCATAGCGTCGCCTCTCGTCGCAGGGCTTGGTCGTCAGAAGAAGAGTTCTGCTTGTCGATCTTCTCAATGGTGATGGCCCGTCCTCCGTCTTTGGAACCCGTCAGCTCGAGCAGAGCTTCCTCGTTGACGTAGACTCGTGATGGTTGTTTCTTGGCAAGGTCCTTTTCGGTGGTGCTGTTGGCCTGCAACTTGCGCACCTTGAACTCGAGAGATTTCGTCCCCATGGTGTGTGTGTCTATGTGGTGAGTTGTGAGTGAGAGTTCACTGTGGACCTTGATGTCCAGACTTTATTGTAGGGTTTGCCGGGTGGGGTTTTCCGGAAGGGGCCGTCGACATGGACTGCCCGGCTTGGTTCTTGACGGTTAAAACGGCCTGGGACCGGCCTTTGAATACAGTGACTGAACCCCGGGCACTTAGAGACGGACTTCATCACGGCTTCTCGTCTCCGAAATTGACGGCTTCCGACTTGAAGACCGGCATTAAGTGGGGCCGAAGGTCGCTTGAAGGTATGCCCGTTTGTACTTCTACCTATGCTACCATATTACACAGCCTCTTGCTTACCGTATCAGGTACTTCTATGCGATGTACCTGCACCCGGTCGGATAAGGATGAACGCCAAGCTTTTGTGTCAGGGTTAGGGCTCTGTATGGCTATTGCGTTGGGATAGGTACTTGTACTAGCGCTCGATTTGCCGGCGGCAGAGCTAAGGTAGGTAGTCGCGGGGACTCATTCCCCAACCGAGGGGAAGCTAGAAATTCCATCTTTACCACTTTTACATCTTCTTCGACTTGCGCTCGGCGTCCACGATCTTAATGTTCCCAAGAGGACTGCAGTTGTCGCAGCCCTTCAGCCGGTCACGCGTGAGACTGCCGACTGCCCGATCCTTGACCACCCCCTCCATTGCCTTCTCCACTTCTGCCATCAGATGCGGAGGCAGAAGGCTCAAGGATAAGACTTCTACGGCCATCACGAATAAAAACACCGACCTCGCGTATAAACATGCTCGGGACGCCATCCGTGGCCCTAGAAGCACCCACAGAAAGACCTCCGATAAGGGGAGCCAGAAGCCAGAATCCCGTCCGACAGCACGGTTTGTTGAATCCGAACGTCCACTAGTACGAAGGGTTACCTCCGGACCGAAACCGAATCATGAGGTGGTAGACCAGGAAAGAAACACGGAAGGGCAAAAAAAGAAATCCGAGGAGTATCGACTCGGGCCGGTTGTGATCTCTCCTCCCCCAGGAAGACTAGAGTTCGAGCAACAACTCGGGCCGGTTGTGATCTATCCTCCTTCAGGAAGACAAGAGTTCGAGCAAGAACTCGGGCCGGTTGTGATCTATCCTCCCTTCAGGAAGACAAGAGTTCGAGCAAGAACTTGGGCCGGTTGTGATCTCTCCTCCCCCAGGAAGAGAAGAGTTCGAGCAGCAACTCGGGCCAGTTGTGCTCTCTCCTCCCTCAGGAAGAGAAGAGTTCGAGCAACAGGAACCCCGTCCAATCGACCGAACCGCTCGCTCCTCACCAGAAAATACCACCGCGTTGCCAGAAATACCTGAGCTGCAGGCCCACCCGGGAACCGTACGAATTATTCGCCATCTAGCCCAAGACCCCCTCGAAAAACCACGAGTACGACGAGTCCCTTTCGGCGTGGGAGAGAAAGAAAAGCACCAGCTACAAGCCCGTCCAGCAGCACGACCTGTTAATGGGCGAAAAGAAGACTTCCTTGGAAAGAGGGCTGTGGATTCTCGGTCAGGCTCTGCGTCAGCTATAAAGCCAGCATGGGCTACTTCTCCGTCGGAAAATCTCCAGCGGAAAAGGAGGAGCGCCGAAGCCCGCGCAGCCAACAAGGATACAGAGACCGGTTTGGAAGAGGCGTTTCCTTCGGCAGACGAGCTTCAAGCATGGTTTAAGGAATTCACGTCCGAGCGATCCAATCCCGAAGCCACCACCGCCCAGTCAGCGCCGCTAGAGCCCCCCAAAATGCGCGTCAAGAAAACCTATGAACATGACAAGGTTGATAGCGAGGAGGAGTTGAGGCGACTCGAGGAAACGGGGTTTTCGGGACCTACAAAAATGGATCCCGCCGTGGGACTGTTTTTCGTCAGCCCAAAGAAGAGTTGGACACTCTGGTATCTTCAGTCAACGTGGCGGAGAAGAAAGCAGTTGAGCAGAGCAAGGAAGACGGTGGTCCAGCAATCGTTGTGCTCAACAGTGTCTCCCGGTCCCTTCTGGAGTCCGACTTCCGTCACATTGCCGGTCATGGCCAGCATGTGGACGGGTGGACTTATGGCCTTGTCAAAGGTACGTTCACGAGACTTTCGTTATATACTGCAGCATTTTGGGTTCCTTGGGGCCACGTGCGATTTCCCAACACTGACTTTAAATCATCTAACCAGTTGTCCAATCCAGATCCCGAACCACGCACGAACCACAAGGGTGCTACTTCCTCTTCTTCGATAACGAGTTGAACGCCCGAGCATACGTAGATGTTCTGGAACGCTTGCATAACAAGTCACGTCAGGCTTTGCCAAAGGAATGGCGACAGAAGGCCACGGGCACGCCAACACCTGCTCAACCTGCTAAGAAGCCAGAAGGCTCAGAAGGCGTGGAGGAAAGCGTCGACGAGCTTCCGGACGTGGATGAACAGCAGGAAGATGGGCCCGGCAGTCTGGGTCGGAAGTGGCGGGAGGACGACGGCCTGGACGCTGCTCGCTACACGTTACTGCCTCCTACGGCGCCCCTCCATTGCCAAATCTTTACCAGGGACAACATCGTCGAATTCGAGAACATTCGGGAGGCAAGCAAGGGCCTGCGGCCTCAGCAGCTTCTTTCGAAACCAAAATTCGCGCGTAGCGGAAAAGCCTCCTTTGTAGCCCCGCCTCCCAAGGGCCTCGTCGATTACGCCGAAGACCCAGAGATAGAGCACAGCAGAAGCAGCGTGCTAGTATATCTAGTTGGCACCAAAATGACGGTCCGTGGCTTGCGCACCGCCATCGAAATCGATGCCGAGGCGCGCAACTACCCGTGGCAGTTGCTTCAGGAGGAGGAAGTCCCAGCGGCGATGACGACAAGAGCGACGAAGACAGAGACAGAGAAGGACGAAAGGGACCCAGCAATCAAGCCCATCTTGTCCACACTCTCGACCATCAAGTTCAGCAAGTTCAACGAGCACAGGATTGAACACGAGCTCGACGAGTTCTCGGGCGGGCAGATGAAGGAAGGGGAGATGCACGGGTTTTCACGGTTCGTGGTCTCGTTCGCGGACGTGAGCGAGGCGAGGAGGTTTGTCAGGACGTGGCATAAGAGGGAGATGCTGGACCCGAGGACGGAGAGGACTGTGATTGTCAATGTCACTTCCCTGTGGTAGAATGCATTTTCTGGTGTCAGATATGTGTACGATTTGTATCAAAACTCTGATCCTAAAAGTGAGGAAGGATATTGTACTATGTGTAGAGTTTATTAGATGTACAAAGCTGCAGCTCGAGATTGGATAGACAAACAAAACAATCATGGCGCGTCTAGAACTCTGGATAGGCGGCCACCACACTCTCTCTTCACTTTGGAAACGGACACCCTCGAGGAGATAGGTATGTGTCACAACATCCACGGTACGAAAGGGGTCGTTTACAAACCCGTTGTCTGCCCCACACGCACCTCCAAGATTGGGTAGGTTGGGTATTGCCTTACCTTGGGTTCCAACTAACTTGTGAGATTGTCCGGTTCACGTCGTACAAGTGATACCATGTGAGGGCATTTCGGTTTCCTCATCCATGTCGTCGTTGCCATCGTCGTCGTTGTGTCCTGCCCTTGCCTGCCTTTGACATTTTTGTTGCCTGCCCCGAACAGGACCAGACCCCCGTCGTTTAGTGTCATGGCCGCCCGGTGAATCGTCCAGCGGATTGTACTACAGTCTCTTCAGGCTTCAGGTCACCTCACCTCATCCTCTTTTGTCTCTCTTTCTCCCTCTTTCTCTTTCTTTCTCTCTCTCTTTTCGATCTTCTGCCTCACTGCTCTATCTGCCTTGCCTGCGTTGCCTGCCATGCCAGCCCTTCCACCGTTCAACACGCTATCCTCTTGCATGCCCAGAGCGTGACCAGACCCCAGTCAGGAAGTTGTTGGTCTCAAAGTCACCTCATCCATCCTCTCTTTTTTTTTTTTCATCCTCTGGTCGGTTCGGTCTTACCATCCGTCGCTCACGACTCACACAACTCATGTGCGTTGTTGTTGTTGTCGTTGTTATTGTTGTTGTTGTATACACTCACATCACATGTGGTGCTCCATTTCCATCCATGTCAGTTCAGTCCACTTCACTTCAGCATCGAACATTCGGTCGAGGCAGGCAACTCAACTACCGTCCTGCCTTTGGTGATCTGGGTCAGGGGCAGGCAAACTTTTTGCCAAATGCCTGCCTGCCTTTGAAGGGTTACATTTCGATGGAACTCTTTTCTAAAAGCCGGGCCGGTGCTAAAAACATGCCCAGCCTTTTAGTGAGACTCTGGAGACTCTGCTGACGAAGGACTGACAGACCCTGATGGGCTCCGTCTCGAGTTACTTAGTATGGCTCTGTGATAGGAAGAGAGAGCAACCGGAGAAGACACCGAAATGCTGGATTCTGGATTGGAGTACCCATACAGTATCGCTCGGTAGTGCAAATACCGAAACTAGAAGGGAAGGTAGTGTACTACCGCTAATTGACCTCCCTCTGCGCTCTTCGGCGAAGCCCAACGTCTCTGTCCCATTTAGTGTACATAAACCATATCTTTTTCTTTCCATCTTCGTGAACCGTTACGGAAAGCTGGTCGGTGGTGGCAGGTGGAATTCGGTATGTAACTGTTGATTGAACAGCGAGCCCGGTACCGAAGCATCCGACGGTACGCAGAAAGAGAGGTAGGTACCTCAATAGCTTCAAATCATTTCAACAGCCAAATTGAGCAACCACTTTTTCTCTCTCATTTCACATGGTGAACATCCATCGAACAATTCACATCCGCAACGATAAACATAGAAACTACCGGCGCCGGGGGTTTGACGAGCCATAGCTAGAAGGGGCTAGCCACCCATGCGGGCTCTTCACTTTCGGGCTGATCAGCCGTCTGGAGGTGGAACAAACACTTCTAACTCTTTGGAGTATATAGCTATGACAAACTCTGTTAGTGCAGGTGTAGTCAGGAGGTACCGTGGTACCTACCTACCTCTAGGGAAGGTGGAAAGTTCCACCCATGGAGTGGGTGTTAGTGCCCGCCTGCCCGCTCCGCTGCCCGCCCGTCATTGCATTTGCACCTTGACTTTTACTTCTGGCCCATCAATCATCTTTGCCTTCCATACATCTGCTCTCGTCGGAAGCAGGACATCTACCAGTGCCAGTGCCAGTGCCAGTGCCAGTGTCTTCCTCCATTCCTTGCATTTACCGCTGCCTATCATTCCCACCACCAGTTTCTTAATTCAACAACACTTGAGAAAAACACAAGCCTCCAAGGACGGCACAAACGCTGGATCCTCAGATACAACACGATACAACCAACTCCTTGCCGTGGGCAACACAGCAAACACCACCTTGGGTGCTTTGGGTTTCGACAGGTTTGACCTTGGGTAACGGTCACCGAAAAGAATCGACAAAGGGGCCCCTTGACGCGCCCTTCCCCCCTCCCCTCTACCTCCTAACCGAACCGTCGGCCGTTGTCGCCCTGGAGAGACTGAGACCGTCGTCAAGCTCCTACCCGCCAGCCTACCATTGCCCACTCACGAGAGAGCCAGCCACGGAGCCAGTTTGAACCGGGCTCTTCCCTGGACCGGAGCAGTCACCACCTCCTCACCCAGAGCTCACCACCAGTCAAGACTCGCTCTGCCTCTGCACCGAACCGACGACATTCCCGTGCAGTGGAACATTACTTCCAAAAAGCTCAGAGCGCGGCTGCTGCATTGTGCCGGTCCTGGTAACCGTTGTATACAACACAACACAATCCGTACCAAAAAGCACGGATAAGGACCACTCACCACCCTACACTACGAGACGACGTGACGGCGCCATCTGTGTCCTACTCTAGTCCCTCTCTGTCACTCTGTCACAATACGGATCCCTTCCCGGCTAACTAGCAACAACAGGCCAGACGCGTTGAGGTCCTGTCCTGCTTGTCGACTCATATCCTTTTACTTACATACTAAAGGCACTGGTCGATAGTGGTCTTGTTCTGCGGTCTCATTGTCCTCCCGTCCAGTCAGTCGTGACTACCTTACCTACCTCTACTGCTACACACATTATCCTAAAGGAGCTGGACCACCTGCCAAATCAGACTTCAACCACCCGAACCATCCTATCGCCGTTAGCTTGACGTTACTCAAAATCAGAAAACATTTGCCGTCCTCCAGCCAGCTCGTGCGCCGTCGCTCTCGCCCTACTCTTGTCTCTCACTCACCCACCCTCTCTCTCGCTCTCTCTTCCTCGCCCACCTTCTAGGTCCCAGGTTCCCCGGTCCAGTTCGCAAAAGTCCAGAGCGTCCCAATATCTGTCATCGGGCATCCCTGGGCCTTCTCTCCTCTGCAACTACGTTGCTTTTGGTTCGTCCTTGGATTTTTCTTGTCCTTCACGCGGTACACACACCGCACTAGCAACATAGGACAAGCACCCTACTATCTTGCTGGTATCTTAGTACAGATTCTCCGTGCCCCTCTCCTATCTAGCTCGTTGGGCATAACTCTCTGAAACTAGCTACCATCCCCCACACCCAAGCGTTGGAGCTACCTATCATACCGAACTGCCCCCGTTCACGCATGGCGATATCGTTGTAGTCATCCTACTTTCCGAAGCTCAAGCAAGGCCAGCTCGTTGGAGCGGCCGGCGTCAAGCACCCGCCTACAACATGGATCTCGAACAGACGTTTATGACTATTCACAGTGGGTTGGACCTCAATTGACATTCCCCGTTGCTCTGTCTCAATGCTCTGATCGAAGCATGCGGCGGGCACACTCTTGATGACGAGCATCTCGGGACCACTCTGTACAATGGTTTGACTGACTCCCAATCCTTTCATTGCAGACCTGACAGCAGAGGCGAATATCCTTTTCGCGTCCGACTCTATCCTCGACATTCTTGGCTATCATCCAGACGAGGTCAAGGGGAAATCATGCTTTGACTACTTCCATCCGGATGACGTGGCACTAGCCCGCCGTGTCCATCAGGAGGGCGTGCTGCTCGACAAAGCAGCTGTTCTGCACTATACCAGAATCGCCTCGAGAGATGGAAAGTGGATTAACTGCGAATGTTGCTTTACCGTTGTTCATGATGTGCTGGTTGCGAGCACGAGCATTTACCGGGGTGGTCTGAAAAGCGAGAGTATGTGTTTCCCCCCCACAGCCATTGAAGCCACCCCCGTGTTAACCTTGCGTGTAGGGAGAAAGCTGGATGCGCCGCAGATTGAACGGATATTCTCATCAGCACCTCGAGACCCCAGATATCATATGCTCGAGCACATGTCACCCAAGTTCACCATGCCTCCAGCGGGCCGCGAACCCCGTGCAGCGCTCATTCTCAACCGTTTCACTCGGAACCTCAGTATCATGTTCGCCACTAACGCGGTCGAGTCTATCCTTGGCATAAGTCCAGAGGAGATCAAGGATAAGCCTTTCTACGAGTGTATTCAGGAGAACTGTCTACAGGAAGCTATTCAGGTGTTGGAGAGTGCCAAGGCCAACGAGTCGATTGCTTATCTTCGCTTCTGGTTTCGGGATCCACGTATAGGCACGGATGGCCAGGACGAGGACGAGGAAGATGACGAGGACCAAGATGAGGAAGATTCTGATGATGAGGAAAATGACGAGGACGATGATGAGCTGGAATACTTGGGAAGCAGGGCTAAAGGTTCAAAAGGCAAGGTCGTCAGAAGGGACGATGACCAGATGGATATTGATGACAAGCCGTCAGGGTCGGGGTCAAGGGAAAGAAGGGGCGAACCGGAGGAAAGAGAAAGAGACCGTCGACCCTCCAGTTTTGAGCTGGAGGCAGTTGTGTCTTGTACTTCGGACGGGCTTGTCGTAGTGCTCCGAAGAGCACGGCCACAGGTCCCCGAGCACGTACCTCAACCAGTACCAGTTTTCACTTACGAGAACGGCCTCTTCGCTGCGCCATGGGGTCTCCGTCCAATTGAGCCTTCTGTGCCGCCAGAACTCATTCATATATTCAGGCCCCCCCTATTACCCCAGCACATGCCGCTTAAAGAAAACGTGAGGGCAGCAGGTGGTCCACCGATGGACCAGCTGATGAGGTCCATTCGCGACGTCGCAGTCTTTGCCTGGGCCCTGGTGGGCATCAATGGCAACATTGCAAACTTCGCACACGGTTTCCCGCCGAGAGATGACGCGCAGCCGGCGGCGGGGGATGGTCGGTATCCAGGACGAGGGGACAGTCGAGCTTTGAATCAGCATCTCGAAAACTGCAGGCTATACTACAACCCCAACAACAACGGAGGGTCTCTTGCGGCGACAGTAAGGGGATCATCCCCGCTAGAGTATCCCCCAGGACAACAAGCGCTCCCGGGTGGAGGTGGAAGTGGAAGTGGAAGCGGGTGTACATGTCGCGGTGCAAGTGCTGGTGCTGGCCCTTCTCAGCGTCAACATACCCCGGGAGTGTACCCTTACGCACCGCAAGCACAACGACACGGCTTTGAGTCACGGCCGGAATATCGATCCCAATCAGGCGGAGTATTCTGCCGTGGCGCTCTCCAGCAGTCAAGCGAGGAACCTGGTTCGCCTGTACCATCAGCATCATCCGCTTCTTCGATCATGCAGCAACACCAACACTACCACCGCACCTCTCCCCTTCAACAACAATATCATCATCACTCTCCGTCTCCGATGCTGTCTCCCCGTCAAGTAGCTACACCTGAATCGGAATATGCTCCCGCTCTCACTCCCGCAAGACACGACCTACCGCCAGAGCCTTGGACAGCAGAGGCAGCGGCGAGAGCAGCTTCGAGAGCTTCGTCGGCGGTGGCCGGGGCGGCGACGGCTGCTAGCACGTTGACGCAGGCGGGTGAGCCGGATGGGAATGAGATGAGGAGGAATTCGAGGTTTTTGTGGCAATAATAAAATCTGGAGCACGTATTGTGCATCGTGAAGCAGAAAAGCACGGAGTCGTTTTCTATCCACTCTCCCGTTTTCTCCCTTCCTTCCTTATTCTCTTGTCGTTTCACGTTTCTTTTTTCCCCCATATCTCAAAGAAGTGTCTTTTCTTGCTTTGTTCAACGCTATCCGTTGGCACACACTCTGGGGTTCTCTGTCTCTCTACCTACGTATGTATGGTTATGGTTACACTGTCCGGCGAGGCGGCGGTTAGGGTCACGGTCAATCAATTTTGTGATCTCGATATTCAAGAATACAAAAGATAACTCAAAACTGTGACATTGTCATCTTGTCCTGGTGTTATATTATGCATGACTTTGTTTTGCTGTTCTTCAAAGGCGACTTACCATACTTAGTGGATGGTGTTGGCCATGAAAAGCGTTACCTATCTACTGTGACTGACCGCTCTTGTTGATAAGAGAATCGATGGATGGGGTAGGGATGGATTGAACGGATCAAAGTAGGGTTTGAATATTCTAATATTAATTTCAGTCTTTTTTTCTTTCCTTTTCTCATCGCTCCAGACTGGAGTTTTCTCACGAAAAATGGGGTTGGTGGGTTGGTTAGTTTGTTGGTGGGTTTGGGCCTGGCCGGGTGGCCAATGGCTAATGGCTTTATCCATATCTATATCCAGGGAATCATCTGAAGGGAAAAATAAGAAGGGGGTTCGGTTAGAATGTTATACATACATAGCATATCCATCCAAATCAGAAATGGTTCTGAAAATGATGTCGTCGTACTGGGTGGGTGGCAGTCGGCTCTAACTTTATCATATCCACCTACCTTATGTGTCGGCTGGTATTCATGTGGACAATACTTATCGTGTGTTTTCAAGAAAGTAAAATGTAAAAAGTATAACTAAAAAAGGAAAAGGACAATCCGTCCATCCATAAGTCTCCTCTCATCTCATCTGATGGAATTAAGTGTGGGAGGATTGAGACTACGCTGACTGATGGTCGTTCCTTCCTTCTTTCCTTCCTTCCTTCCTTCCTTCCTTCCTTCCTTCCTTCCTTCCTTCCTTCCTTCCTTCCTTCCTTCCTTCCTTCCTTCCTTCCTTCCTTTTTTTCCACTTCTCCATTTTTCCTTCTATGTCGGTCCCACCTACATACCTATCTACTAGACCAGAGGTGCGAACGCTCACGCCTGTACACGTAGTAAATTATTTGAATCGACTTGTACTGGTGTTTTTCATGGCTCAGTTGGAAGAAGATTACCTTAGTACTAGGAACGAAGGAGGGAGGCAGGTGCTCTCGTCTCTACTTGTACACTTTGCTGCAATTTTTCCTAGAGGTAAATACAGAGAGCCAGTCATATTGCCCTTGTTTTCTCTATAATCTTGCCTGACGAATTGAATTTGGGTTGGTTCAAAAGGTAATGTGTTGAATTGCCGTGCAGAGGAGGAAAAGCGGCGGGCAGAATAGGTCAACAATGTCAGGGCCAAAGAACATGGCAGCAGATTTTTATGCTTCGTCTTTCATGTGTCACGACGGCATTTTTGGGCATTATCATTGCTCTTGACTGATCTGTTTGTTGTATGTAGGACTGCGCTAGGTATTGATTGACCTCCAAAGCCTACGGTACGAAAGGCAGGTAGATACATACATACACGTATCTTGGCTGTCGCATGTTATCCTCCTTATTCACCGTCTACCATCCGCCAACGCCAAGAAGGTAAAGATATTGAGTAGTAAATATACAAGACGATATTTATCTGCTGTGCTTGGGTGAATCAAGTAGGTACCAATGATATCGTAAAATATATTTCGCCTATTTTCCCTCCGCATTTTCCTTTCGCTTTCCACTTTCCCCTGGTCCACCACCTTTCCGTTTTCCCTTAAGCTTTGCCGTCCTTGACCCAATCCAAAGCAACCTCTAGTCTTTCATTGCGTCTGGATCGTCATCACCTTCTTCAACTACTGCTGCTGACTTTGTCGTCGTTTCCTCTCCTCGGTCTCCTATCCTTACATTTTCTTTTCCTATTGCAGTAGTAACATCTGTTGTTGTGGTTTCCTTGTCCTTCTCTGCGCTGGTTGTCGTCTCGGGCTCAGGCTCCAAAGGTTTCCCACCGCCAAGCATGCTCTTTACTTTGGCAGAGATGTTGAAGGCGATCTTCTTCGGCGTGCTTAAACTCGAGGTAGTAGCAGCAGGCGCAGCGTCGGGGGCGGCTGTTGGTGAGGTATCGTCCTCCTCGGCGGAGTTAGCGGAACCGACCACAGCAGCAGGAGTAACAACACCATCCGCAGCAGAATCACCATCTCCAGAGATTCCCATCTTCTTGCGAATGTCTGCGCTGGCGCTAGCCGCACTGGCGTTGCTACCTCGGCGCTTTGAGTGTAACAGCTTATCGAAGGCATCGTCGTCCTCGTCTTCTTCACGGCGCCGTTTCTCGGATATCCTCTCTGGAGGGGTCACGACAACCGCGGCAGCGGCAGCGGCGGCCGGCCCACCTTTTGTTGGCGTTACTGGCCGTTTACCGTTCTCCTTTGTGCTGCTGGGTTCGCCGTCCTTCTTCTCCTCAGCCGCCGCTTCATCGCCGGCCACCCCATCCTCCTCGTCCGAGCCGTATTCAACCAATGGCTTCAACAAAGGAAGAGTAGCAGTAGTTCCGTTGGTACAATGAGGGCCATTCTGAGGCCCTTCATCCTCTTCGTCCGACACGCTGTTCCAATACTCCTCTTGAGCCTGGTCAACGGTGAGCTGCTCCTCCATCAGCCCGGCGGCCGGCCTCGTCGGCCTCCTCTCGCTCTGGGCCGCGGTTGGCCCCGTTTCTTCGTCTTCATCCATGAAGTACTCTGGGTTGGTCGTATAGCCTTCCGTTTGGTCATACCTGCTAACCATTTCGCGGAAAGTATCCATGTGTGACAGCGCCATGATCTTCTCTCGGTAGTTTTCCACGAGGTGCTTGATCAGCTCCTTCACATTTTCCTTATTAATGAGGACGAAAAGATCCAGGCAGGCCGAACAGAGCAGATTGTCGCGGGTGATTGCCCGTAATAGGACGTCGAGAATAGGGCCGAGAATCTGCTTCTCGGCAATATGCTTCATGTAGAACTCGTCACTCATCAATACAAGTTGCTTGATAAATCGGATGGCCACTAGAAGAAGGGAAAAAACCATGCATGTTAGCCTCATGTCCTTATAACTTGAAGGGTATCCACAAGTTGCTATGCCTACCGAGCTGCAGATGCTTTTGCTTGCATGAAAGCAACTGAATAAAGCGTTGTGCCAGGTTATGGGTGATGAGGAAGTACTTGGCCCTGTATTGGTGTTGTCGAATGAAGGAGCAAAGAATATCGTTCAGATAGCCGAAAATGTATTCCTGCATGGGTTGGAACTTTAACTCTGTCTGTCCTTCGAGTTCGAGCAGCGGCTTGAATAGCCTAGCGGCTGAGGTCTCGTAGAAGTGCTGGATCAAAAGTTCCTGCTGCGGGTCGGTGGTCTGAAGCTGTCTCGGTCGCTGCTGGTTGGGAGGATACTCTCTTGCATCTGGGGGCATGATCGGCGGCACATCAAGCAGAATTCGAAGGGCATCCTGCATTTGTGACTTGACGCCAAGATCAACCTCAACTAGAAGAAGGTCGATAATCGCATCGGTGAGAGGCCTCTGACGTTCTTGCAGCTGTCGGTAAATCGTATGCCTGACCATCTGGGGATCGTGATCAATCATGGCAACGAGGATGTCAGTAGCATGTACTCGTACAGTGACGTCGTGGTCACACAAGCCGAAATTAATGACACGAATAAGACCATGACCCAGGAAGTTGCTATACAGGTTTTGTCTTGCTGGTGGTTGAAGGTTCTTGGCGATGGCACAGCAATCGTGGAGGAAAGTAACGGCCTGCTTTTTGCGCAGATGGTGCGCGGAAGGGTCGGCGAATATCGAGAAGAGGTCGTTTAGGAACCCGCCGTTGGTTTGGATATGGTTGATGATATCAACCTGGTTGAAGAAGATGAGGGAGTTAAGGACGGAGAAGGTCGGGTCATCTAGAATCCGGGCCAGAACCACGTCCTTGAGATACAGCAAGCGGAAGGTCTGTTGAATCTTCCGCCGGATGTTATCGTCCTCAATCTTGACCACCTCCTTGAAACGGGTCTGGTTGCTCAACCACTGCCGATGATTCGCCTTGTGCTTCGGGAAGTCGGGGTCGTATTCGAGGGCGCCCACCACACCGAGGACACACTCATCCGACACAGCCTGATCAATGATTGCGGTGTCGTTCAGGAGGAGCATCGTCTTGGTCATGTTGCAAAGGCGGAATAGGTCGTCGAGGCTCTCGAGGTCCTCCGCCATCTCGACTAGGTTGCCCAATGTCGGAAGAATTTCGTGGTCCATGATGGACTTGACCAACACCTCGCGCCCATTCGCCGTATTGGACATTTGGCGCATAGCATTTTCGAGGTCGGGTAGGTTCGCCAGATCAGCTGGGGGCAACGTGAACGTCGAAGTTGACATATCCATAGGAAGATCATCCGAGAGACTATCGTCGGCGCCGCCCAGGACGTTATGGAAGGTTTGTTGAACGCCATCAATAAATTTCCTTGACATGGTGGTTAGCGGGCGCATACGATATGAATTTTCGGAGATGAGACCAACCATATCATGGCGCAACCCTCGGCTTCCTGGAAGCTCAAGGCCATATCCACATTGTTCTCGGTCCATACAATCAGGGTATCTGCAAAGACAGTTAGCAATGCAATTATGGGGTCAACGGCCACGGTTTAGAAGGACGCGCCTTGTTGTTTCTGGAAGCCATCATCTTTGACAATCTTGGTCTCGAGTAGGAGGCGGTCGGGTTGGTCTTCGGATTCGACGATAACGCGGGGCTCCTTTGGCTGGTTCTCCTGGACGGGGACGAACTGGGCAGTGCAGAAGCCGGTGCCGCGATCGAACCAGTCATTGTTACGGAGTTCGTAGACCTTAACGCGCTTCTTGTCCGTCGTGTGATGAGGCACCGGGTGTGCCATCATCAAGGGTTCGGCGTCCCCCTCTGGGACGGTCTGATCGTGGTCGAGCAGGTCGTCGGATAGATCGAGATGTTGGTGCTCCAGAGGTAATTCGGCCCCGGCGTGACTGATAACCGCAAGTGCCGCCACTTTTTACAGGAGCGATGCGCGCCCGAGTCTGCGCGCGCGATGGGGGGAAGCGTTAAGGGTCGCACGGGAGCAATCGCGCTAGATAAGGCCGAGGTTTGATGGGATGGGGTGACAGTGTGGAGAAGTCGAAGTTCTGGGCTTTCGGGGGAGATTGGAGACGGGCGTCTGGCGCAAGCGGCGTTGAGGGTGTGACGTCGCAAGAAAGTTGGGATAAAATGGACCAATATTAATCTAGAAAATAAACGGTCCCGTCATTGGGTTCTGCTCTAACGCCAGGCTGATATGGGTACGTGGAGGCAGGACTTTCTGATAACCCGACAGGCAGCAAAGTGGTCGGGCTTTGGGGCCAGGTCGGCTGAAGAAAAGGTTCGAGATGTCTTGTATCTATGTCCGTCGGAGACCACAGGTAATACGGTAGAGGGATGTAGCAGGAGTAGTAGCAAAGTCGATTGGAGCGAGCAATGGCGCGATGCCTAGGAGACGACAGAAGAGAAAAACTCTTGATGGCGACTTGGCGATGGAATCTTGTCGGCCGACGTGGGAAGGCGTGAACGAGCGATAACGAAGAAACGCGCCTGTAAAGTCGAGGCTGAATTGAAGGTCCAGGCTACACTAAGCGCGCCGCCGCAGGGTCAGATGGAAGAAGGTGGCTTGGACGTTATCGCAGGTTGGGAAAGTGATATGATGAAATCGGGGTCAATCGCGCTGGAAATCCCGTTCCTGGTGCAGCCCAAGGTTGCGATGGCCGATGGGTTTCCAGGTTCAGGATGTCTCGTGAACCCTCTTGCGGACGGGTGGTGGGCAGGTGCAAGAACAGGGCACGGAGCAACTGGGCAAGTGGAATGGGGGGGCGGCGACGGGGTCCTCTCCAGCTCTGTTGACGAAAACCAGTGGAAGGTTGACCCGCGGGGGAAGACGGGGGCCGAACGGGTGAGAGCCGCGAGCAGATTCGCTGGTCCAAGTGGAAACTTTGAGGACCTGTCGAGTGCAGTGCTGCGAATGACTCTGCGAGACTTCCACTTTGTCCCCGACAGTGCCAGCGCCGGGTGAGTGTGACATCCGAGGCTTGGCGTGGATCTCTGCACTCCAAAAGACCAGATTAAGCTTAGCGCCTCTAACCCCCAGGCAGGACGCCAGGTGCCAACAGACAAGGACCAGATGGAAGGTCGGGAAGGTGTGGTGAAATTGGATGGAAGTTTGGAAGTCGAAGTCGGACGGAAGCCGATAAGAAACTCTTGTCTCCAATTCGTTGTAGTTTGACGATGAAGGTTTTCCGTTTGAATTGTCTCTCCATACACGTTGCGGGTGGAATTGAACATGAAACCAACGCTGGCGCCAATGCAGCTCAGGGATGAAAAGCTTAGACCGAAAGATCACAAAGGAAAAGCGCGCCTCCAAGGTCTTTTTCACGCGCCGCCGAACGTCGTCTTGATAGTGTAGGTAAGCATACCGGTACACACTTGGGTTTAACGCGCCCAGTGCACGCACCATGGCGCGCACCTCGGCTGCTCTTCCGGAAGCTTCGCGATGTTGGGGATCTGTTGGGGTTCAAGCTTCACACCTCCCCAAAGTTCAAACCCAGGCCATGTCACTTTTACAGATCCACCCAGGGTACCTACCTTACTTTCTGCCCTATCTCTGGAGCTGTCAAAAACAAGTCCCGTCTCCAGCTGCCAGAAACACCTATGGGGCGCATTTCAAGCTCCACTTCTCCCGTTCCCCATGGATGCAGTACTGCATTTAAAGCTGGGCATGCCCTGTCTTTGAATGCCTTTGTCTCGCTGGACGCCTTCTCGCCGACCACAAGAGGCGTTCCCGTCGCATATCCCCGCTCCCACGCCTGCCCGCTTTCCCCGATGGTCCCAGACCCACTTGGGAATAGCTTCATACCCATATAACCTTTCGGCACCGGCGACTTCACTCCGTCACACATCACCCAAAATTGAAAATTCCATCGTTCGGATAATCGAGATTTGAGCACTCTACTGGGGCCTGATCATCGAATGCCCTCAATTTCTAGCTGCTTGCTTCTCTATCATTGCCTGTATCGCGCTGGTTCCGATCAGCGCTAGAAGGCGCCATCTTTATCTTGGTCGGTCCGAACGACATCTCGCGGACATGATTCAATGTCACCTATTCTGAAGTAACGGTACACCTCCCAGGAGGCATGGTACACCCAGGGATGATGCTACGAGCGAAACCTCCTTGTGCGCTTCGTTCTGCGTTGTCTTTGTGGCTCGGGCTTGCCGCACGTAATGGCACCAACACCTGGAACTTTGGGCAAGAAACATAGCGAACCACCTGCAACAAGAGCTATCAGGAGACCTTCAACCCCCACGCCAGTTTTCTGCTCCTCCGAGTTAGGATCACATGTGATAAAAGCCCCATCGTCGACGATCCCGAGCGGATACAGCATCCGTCGGATGAGGGTAGCGGCTGGGCTTTTGATATTCGTGAGACAGGCCTTTGTCTGGTGTCTAAAGTTTTCGTCTGCTTTCTTTTCTTTTCTTCTTTTTCTTTTCCTCGCGTTGTGTCCTTTATGCTAACGATTTTTCACGAAGCAGGTTCGGGAGCCCGTATCCGCGCCATGGAAAACACTTTGAGACAGCATCGGGACATGTCGTGTCGTGGCGAGATTGAATATCGTGATGGACCTCAGTCTTGGTCACGCCGCATCCAATTTCCAAGCTCCGACGCCAGAATCACTCAGTGTCACAAGCCGTGCTAAAGCTGATTGGTTTCGCGATTCGAACATGATACTCCTGCCACGGTGGCCCTAGCTCCGTGCAAAGGCATTATCAGGATCATCAACACATCCACGGAGATCACAGCATCGGCACAGCACAGGCAAGCTGCCTCTCCCGGACTCGAGATTTGAGAATGGCCGCCGGCTCCAGGTGACAGCAAGTTATGCGCCGCAAGGTGATCCGAGAAACAGGCTGCAGGAGGCTGAACATGTGTGCGTGTACCGGCACTGCGGTTACGCCAGGAACCCGTCAGGCTCGTGTACGCCCTGGACGGACAAATGTGTTTCGGCCAATCGCTTCCTGTCCGAATAGGGAGCCACGGCCAACCAACCTTATCTTGCATCAGCCTGTTCGAGGCTATAAGCAGCAAGGAACAGTGTTGGATTGGGCATTGATGTATCGTCGAGATGGGTATCTCTTCCTTGCTGACTGAAGTTTTGTACACACACACATATCGCCCATTCGGCCAAGCCATCCAACAATCGGTGCGCGGTGTTGGTCTGGACTTGCTACAACTGACCCACCAGCAAGATCCGGGTAGAAGTGTAAGTCGGACTTGAGTTATCTCTTTTGCCGAGAAAGCGTGTTGCCGTGGCGGACAACTGGAAGAGTATCGTGGTTTTATGAAAAGGTCGGGCTATGCCCCTGGGTGGCGACTACCCGACCTGCAACAGACGATAAGACCTCCAACACTACGCTGCTCTGGGACACCATGAGAAGTAATCCAAACAGGCAAGCTGCCATTCACCCGGGTAAGGTAAGTAAGTCTAGTAGAGGAAGTCTTTCCCTCTTTGATCTAGAAGGATGCCTCGTGGTATCAAAGTTATGGAGAGTATCGCCATTAAAGCGCCCAAGGCATGCTTTATCTACGCCTGTGATGACTTGTTTAGGGGGTAGTCGGTAACATCCGAGAGACAGGTATTGCGGGTTCTATTTTAATTCATGTCATCGTATTGAGGTTGGGCTGCTAGGGGTGTCCGGCGGACAACGACGTCAGCTATAAGCCGCTCCGATATCATACCTACCTTAAACGAGTATGGAAACTCGTATGGTATGCCTATCAGGTCCCATAAAACGTGCAACAAAGGGAGAAATAAAGGTCAAGTTCGGTTGGGGGGGATTCCGGCACTCGATGACCCGTCAACTACGCATTGCATGCGTACCGTCTGCCTCGGAACGGACTTCCTTGCGCCTGACATCCCAACATGACGGTTCGACGGCAACATCAATGCGGCACCAGCAGAGGAGCTAACCGAAAAAATAAACCCACGTTTTGGGAAATACACTACCTTCGAACAGAATGGCCGGGTTTACACCATCATCGATCGGGTCCCCACGCAAGCCACGCTCATGCATGTCCATTTCCAAAAGAGCGACGATGTTGAAAGCCCGGGGATGAAGGCGGCTGCCACTATTGACTTATGCTGCCAGAATAGGAATGGGGCGCGCGAAACAAGCCACGCGAAGCCAACCACAGAGCGTGCTAAAGGCAAGGAAAGGATGCCTTCTGCAGTCATTCACTCGGCACTGACCGAGAAAGCAGCATTTACCCCATCAATAGTCGCAGTCCAACGTCCTGGTGATGGCGTATGTCTGCTGCGTTGTTGGCAGACCGGTAGTTCGCTATCGATGCTGAATACCTCGATCTGGAATCTCAACACCGTCGTCGCATCGGGGCCGCATCGCACGCGCGAAGTGGGTGGTGCTGAAGACTTGGTGATAGGTTTGATGATACATGGGCTGCTACGGTAGCACGATTACTAGTTGGGGGGTTTCCTTTGAGAAGGAGGGGTCCCTGATTACATTCGTCACTGATAGGAACATTCGGTGAGGGAGGAAATTACACGCATCACGGCCAACGATAAAGGAAGCAACACTTTGGACGCCGTGGCGGCTTGATCATATGGCGAATGCTGCTTTCCTTCGGCGCGCCGCCTATGAAGTGCGGCTGGAATGGGGAAAAAGAAGAAGAAGAAGAAGAAGAAGAACACGAAAAGGCTCCCTCGTAAGCTCTCACAGGTACGCTCAGGCACACTCGCACACACTCCAGGCACAAGGCACAAACGCCGGAGCAATGAGCTTATGTTCTTCATGCCCTGCCAAGAGGGGACACTTGTGTCTCGGGAACGCTTCAAAGGGGAACCAATGTCTTCTCGGGGCTCCTCCCGTCTTTTTGTGCCTGTGTGTGTCGTTCAAGAAAATTCCTGAGGGTGTGGTCTGAGTTGTCCATCCACTGCGGTCCGTGTGGTAGAAAGGGGACCCTGTCAGTTCTCTTGTCCCACGATTCTATGCCTAACCACTACCTATACGCAGTTGAGCAGCAACACATCCTTTCTCGCTTCTCTGCGGCTGACATGGCGTCAGGGTTCGTATGAATCTCTACACGCTGACTGGCACCGTGAAACCCCAAGAACCCATGGGCCTATAGCTGGGAGATGGTTATGACCAAGGTTACTTCCTTGCTTGAATGTGCAGTACTGTGTACGTGCATCTGGTCCATCACCGCTCTCTCAACCTTACAGTCGTTCATGTTGCGCCGCGCCGTCCTAAGCGGTGGTGTATGTACACATACAGCAAAATCACGAGGCTGTAGGTATCGGTACGGCAGTGCGTTACTTGACCAACCCGTTGAATACGAGAAGGTATGAGGGACGGACAAGAAGAGATTTTCCCTCACTACCCCCCGCCGCCGCCTAGCACTTTCTCGGCATCCACTCAATTATGCGGCGCTCTGCTTCTTTGCTTTTTCTAGCTCTGCGTTGGACTCGCAGAGTGTACGTACCGCAACACTCTCGCAGCTTACCCTCTTTCTCGATGATGCCGGGGGTTGTTGATAAGCCGTTCATCACCGAACTCGTGTAACGACAAGGAAAAGAAGGAACGGGCTCTGTCGATTGCAATTTGAGGTTTAATCTGCTCGACATTGACTGCAAAGGATGTTACGAGGCTCTTGAGAACCTGGAGGTTTGATGCTCGGGTGGAAACGAACAACAGCCCCTCGGATTCGCAGCGGAAGAAAGTTGCCGACACAAACTGTGTGTTCTTGTTGCTGACGAGATCCATTCTCTTTTAGAACGCCGAAATCTTACCTCACGCCAAGAAGCCTATTTAGGCCAACAAGTTTTCAACTAACACGCCTATAAAACGCCGGCTGTTCTACACTAGACTACTTCGTGGAACAGAAGACAAATATGTAAGCCCTTATGTCAATGCAAAGGTATTCTCTCGGTGTCATGTCATGGTGGACTGAAGTGTGGTGGATAAGGTATTCAGGTTTTGGTGAGGTTTGGTAGGCCTCTCTCACCAACGCTAGAGACAAGCCAAGCCCTAAAGCCATCCCTAGGGCCCCGAAGAGTCTCAGACTTTCTCGGCAAGGTTACCTTCTGAATGGATCCAGCGAGCTGGAAATAGTGTCAGGCAAGGGGGGCACACGGTACGTACACAGCTGAGCGGACAGGGGAAGTTCACCAAGGACCGCCAGAGTACCGGTACCTCTAGCCTATCATCCTTTTCGCTGAGGTTACCTCAACTCTTGGGTACAGCTTCGCTTCTCACCAACCATCTTTGTCCGCTGCTTTGGTCCGATAGCAACCCACCCCGTCAGGCGTGCAGCGAGGGAGATGCCGCTTTCTCTTCCACTGATTCGATTCCCGGGGAACTCGTTCAATGCGTTGGCGTACCCATCTTTTCAAGGCAAATGGATGATGCTAACCCGGCCCCGCCCAGACAAGGCCAGGCAGGCTTTCTCGGCACGCAGGGCGAACCCAGCAAAGGAAAAAAAAAAAAAGGTTGTTGATGGCGCACTTTTTAGCGTCCACAGTCTCAATTCCCTTTCCGGCAGCGGGAGATGGGAACTGACTGAAAGTTGTGAGTGGTAGTGAACCCCCGCGTGGCTGATGGCGTCGTTGTTGTTGTGTTGTTGCTCTTTGCTGCAGCTTCTCGCTTGGTGCTTCTCCTTCTGCTTCTTTCGTTCGCTCCATTCCCAATGCCCAGTCATCGTAAGTCGTACCATGTAGGTACTCATCGGTGCCATGGTGCTTCCAATGGGGGAAGCCAGCCAAAATGTCTGGCTGCTCGGGTATGTGGAATATGAGCCCTTGTAAGCTGCAGCGGTGCTATCTGTTTCCGGGTTCGTGACCGGTCAGAGCTGTAGCTGATGGGGATTGGGGAGACTCGATGGTGGATGAGGCCATGGACCTTTAGATGTCAGCTAATGTACTTCGCCAGCTTGGATGTGGGTTTACCCCTGGCTTCTCTACTTCCCGATGTCACCTCACTTTTCTTCTCTACCTCCACTTCTTTGTACAGCCGAGAACCAGCAGACGGGATATATAACCTCCCACCCAACCCGCCTATTTCTATCCCTGTTTAATCAATAATCATTTCCCAGTCCCGTGTCTATATATCTCTCCGCCCGTCCTCAACCTGGCATTTAGTTATTTTCGGCCTATTCGTCTGACCAACTAGATAAGCGAAGACATCTCCTACCCATCTATTACGCTACCAGTCCTACCAGCATCTCGGGGAAACCGAACGGCAACAAGTTATATACATCATCTCAGGTGCCGCTTCGACACCTGACGGCCCACCATGTCGGTCTTCTCTCTCATCAAGCGGAGCCGGCAAGCAGCAAAGGAAGAAACCGCCAAGAAGGCCGAAAAGGACAAGGCAGAAGCCAAGGTCCCATACAAGCACGTACCCAAGCATGCCGCTGTCGATGCTCTCATGGGCGGGCCCACGGGCTGGAAGGAGGCCGATCGACTCAGAATCATGGAGGAGAACCGAAGGAGGAGTGCCATGACAGCGAACGGCATGGGCATGCCGAGCGGGCTTTCAACTCCAGTCCACGCCGGCGTCTTTACCCGCGCCAACAGCAGTCTCACACACGTCTCATACAGCACTCCCAGCGGCTACGCCACACCCGTCCCTCACCTTCCCCGAGCATACAGCTACCACGGCCCGACCCCCGGGTGGAGCCATCATGGCGGTGAGATTAGCTATCTCTCGATCGACATGGCTGGGGCTGCTAGTAGGGGTACATCGATAAAGGGCAAAGAGAAGGAAGTTCGGCGCCCCAGGCTCGACTCAGGCCGCACCAGCAGATCGTCAAGCAGATTTTCAGCTGCTGGTGGGCGATTTCCCTTTGAGGGAGGGTCCGGCTCTGCCCCTCGAACCAGAGATGGCTCAAGCTCCCCCGTCCAAAGCTCCAGCATCTCCAGCAGCTCGGAAGACGATTTGGAGATCAAGCCCGTGAAGCAATGCACCAGCGCAGTGATAACCTCAAGTCCGCTCGCGGGGGTATCGAGTCGGCCGGGAAGCGACACCGACTCAGTCCACCGTCTTCACCCCGGCCATGCCCGAAACATGTCAAACTCAACATACAAACAAGCAGCAGGACGATCCTCGTCGCCCAGACAATCACCCTCGAGGAATAACCCGACCAGGGCAGGAGGAGGTTCAAGCAGCAGCAGCGCTTCGCTGAGCGCCGCAGGCATCCCGCCCGTCCCGACAATCCCTCCTATGCAATTCGGCGGCAACCTCACTCTTCCCGCCTCCTTGTCTTCCAGCTCCAACAACAGCTCCTCCTCACACAGGAGTTCGCACCCCATCCCACCACCGGTGGTGGTAGAAGAGGACGCCTCCGAACTCTCAGAAGACTCGGCCGGCACCGGCGCCTCCACTCCTCCCATTGGCACCGCCGTCTCGGCTCCCACAGCACGCAAGACGAGCCCCAGGAGCTCAATCAAGACCACTCAGTTCGCCGAGCTAGAGCCGATCCAGTCAAATGTAGTATCCAGCAGCAGCAGCAGCAGCAGCACCGACAACCCCCGCACCAACTCACCATACAAGACGTATTCCAGCCAAAAGGAACGATCGTTTGTCGCTACCACCACTCTACCAACCTCGTTCGACGAAGCGAGCTTGGCGGTTCCCGCGCAACGATTGGTGACGACGCTGCCTCCGCAACAGGGAAAGTTGGGGAAACGGCCCAAGAATAATAAGGAGACGGAAAACAAGGTGCCGAAGAAGAGTCGATGGAGCTTTATGAGCTCGAGGAGGACGGCTGTCGCTGTATAACAGCGTCCCTCAGACTGCTGCTTCTTTTTTTCTTTTTCACACAGTCATGATCGTCGTGGCTTATACGCAAAATAGCGAAGCGCTCCTTTACATCACAGTTTTTTTCTTTCTCTCCTTTGTGTTTTATGGGACCTACTTAGCAAGAAAACAGGCGTCAGGAGTTATCTACTTTTGTTTTTTAATTCCGGTACTGCTAAGGATCTCTGGCTTATGAGATTGGAGGCATTTTGAAAATGGTTTACTACGCGCATTTGTCTGATGGATGATGGAATGATGGATCGGTTATGGTAGTGCTGGAACTTTGAAGTTGGCACCAGACGATGGACATCAATGACGACCCTCTTTTTCTTCCGTTTCTCTTTTCTTTTGGGACTATAACATCAGCATGCAATGCGACTGGACCACACTAGAACCTGATTGAACATTTAACGACTTCGAAGAAGAAGGAAATATCACACAGTTTTGGGTTACTTGCATCCATGGCTGGCAACCGATCTTCTACCAATTCATTCACATGTGAACAATTGAATATTGGTATTGGCGGTGGCTTTTCTACACCTGAACCAAAACATTGAGGTCTAGATGACAGTCTCAGCCACAACAACCCAATTGATGAACCAGCAGGTATCATCGGTACCACCTTCATCTACACAAAAACCCAACTTCCCCCCCGCCCCCCACCAATCTCCCCCAGAAGAGAGAGAGAGAGAGACAGAACCCGAGACAAAACCCCGTATTCCCCGAGTCTGCTTGGGTACTTTAGAGATACGGGTTGGCTTATCTTCAGCTTCAAAAATTCCGGTCGGTGCTTTGGTATAATACAGTCCTTTGTCGCTCGATTACTGATTCTTCTGACGAACCTATACCGACACACATTGAAAGGCACAAATAGCTTCCCTACCTAGGTATGATCCAAAACGATCACCTGTCGGGTTTCGCAATGAATTTTCGCACATACCTGTACTGTCAGTGTCGCGATGCCCAGCAATAATAGCATTTCATGGTCCCCTGTATGGTAACCTATAGGTTTCATCCGTTACCGTACCTGTACCATGCCATTTCCACAGGAGCCTCGCGGGCCCCCTAGCCTAGAGAGAGTGTAATTAGTACGCCCCCCTTGTGTTGATCATATCGTATCGGATTTATTCCCAATGAGTATACTGGAGTTTGAGAAAATCATCCATATCCAATTGATGGGATTGTGGGATGGACGGCAAGATTTTACAAGTATACGGGAGCGGGAGCGGGAAGACGCCAGCTTTCAAGCCAGTGTGTAGTGTACGGGTCGGCTCGCTCATTTTTGTCCTGTCTTTTTTGAGAGCTGGAGTAATGGAATGAAAGGTGGTGGCGATTTCTCTACTTCAATGGAGTGAGTGCCTGAGTGTGCGTTAGAGTGGTGTGATTCTTTTTTTTTGTCAGCTTTCAAATGACAAGCGGGATGATTTGACGCCAAGATCAACCAGCATGAAAAGGATGACTGGCCATGGTCGTCATTACCACTTCGCTCGATTGCATGATTTTAGTAGAGGTCCTAGGTCTTGTATCGATCTCTTAACGCAAGAATACGGGGCATGAATGAGATTGCATTTTCTCTCTGATGGCCCTGCAATGGACACCGCCAAGGATGCTGTTTGATGTTGGTGGACTAGAGTAGTATGTATAGGTACCTGTACCTACCTAGAGCTCAACTCCCCCCATCAAAGGATTTCCCCGTCTTCCTTTCTCGTCCTGAAACCTTTGTCTGTGTGTTTTTGTTTCGCCTAGTTGAAGCAAATCATCGGCAGAACCGAATACGTATCGTATGTAGGGCCAGTCCCTTCGTTCATCTTTTATCTATTCAGCTTTCTGTGAAGTTTGACTTGGGTCAATGCCAATTCGCATTGATCCAGACCCTTGGGGACCTTGTCATCGTGGAAGCTTACGTTGATCTTCAAGTTTCGAGAGCTGCCTAGGCCCTAGGCGGGTGTAGTCATGCTTTAATGCTACGCCCTTCGTTCCGAATTGCCTAAGGGTAAAAGGCGTGATCTGACAAGCTTTAGTGTTTTTTCATGCGGCGGCCGACGCCTGAAGTTCTCGATTTTAGTGTACAATGATACAATGGTGGTCTGGACTCTGCTACTTTGAGCTTGGTGGCCGTTGCTGCAGCTCAGCTGAAACCAACCCCCAGGCGGCCCTAGCTGGCTTATTTGGGCTGGGGCATTGGCGATGAGGGGGGATAAATTTAATCGCATTGGTGACTGGAGGGTTTCTCTCGCTTTTTGACCTGTTAAGATTCAGTCTTTTTTTGGAAAGGGTGTCTGGAACTCTCAATCCAAGGTGTCGCGGACGAAACGTGGGGTGGTGGGATCATATGGAGTGTAAATGATCTTGTCGATTGACTGCTTTGTGGTCAAAAAGTGTATGCCGAGTGGATGCTTCAGTGGCTGTTCCATGCCACATCACTGATCACGGGAAGCTGAAGGACAGCAGCGTTGTCACCGGTGTGAATCCTGTTGCATTTCCCGTCTTGGGGAGTCTTGGGAAGCGAGGCTCATGGGTAGTGGGAATCCTACGACGGAAGACGGGGAGATCACAAACCGAAAAGCGTGGTCGAATGGTTCGACAGCGGGACAAACCAGAACATGGTCGGTCGGTCAGTCTCTTTGATGAGGTTGCATTCAGGGTCCAAGACCATGTGTAGCTTGGGATGCCTGGCCCGGTTTCGCCGGAAAATCGATAGAAGCTGTGCCTATCCGCAAAGGGAAGCGTGGAAGACGCCCAGATTAGACCACGACACCGCTGGACGAGGTACAGCAGGAGCACATGGCTCGTGGGCCAATTTATTGGCGATAACAGCTCGCTTTTCGTGCAAGCGGGCTGTGATAAATGTTCTCGGTGGTACGGGGTATATGATGCCTGGCCGCAGCGAGGGACCCAATGCACCGTCGTTATATAGGCCGAAAAAGCCCGGTGAACAGAAATTGCTTCCTGCTGGTTTCCTACGGGCATTCACACGCACCAGAACGGTGAGATAAGGCGGATTGGGTTAGACTTCACCCGATCCCAGTGTCAACCAGCCGGCGTTGTGCGTTCCTTTGAGAGACCTCACGGGCGGGCGCTTGACAATGGAATGTAATGACGTTGGTGATTCCGGGCGATCGTTTCATGTAAAGAGCAAACCGAACCGATCCCGCCGTCCCAATGCTTCCATGGGATGAAAGGTGAAAAAGAAGTTTGGAAGAATGGAAGGTCAACAGATCGACAGGGGCGTTGCGGGAGGGGAGGAGTAGCAAAAATACCATTGGACAGCCTTGTCAGCCACGGACCCACTTCCGCAATTGGGGACAAGTGGAGAATAATCTCCACCGACACCGTGGCATCTTTGGACTTAATCGTTATCGTGCCGCATCGGGAGCTTCCCCTAGCTCCATCTCCCGGAACCTTGACGGATCGCATGCCATCATCATCATCATCATCATCGCCAACCGGCGCAAATGCAATCGCTTAGTTGCTTTGCTCACCTTTCTCCCTTCCATTTCGATAGCAATTGAATCGTATTGCACTGCTTTTACTCCTATCGCCCGATGCTTTTTTGAGGCCTTTGTATTTTGCGGTCTAGCTGCCGCCTTCCTCTCCTTTCGTTTGTCCTCTCCTGGCGCATCTCCATTTCCCTATTCCCGTCGTCGCTATTACATAGGGGGTGCTCTTGTTTCGCGCCTGAGAGATGGCGCCCTCGTCCACCATCTCCAAAATCGTCGGCGCGCCATTTCAGCTGGTCTGGTTTCTCTATGACGTCGCAGCCGAGACCCCAACTCCTATTCTGTTCCTAATCTTCGTGTCGCTCATTGGACTTGCTTTCGGACTTGTATGATCCCCCCTCTTTTCTTGGTTGCCCCTTTCGCGCTGCTCATGCAAGACATTGACTGACATTCGTGTCCTGCTTCCGCCATACATAGATATACATTGTCCTGCACATAGTCGCGCCCAAGCCTCGCCTACCGTATCCATCCGAAAAGACCTACATCACCACCAACCCCGATGGCACCATCAGCAAACCCCGACTGCTGCCCTGCTGGTATGACCGCTGGCATGCCGAGAGCCGTCTGAAGGAACAATCCCCGTCCTCTTCGCCGAACACCTCCTACCCTACCATCCCCGCCGGCTTCCCCGTCCCTGACTTTGGCACCGTCGAGCTCGCCGAAGTCGAGATCAGCGTAGTCATCCCCGCCTACAACGAAGCCGACCGTCTCATCCCGACCCTCGAAGAAATGGTCGCCTACCTCGACGAAAACTTCGGCCGTCCCGTTACCTCTGGTCCCGGCTCCCGCCCCACCTCTAAGGGAACTGGCACCCCCAAGCCGCACCGGAACGTTTTCAAGGACGCCTCCGCCCATAAGCGTCAAAACCCTCCTTCGGGCTACGAGATCCTCCTAATTAACGACGGCAGCACTGACCGCACGGTTGACATCGCCCTCGAGTTTTCCCGCCAACACAACCTGCACGATATTCTCCGCATCGTTACGCTCGAAAAGAACCGGGGCAAAGGCGGCGGCGTCACGCACGGCCTCCGCCATGTACGCGGCGAGTATGCGGTGTTCGCCGACGCAGATGGCGCCTCGTGCTTCGGCGACCTGGGCAAGCTGATTGAGGGGTGCGAGGACGTGGTGGATGGATCGAACCGTGGCGTGGCCATCGGCAGCCGCGCCCACCTGGTCGGCAGCGAAGCAGTCGTGAAACGCTCGGCCGTGCGCAACTTCCTGATGCGCTCATTCCACTTTGTGCTGATGATCCTCACGCCGCCGGCGACGAGCCGGATCAGGGATACGCAGTGTGGGTTTAAGTTGTTCTCCAGGGCGGCACTGCCGCATATCGTGCCCTATATGCACACGGAAGGATGGATCTTCGATATTGAGATGCTGATGTTGGCTGAGTCGGCGCCGGCTACCCCTGTCCTGGCGAGCGATGGAAGTGTCATTGGCACGAGCTATGGGATCAAGGTGGCCGAGGTGCCGATTGGGTGGCATGAGGTGGACGGGAGCAAGATGAACCTGGTCAAGGATAGTGTCAAAATGGCGATTGGGCTGGCGGTGTTGAGGGCTAGTTGGATGTTGGGGGTTTATAGGAGACGGCTGGCTTGATTTAGCAAGTTTGAGATAGTTGTTTAGCCCATTTGAGCGGCGTTCTCTCTTTCGATCTTCTCTTGAGTTCTATATAGACAATTTACACCCTTTTTCTGTTTGTCAGGTTTCTTGGTTGTTTATTATTCACTCCGATCTGTTGCATTCCATGAGCCATTGACCTGACTGGGTATGCAGCCACTCGATAGGAATCACTGCACCAAGGCATTGGGAAGTTTGCGCGGATTCCCTTTCCTAATCCACTTGAACTTCCAATGGCTTTGTTTTGCTCCCTGGTGCACACTTCGTGTTACATTAATTGAGGGCGAGGGATGGTGGCGCCTTCCGCATCATATACCAGTGCCATCACCAAGTCGGTGGCTAAGCGGGTCGGCATTGCTCCCGCTGTATCTCTAGGGATCTGGAGGAGTGAAATAGAGAGAGGACGTTGAACAAGCTTACTTGTCTTGTGCTGGACAACAACACACCACAAGATACAAAAAGGTCTCGGAAGAGGGTTTTATCTCTGGTAACGTCCTCTTTTCTCCTAACAAACCCGACTTCGCCTCTTCTTCCAAAACGTTAGTTACTGGCTATCCACACCTATCCAGACCTGCAACCCTGCTTGTAAAGTTTTCGCTCACAATTCCCATCATGCGAAGTCGGGGCGACAAGCCCACTTTTCAACCTCGCCAGCCCCCAGCCGACTGGAGGTGACCCATACCAGCCGTGTGCCAGTAATCTTTCAGAATCTTGCCCGGCCTCCTCACCCTCCCCCCACTCTCTTCCTCCTTCTTCATCAATTTCCAAGTGACAAAGTTCAGAGGTCGCCGTTGAAACATCAAGATCCGCAACCCGATATCAAGCAAAACAGAGCAAAAAGCCTTTCTTCTAGGCCAGCTGAGTTGCGTGTTTTCTAATAGCGTAGAATGAAGGTACACTACTTGGTCTGGCGGATCTTAGTGAGAAATGCGGGCTAAGGTTGGCCAGGCAACGATAAATATTTATATATTAATTTAATTAAGGGATAGTAGAGTAAGAAAATTAAAGTAAAATTATATAAATTATTGTTATAAGAATAAAAAGTACTTAAGATATATTTAGTAAATTCGAATACATGTTAAATTATTATTTATAAAGTACTGTACCTCTTTTGGATATATAATTTTTATAGTTTAGAAAATTGTTGACAGAATAAGAAAAATGTGACGAACGGCAGTCTGATCTGCCTAAGTGGGATAGTTTGAAGGTAAAGACTATCAGTGCTGTTCGGTGAAGCCAAAGGGTTCACAACAAGTATGCTCGTAATACTGGTCTCGGGTGATAATGATCTATTGACTACTGTCGAACTATCTGACAATCTGAGTTCTCCCGTAGTCCCTTTATACCTGCTCGCCCTCTGCGAGATATCTGTCTCCGGATGCTCTTGTCGAGCCCCATAGGTCTATCTAGTGTGTGGTGGCTCACGATGCCCTCCTGGCTCACTGTGAGCAGTGGCTCACCGTGAGCCCGTTACACGAGTGAGCCCCATGCGTGTGCCTCTTTGTCCTTGTTGGCCTGGGAGGGTGACACGACCTAACCCGTTTAGGCCGGTTGTGCTACCGGCGCTGTGGTTGGTCCGTGTGTCCTCATAAGTTCGTAACAAAAAAGCAAACTTATGACAAGGGCAGGTTTCTAAGCTTGGAACAAATAGTTCAATTC